GGCCGCAAGCTTCGGTCCAATTGTTGGGCCGATAATCTCTGGCTGTTCAGTCCAGTACGGCTGGCGATGGACCTTTCGCATTGACCTAATCTTTGCCGGTATTTCCTGGATAGGCCTTATGTTTATGTCAGGTATGAACATTCAGTTCTGATGACACCCGTTCACCATCATACTGGGTAAACGCTGACACAGTTAACTGCAGAAACCTTTGCACCGGTCATCTTGAAACGCCAGGCTACCAGACTAAGAACGGAGTCGGGGTGCAATTCTTATCTGTCTCGGCAAGAGCTACAAAATGGAGGCTTCCGATACAGCACTACCCAGATCATCACGCGTCCGATCACTATGCTTCTCTTTGAGCCCATCATTCTGTTCACGGCCCTCTATATATCTCTCGCGTATAGTCTGGTCTTCTTCTATTTCCAGGCGTATCCCATAATCTTTGAAGGTATGGTTGTCCAGCCCGATTCTCTCCTACTAACCCTATCCAACAAAAGTCTACGAATGTATAATAAGCACACACTCACTCGATACCATAGGCACCTACAACTTCGACGTCCAAACCACATCCCTCACCTACATCCCCAGTAAGTAACCCCCAAACCACTCCCCTATACCACCCCAAGCTAACCCGGACCCAAAAAGTCGGCATCGGCGCCGCCTCCTCTGGCCTAATCTCGCTATACTACGATACCATCTACGAGAAAGCCAAAACAGCCGGAAAGTCCTGGACGACCAGCCCCGAACTGCACCGGCTCCCCGTATCCTGCATCGCCGGACCCTGCCTCACAATCAGCCTATTCTGGCTCGGTTGGACCGCAAACCGCAACATCCACTGGATCGCACCGGTGCTCTCCGGCGTACTCTTCGGCGTCGGCTACCAAATGATCTTCATCTCGCTGCTTACCTACGTCACAGACGCATACAAGATCTACTCCGCCAGCGCCCTCGCCGCATCGGTCATTATGCGGAGTATCGTGGGTGCGCTGTTCCCGCTTGCTGCGGACCCGTTGTATTCGACTCTGGGTGTCGGGTGGGCTACCTCGGTCCTGGGGTTTGCTAGTCTGGCGTGCATTCCGATTCCGTTCGCATTACTTTATGCAGGGCCGTGGATTCGGAAGAGGAGTCCGTTTTGTCAGCGGTTGATGGAGGAGGATTCTTTGAAGGAGAGGGTGGAGAGGACCGTGGAGGGTGTTTAGTGTATGGGCTTGGATTGATGTTGTTGTTGATGACATGATGGCATGAATTTGCATTTCTAGGGTTCTGGGTTTGCATTGCTGAGTGGCGTTTCTAATTTTATTTTTTTTTAATTAAAAGTTGATACTTGTTGTCGTAGATAGTGCTTAATTTCTAATATGGGTATTGAATGAAATGGCTTTAGGAAACTTGAGGACTATGTATCAAGAGCCCTTATAAGGAAACCGAGGAGGGTAAGCTTCTTTTTTTAGGCCGTTGCGAGAGAAGAGGCCCCAGCAACTGTAGAACACTGGACATTAGGATTCTGCGTCTCCCAGTTGGTGGAGGGGATGTCACTAGGATAGAGCCTACGAAATTGTTCCTGTTATCTTGGATGATCTGTGGGCTGCAGTTGAGACGGAGGTGTATATAACGAAGAGGATCGTATAATTTGGTAGTTTTTTGGTTCGAGGAGGTAAATGGAGGTGGGTCTAGGGGTAGTTGATCAAGCATATGTGATGTCGAGTTTTATCGGGAATGCTTTTAAAACCGTCAATATAAGATATGCAAAAAGCGTGGAAAAAGAGGACGATACGAAGACGATCACGACTGACGGGATCGGTATTTGTGGACGAATATGGTATTGTATAACTGCCGTCAATGCTTCCAACACGTTGAGAATGATAGACTACCTTTGTGTTTAGACATGGTTTGTAGGTCTATAATCCCAGAATGAGAATGTTGTACTCGGTATGGAGTTAGGGCTATGAAGGGGTCGTGACATTCATAGATGTGCAGGTATTCTAGACTATAAAGTCAAATAAGCGAATATTTTACATCAATTCCTCGATGGTCTAACGGTCATGATTTCCGCTTGTCATCTCATACGAGAACAAGCGCGGGAGACCTGGGTTCGACTCCCAGTCGGGGAGATCTTTTTTTGCTCTTCCATTTATTGTTCCCCCACGCCAACTCTCTTTTTTCTCATGACTTGATGCTACAAACGCATCGAAATCCACTTTACTCAATATCTCAAGGTATTGTTAATCAACATATTACAACGACATGTATGGATTCCGTCATTTTAGTGAGCCGTTGCAAGAAATTTCTTGGAACCCGCGTGAAGCACCAGTTCAATACGAAATATATAGTTGTTATGCGGATAGCTTTACACTACAGTGCACTAGCAGAAGCGTTTTGGATACCATAGTAAGTAGTCTTCTATATACTACAAAACGATGTAGGCAATCTCGAACTCAATTACTTCTTGTGTAGAGACTTGAGACTGAAATTGAGTGCAAGAGAGGGTTCATATAATAGAAGCTGGTAGGCAGACCCACTTGGGTTGCCGCAGGGCCCTAAGATTAGGGTTCTTTTCGTTTTATTCCTAGAGAATATAGACAATGCAGTGTACAACAACTAGTTCACCATCCACCATGTTTTTATTTAATCCATTGTGATTTGAATTCGTTTGAATCGCTCGTGTTGCATATTGAGAAGTCTTAACAATGCTTTCTCAGGAGAACAATGAAGGGCGCAAGAGACCGGTGTCTGCATTCAAGCTCAAGAGTAAATATCGGTCAAGGTATTGTGAGTATGCCCAACAGATGAAACCTATCTCATGTATAATATATATGATAATAACTTACTGGGTCAATAAAAACACAAGTCGAATTGAGGTATCGTCCACATCTCCTAGCGCCGTCTGTGACTGTACCATATTCATCGAGTTGCAGAACTGGTCACTGGATGGTCGTGGATGGGTGCTTACTCCCCCTCGAATCGCGTGCCTGTTTGTACAAGTGTCACCTTCTGGATGATAACCAGTGGGGACTAACGACCGCAGAAGCCTACGTTGGATAGCTGACACGTCCAGAAGTGGAGTGTGGTAGTATCAACAATATCTTTGAGGATTCCTTTTTTTTTTTGGGAAGATCTACCCCGCGGCTTCAGCTCGGCCAAGCCTTCAGTTCAACTCCTCTGATATCCGATTTGATGTGGGTCTGCTGTGCAGCGAGCTGGCCGCTAGCCGGAGACAAATCGGTCATTGTGCAGCTTAGCCGAACTTGTATATACCTCACTGGTTGATTTGGCCTGGTAGGTCGATCTCCTCATCCCCTCTGAGGCGGAACAACTAGCTGTATGATCAACGAGAAACTTCAGCTGAAGGAGGACGGCACTCAGCTGAGCCTTGGGGAAACATGGACAAAAAAAGACGCCTTCTCTAGCACGGCTTGGGCATAAATATCGTTGATTCTCACTGCTTCTGTTTGATTATCAACATACGATTTTATACCTCTCTGAATAACTACCTGAAGACTTATTGTCAATCTTCCACAAATCCAATCATGGCTGACGACATAAGGCTTGATTACTTTCGTGAAAGTGATAAGAGTGTTGCTTTGATGTATGTCGCAACCTATCGGGAGAGAAAAGCAAGAAACCCTAGTTTTGTTCCGGATGGTAAGTTGCAATAACCACATCCATCCTTAGGTGTTTGTCGTCCTTTGCTAATAGCCAAAAGCTCTAGCCGATGTGAAACCATTCAATGAAGGCTACACCCCCGAGGAGAGAGAACTACTTGATGCTGTCAGGGCGGGCTACGTGGATCTTCTGGAGGCCAGTGCAAATTACGACAATGGAAACGCAGATTTTCGCCGCAGTATGAGAGGCAGATATCGATACATGTACGCGAGATCTATAGTCGATATAAATTTTGAATTCGCTGACACCGGGTTACGATTTAGTATCGGGAGACGTACAGCAACCGATGTGGATGTAGTCATTGGTGTCGCCCGACACCCTGCTACAGCTCGGGGAGCTCTTACATGGGATAATTCCTTTGATCATTTCGTGGCCTTTCCACGTACGCTGCCTTGATGGCTCGAACTTGGAGACTTTTTGCAACCTATGCTCCAATACCTTGGTATCTTGTGAATGATGACTTTTCTTTGAGAACCACAATCCTCTAGCAGTTGAATAGTATAAAGTATGCAAAACCAAATCAATACGTAATCGACCTCATTGTAGATATAAAAGATCGTCCTTGAATGTCTGCATTTGCAAATCGAGTATCTAACGTTGCGATTTTCAATCATGGTAAATTCTCCAGATCGATGGACAAGTCTCTGCTCGAGTTTCCAGATGTCCAAATTCGCGGTTTTTGTCGGGATACTTTCAAGTTCCCAACCTCCTTGAGTTGCTCCCCTTGCGACATCCCCTGGATTCATACCTTGTTTAAGCTCTATTCAATATCCTCGGCCACTCCGGACTCCAAGGCTAGTCCGTTGTTCATTGCAAGGATTGGACCAGGTTTAAAAACGATCGGAATATGACTTCCACAGATAACGAGGAAAATAAACCTATGCTAACCTTGATTGTAGTTTCAAGATAGGATACAGGGAGAGAATTAGTAAGACCAATCAAAAGTAGTGGAGCTATATAGGGCTTCTCCCTTAGTAAAGCATATGCTTCGCGCTTATAAGAATGTACGATTAAAGTTCCCAGACCCCTTGACCCATACAATCCAGGATAATGTAAATAGGAAAACAAGTACATATTGAAACCACCATAGAATGTATTATTCCTTGTTAGGCAAGTTATATGCTTTGTGGATCACCCGCAATCCTGTAGATTCGGGTTCAAAAGAAGAGAGCTGAGCGCCACATACGCACGGGTGGAACCATATTGTCCGGTTTTCTAATAGCCGAAAATCGATTATCGCTTGCAACTATTACAATGGCAAAGATCCTTTAAAATAAGTAGCAGTACTTGAGGCGTGGTATGCTCTCATTCATGAACTCATACACTCACAGACAGTCAATATGGAACCCGCAAGAGATTATGATATAATCATCATCGGGGCCGGCGTGGCTGGTATCAACACGGCCTATCGCATCCAGACCATGCTGCCCAACTACTCATATGCCATTCTGGAAGCTCGAGACGTTGTGGGCGGTACCTGGGACCTGTTCCGGTACCCTGGAGTCCGACTCGACACTGACATCCACACGTTTGGATTCCCATGGAAGCCATATCACACCGACACGATTATGCTGGATGGTACTTCCATTCGGGAATATATCAACAGCACTGCGAAGACATATAACATCGACCCTTGCATTTATTTCAACCATCGGCTTAAAGAGCTGAGTTGGGATTCCTACAAAAGCCAATGGAGTTTAACAGCTATGCACAAAGATCAAGAGCCCCGTTTCACCGCAAAATTCGCCATCTTCGCGACAGGATACTTCGATTACCAGCGGCCACTCCCCGCAGAAGTACCAGGTTTGAGCCACTATAAAGGAGTGGTCGTACACCCGCAGTTCTGGCCCGAAGAACTCGATTATGCCGGAAAGAAGATCGCTGTTATCGGCAGCGGATCTACCGCAATATCACTGATCCCCAAGCTTGCTGAGACAGCATCGGCAGTAACCATGATCCAGCGAAGCCCGAGCTACATTGTGCCTGTCCCTGACGGTGGAGATACATGGTTGACCCGACTATTGCCTGCTACGGTATCGCACATGTTCAAGCGCTATAGGTTCATGGCGGTCATGCTCGCGAGCTATTACTTCTGTCGAAACTTTCCCCGGCTCGCAAAATATATTTTGCTGAGGCTGGCAGGAAATCAGCTGCCCGACCATATTCCACTGTCGCCCCATTTTGAACCCAACTATGACCCTTGGGATCAGCGTCTGCTCGCTTGCCCTGATGGGGATTTCTTCCGAAGTTTGCGCACTGGCAAAACCAACATCGAGACAGCGAATATCAGTACAGTCACTGAGAGTAGTGTTGTTCTCGACAACGGCAACTCCGTCGATGCAGATATCATTGTCACTGCGACAGGCCTTCGGTTACAAATCGGGGGTGGAGCACAGTTCGAACTAGATAGAAAGCCGTGCGATATTGCCAAGAAGGTCATGTGGAAAGGCATGATGCTGCAGGATATCCCTAACTGCTTTTTCATCCTGGGGCATCTGACAGATGCGTCATGGACGCTTGGAGCAGATGCATCCTTTCTACTGATCCAGCGGCTGATAAAGTATATGGAGACGGAAGGCATTCGGGCGGCTGCTCCTCGCCTGCATGGCTCGCCAGGCCAGCCGACTCAGCTTTGGAACTTGAATGCCAGCTATATGCTCAGGGGTGAGAGTAAAGTACCCAGCGCGGGCGAGAAGCCACCATGGCAGCCTCGGACAAATTACATATTGGACTATTTTGATGATCGGTATGGATCCTTTGATACGTGCATGGAGTTTTCACGAGGTTATCGGAATGGTATGAATGGCGTGAGTGAACCTGTGAAGGAGAAATAGATAACTCCATGTTGTTTGGGAACCATAGAGTTATACGCCTTCTATTGGATGTCTTTGGTGCTCTCACTAACTTACTAGACTTGTACGCGCATGGACACCGACACATATAGCGGTGGTAGATGGAAACTATTTGAGTTGTATGCCAGTGATATGTATCATGTGGCAGAGTCGTAGACAGACTCTACGATAGGCAGTATGAATGAAGCTACTGCGGCTAAAATAATAGCCTTTGTACCGACAAGTATAGTATGCAGAGAACAGGACTCATCCACTCAGTTGTACTGTAGGCAGTTAAGCTCAAGCTAGCTGAGCATCCTCCAGCTACTCTACGCATATAAACGCAATTGGGTCAGACCGTACAATAAAGGAAAGGTTTCACTTTAAAAACATGTACATTCGTATATATATGCGTAGTATGATATATGCTAAAAAGCTATCTCATCAACGATCATGCAAATCACAAAATCGTAATCTCAGTCTCGCCCGTCAAAGGCACATCAACATGCCGCACCAGCTTCTTGTTCTCCGCATCATACTCCACATCGTCCTCACCCTCTGGCTTGGCCTCGACACCCAGAACAGTGATAACCTCAATGTTGACCCCAGCATCATACTCAAACGAGCCCGACAGACTAAGCTTGCCATCCGCGTAGACGAAGTCAATCTCTGACACGGTATCCTGGACAACCGACTCGCCGTCATCAAGGTATAGGGAGCCCTCGGCGCGGCCATCCAAGCCCGGCGCGACAACGATGTTGAAGCCCTTCTGGCGGAGCGCGGTGGTGGTGTTTGCGCTCTCGACACGCTGGGGGTAGACGATACCGCCCTTGTAGTGGACGGTGATGTCGGTGAAGTCGATGTTGTCGAGGGAGACGTATTCGCCCTGTCCGCGGACGGGCTTGCCGGTGCCCCATTCGTAGAAGATGTCGTCTGGGAGGTAGAAGGTGACGCTGGTGCTGTTCTCCTCTGTGACGGGGGACACGAGGATACCGTCACCGTAGAAGAACTGGAGGTCGATGGGGTAGGTGTTTGCGTCGTTGGGGTAGTTGAAGAACAGGGGGTTGAGGGTGGGTGTGCCGGTTTGGTTCTGCTTGTAGATGGCCGTGTAGATGTAGTCAACTGAAGGATTGTTAGGAAACTTATTCTCATCGTTGGAAGGGAGTTTGCTGGGTGGATAGCTTACGGAGCTGGTATCTGATGGCGATTCCATTGCGGGCGGCTTGAGCTACGGTGGGCCAGCGGTAGAATTCTTGCGGGTTCGCGAAGATCTCGGCGTGGTTGCGGAAGAATGTGTAGAAGGAACCGAGAGTTGCCCATCTAATGCTTTGTATTAGTCCTGTACTTTCCGTCATCTAAAGAGTGCGAGATTCAAGCCTTACCTGGCACAGAGGGTTTCCGTGACATTACCGCCGAAGCCGCAAACATCGGGACCCACAACAGGGATTTGGTACAGAGACGCGAACTGCAGGATCTGACTGATGGATTGGCGGTACCAGGGCCATCCGGATACATTGTCTGCAGATGAGTTAGCTGGCTGCTTTTGTTGTCACTGTTGTTAATGTGGGGATGGTCTTACCTCCAAGCCAGTGGGAAACATCCTTTCCGGAGCCAGCAAAAGTGCTTCTGGTAATCACCAAAGCGCGGTCATCGGGACGTCTGGCGCGCATGGCATTATGGGAGTGCGAGGACATCATAGCACCGTAAAGGTTGTGGGTATCGTATTGGACGTATCCACCGCTCTGCACCACGTCCGTGTCGGCAGTGCTGTCGGCAAGTGTGGGACCGGCGCCGTTCTGGATCATGTATGGTGGCCTGATAAACTCGCGGTTGGGGAGACCCTTGCAATCGTTGGGGCCACAGCCAGAACCGGTCTGTCTGCCATGCTGCCAGCCAGCCTTCTTGTCATGGTGGCCCTTGTGGGACCGCCAGTGACCAGCACCGAGGTTACGGCGGCCACGGGACCGAGTGTGTTGACGTTGGACAACAGCAGTAGTGTCGCGCTTCTCAGTCGCATCGCTGCTCACCCAGTTTGGCTGAAGGCTGGCCGGGAATCCAGGGATTGGGGCATCTGGGCCGTCTCTGACAGGTGGCGCCTCGGGAGGGTCGCCATCCACTTCAGCGAACTTCTCTGGAGTGGTGTTGTTGCCGGGGTACGGGCGGTTGTAGAAGTTTGCGGGCTCGTTCATGTCGATCCACAACGCATCAATGTCCGGGCCATTGGTTCCGTCGAAGAACTCCAGGAATTGCTCGGTCCAGTACTGCTGAGACTCAGGGTGGAACCAGTCCGGGAAGTAACTAGGACCGGCCCAAACGACACCCTGCAAGTTGGTGCCATTGACGTCCTTCATGAAGGTGTCGTATTTGAGACCTGCATCGAGTGCCGGGTTAGACTCCTTGTAGTACACAGCGGGATCAACCATGACAATATAATGCTGGTCCCTCGCGTGGATAGTGTCCACAAGGTCTTTGTACAGATGGGCCGGGAACCGTTCGGGGTCAATTGTGAAGATGCGCCGGCGGTCCATGTAGTCGATATCAGTCCAGATCGTTTCGAGAGGAATGTTGTTGGTGGAGTAGTTGGCGACAACAGCAGCAACCTCGTAGACATCCTGGTAGCCGTATCTGCACTGGTGGTAACCCAGTCCCCAATAAGGAGTCATCAACGGAAGCTGAGTGATTTCCGCGTACTGGATAGCCACATCGCGCGGGGTGGGCCCAGCAATGAAATAGAAATCAAGAACACCACCGATGATGTTGTACTCAAGGTACTGGGTGTCGGTGTTGTTGATGAAGATATCCATACCGTTGGAGTTGAGCAAGAATACTCCGTGGGTCCCAGTCTGCCTATGGTCAAAGTAAATCGGATGAGCGCCGTACAGGTTCTCTCCCTGGGGCGTTCCATAGGCATCACGGGTGTAGATGGTCCTGGTGTAGTTGGTCGTGTTCAGCATGAAGGAGTCACTGTGCTCGCCCAGTCCGTACAGATGCGGGTGCTGGGGAAGGTGTGTCTTGAGGTAAACATATTGGCTCTCGAACACCAGCTTGTTGCCAGTAGTATCAAAGAGGACTTCACCGGTATCGGTCCGAGACACGGTAAACGAGAAGGGGTCGGCTTGGAAGTCGAACTTGAGCTTGCTGTCCTTCGGGGAACACCATTCGCCGAACCCGGGGCGCGGGAAGACACTGTCTGGAACTTGGTAGACAGTGTTGTTGGTATCCAAGATCTTGACGTGGAGGCGGTCGCTGGTCTGATACTCGACTTCCAGCTTCAAGTCCGGGAGATCAGTCCCAAAGACATTGCATGCCGGGCCCGCGAGAGTCAAATCCGCATAAAAGCCAGAGCGAGTCTGCCAGTGCTTCGTGGCTTTGTATCCCGGACACCCAGAAAGGTCCTTCACGTATAGATCGTTTCCGGGGCCATCAAGATCCTCCACTCCTTCCTTGCTCTGGGCAAAGACGGAGGCGCTCAGGGCCGCAGCCGAAGTGAGCAGCTTCTTGAGATACATGGTGAATGAAGCCTTGAGGAAGAGAGAAGAGATGGCCTGCTGCTGGCCTTATATAGCTTCACTGGTCCCTTTGCCAAGGCCCGGTCTTGGCTCTTGGGGAAGGGGAAAATGATGCAAGATCACTTCTCCAGCTCTTCCCCCCGGGCCTGTGCCCACTGCTGGATCCACCACGGCCCTTGGCAAATTTTCCGGGCGCGTCCGAGAGCTTTCCAGTATGGGCAGGTAGAGCTCTCACGGCCGGAAGAAAAGAACGAAGCGACCCGGAGCCGTGGAAGCTCATCGGCAAAAACAACAATGCTTGGTCTGGTTCTCCGGCAAAAGCCCGAGAGACTGCAACCCAGTCAGTTGGCACTCCACAAACTCCGCGACGATCGTTGCGTCCCTTGTCTAGCGCCCCCGGTAAATATCCGTCCTGGGTCTTCCCTAGCTCTCTGGTTGGTCGGTGCTGCAGGCGAAGGACGCTATATTAGTTAAACGATTCAGACGGACCATTGAGCGCTGAGCTTTCCCCGGGCCTGCTCCACATTCGGTGCGCACTCTTTACTCCCGGAGTACTGTGGCGCATCCTCATTACCGACAGTATGGTGGCACGATTACCACATCGGGATATTTCAACGTTGTCGGCATCGCGGTCCGGGCGAAGCCTGGAACTGAGAATACCGAGCAAGCTGTATTCTACATGGGTAACCCACGAAAGGCTTCACATTTACGAAGCTGATACGCCAGTGGGGCCCCGCAACGGACGCTCTATTCCCCACAGACAACCTGGCTGTGCTGAGGTGGATGGCATGTTAGACCATGGCATGACAATTGGCTCATCACTTTTCGGAATAGCATTCAAGAGCTCTTCTGATGGTTACCGTCTGGTGGACTAAGAATTCTGGATCCGAGGAGAGGTCATCCGTCCCCAACTGACCAACATTCAATACCCCTCGCCAATGTCAACGCTGGAGAAAGATTTCACAGGGTGGATGGTAACAATCGTGACTGGACTAATTAATATGATCTGCTGCAGGAACAGGTAATTAGAGTTGATGCACGGCACTCCAATCACCATGGTGCTGATATGCGGTCATAATTAGGGCTAGGCCTGGCAGTGGTAAGACCATTTATCCGCGCACGTAGATAGAAGGAAGTCAATAGTGCCACAAAAATCGCTGATAGCACCCTTGCATAGCCAATGGTTCAAGCGCAATCATTGGTATATAGTTATATTATATATATTATATATGTTGAGAAGCACTGCCTGATACTTCACCAGGATGGAGGCTATTGTGGGAATATATTACCCAAGTCAAATACTTGGGAACAGTATTAAGTAGAGCTAATTCACGATTATGGTCTCCCCCCTCGTAGCTCAAAGGTAATGATAGTAAACAGGGACATGTTATTAGACCAGCTTGATGTCCCGCCACGGTCCAGATAAATCCATATATTCTCCATGCATCAGGCCATCAATGTAACATTCCCCTATCACACGGTAGTGGCCATCTAGCGGGTCCGTTTCACGAATTATAAAAGGAACCCTACTACCATGGAAGAGAGCAATTCGATCGCCCTCATGAGTGTTTGCTGGGACAATGCCCACTTTCTGCATATCCGTGCCGCATGCAACGGCAGGCGAGAAGATATCTGCGAATCTAGAGGCGATGGCGTTGTATGCTTGGGACTCCGCCGCCCATATGTCATTCAAATAATCTATCCTTTCAGATAAAACATGAGCCTCTTCAGAGTCCATGTCGAAGTCACCAATGGGCAGTCTCTGCTTAATAGCCGTAGTCTGCTGTGGAGTAAGGTTTGGTAGAAATTCATCGACCATTGCAGAAATCTCTTGACGATAGGCGGGAAACGAACTTGTGTACGATGGGCGCGTGCCTACGCGTGATACACGATCAACTAGGTATCCCCGGAGGCATAGGAGCTTTCCAGGACCTAGCTCGCCAGAGACATGAAACTTGGAGGCCGCAGTGAATCTATGTGGCTTGCGTTTGCATTTCCATTTCGATAGAGTCCTGGGGTAAGGTGCTGATGTCCAATCTGGAACCCAGGATGGAAATGTGTGATCCGAAGACCGCCCACTTCTGTACAGTAGTTCCATCATATGACCATTCTTGACGAATGTGCATGCGTATCGCCAGATAATATCTTCCAGTGGAGCTGTGTAATCTGGACGGAGTTCCTCACAGTTATCGCTGGCTAGGTTTAGTAGTGCAAACAATTTATCTCGTCTCTGGGTCGCCTCGTTCAACTGGAAGTGCTCAAATAGCGATAGTAGTTGATATTTTGCTTCAAATTCTCCACTCACCCAGCAGTCCTTCCGGAGCTTATCGAGACGCAGGACAGAGCCTGCTCTACTCCCTCGAGAAATGAGTAGGTCTGAGCTGTATTGCTCAGCATGTTGAAAAAGCCGTGAGACTATATCACAGAAATGACCCCACGGAACACACTGATCACCACACCAGACGATAACGTCTCTCGCTAGAACTATTTCCTGCACAACCCATATTCGCCGGAACCATTTGCGTTCAAGCAGCTTGCATAGGTTATTCCAGAATGTGCGCACTATGGGTGGGATTAGGTCGTCTCCACTGCGAGGTGGCATAGTGAGTTCCAACGATTGCTTTGCAATTTCGTTTATGGTCTTGAGAACCTCAAGACTACCATCTTCATCCTCGCCAATCCACGCGTATACGCACGTGGCCCATCTAAAAATGTCCGGCATCATGGATATTTGAGAGGCTTTCTCAACATTATCATTCTGGTTGATGCAAATCGCATCTACCCAGAGCATTCTTGGCTCTTGGCACTTACGCATTCGCATCAAAGCCAGATATAAAGATGTTGTGATAGGAATATACCCTTCCGGGGTGTGCAGCTTGAATGGCTGAATAGCACTTCCCCAGGTATAAGAAATAGCGTCATACTCGGGCCGGCCTGCTATAGCTGAGTGTATCAATTCCCCTGTGAGGTCTTCATCCCCTCTTCCTGGCAGAAGATAAAGAAGTCTTATCTCTTTTGCTGCTTCATCCAATGGGCTCTGGATGTACAGATGTGGTATTGCCGACACAAAGGGTCTAGACTTTCGGGATACGGTGCCATCACGCTCCTGTGGCTTCTTGCTTTGGAAGTCAGTGAGCTTTATCCCACGACGCGAGCCATCGTGTATATTCGCGAGTAGGTTTGATTGGGTCCTTATCAGGAGCTCTTGTTCACTAATCATATCCCATGGATCCATGAACATGTGGACGCTGGGATTGTTATAGATATTGGAGACTCGTATGAGAATGTAGATGCGGTCCTGCTGCTCGGACGAATCTCGCACCCGCCATCTACGTGCCTGTGGCCATGCCTGTTAGCATACATATCTACCCAACTGGGTAAAGATTTCCAATGGACGGGCCGTAGGTCAACCTCCATCCTTCAGCTCCGAAGGGGATTTGGCAGAGGGAAAACCTGGAAACGAAAGGCAGGAGGGGAGTGCTGCAGGGAGATGCCATGAATCACCCACCATGTCCAGATCGAGCGCACTCCAGGAAAAGGATGCAGATGTACCATCTACTGTGGTCTGGACATCAATACGGTAATCAGGGGGAAGGTATGCCCATTCTGCCGCCCTTTTGACTGAATTTGCTTTCAAGAAGTCGGTCATTGCTTGACCAGTTTGAGCATCAATATAAAAGCCCGACATAGGAAAATTGTCTTGCACCGTGAAAGGGGCATGGCCAAGGCGAGTTCGCAAGGGGCTTGTCCAATGTATATCTGGATCATATGCGCTGCCAAGAACGTGCCGTAGAAACTCGGAGACCTAAAATATTCAGGACACTTTAGCTAGCATTCACAGCAATATGTGGTGAGAGTATCTTACAAATACTTCTCCGAGAAACGCCGGCTCATGGTCAGTTGGGTTATTAGAATTACGTGCTATGAAGACAGTTTGCCCCCCAGGGTCAAGTATCTGTAGGCGTGCAGGTAGCGTTTTTTGACCTTGAGTAATTCCCTCAAAATCCACCTCGGGCAATTCTTCCACAGTAGAGCAAAAGATAATGTCAGGTTGTGGTGTAAACCTGGGTACTCTATGTTGATAATATAAATCTGTCAACTGTGCGATACTCATATTATCCCGATCATCCAACTGCGTATGCCCAGTCTCAGATGGATGGACCCATTCGCATTGTGCAAAGGACACCTGTGTGCGGTGGCCATCCGCCTCTGGAAAGACGGATATCTGCTGCCACTGTTCTATGAAACTTACCTTTTTATTACTGCCGGTTACTTGTTCCTCGGATCTGCTCATAGAGGGCAGATTGCAGTTCATTGCAGTCGGTATTTCTGAGTCTTCAGACGATTTGCTAATCAATGAGATATCATCACGGATGGCGTTTGATTGAGTCACCTGTGTAATCTCATCTTCTCTTGACGACGAGTCGTTCCTGCGACTTAACTGGTCCGCATACATATAGGTACTGAAACCTAGCCCTGGCTTAGTAAACAGGAGACCCTTGGTTGCCGAATTTTGATACAGTTACTACTCACAGCTCATGGCCCGAAAAATCCCTCCTCGACCTAGAGCATCGTGCAGGAGCTGTATGTCATTCAGCAGTAAAGCTGCCCATAATAAGCTCCTGTGTTCAAAAGGGATCCCGCACAATTGTGACAGCTGTTCACAGAGCTCGAAAGGCAGATTTTGTGCATCTGCATCGCTATGGCGTATGTAAAGTCTTACGCTGTTTTCCTCTCTGACAATCAAAGCCAGTTTAATGTCCTCATGTGTGTCGATAATGTACCCAGATGGATGAAGAACGGTCCATTCGACAGTCACTTCATCAACACTTCGCACTTCTATATCCCGAAGCAATTTGGATATCTCGGACGGCTGAGACAGGTGATTTCGAGCCAGGCTACGTCAGGATAAGAGAGGAGCGACAGATAAACAAGGCAAGATGTGCCCTACCAGGATATGCATTCAGCTTTGGACAAGAGCAGACTTTTGTAGTCGTCCTTCACTACGGAGGCCAGACCCTGCCGCGGCCTGCAAATTGCTGCCTTGGACAGCAACCGATCCTCGATAAGCAAGGCGCGGAACAATCTCGACATGCGTGCTAAATCCTCGGCACCAAACGCGAGCATGGTCAGATGTCCATGAAAAGTCTCCAATAGGCGGGGCTGGTCTGCAATAAACCAACCATCATGCCGTTCGCAGGTTTGTAACGTTGGTCGGGCTTCACCTCTCCTCGTCGGAAAGATTGGGAAGGTGCGGAGGGCCCCAACTGCTTCGTACCCACACTTGGAGTCTTCCAGAGATAGAAGGTGATCTATACACTGGAAAATCGCACTGATACGCTGGAGCGAGTCGGCCTGAGATATTTGCTTGGCCTCACTAATCAGTGCGGCCAAAGCGTCGTCGCCCATGACCCATCGGAAGGTGTCCAGCACACGAGATCAGGGCGTAGGCCAGGTGGAATGTCGGGGGAAAATGCGTTAAAAAGTCAGCTCTTCCCAGAAAAGAGCCCCGAGCGCTGAGGGCCGCCGCCATTTTGGCCTTGTGGGTTAGTCCGCTGTATGTTGGTATTCTCGTTTCATGTTTGCTTTTTTTTGCCCCTCCTCCGAAACAACCGAGTATCAGCCTCGCCTCCACTCCCAGATTCCCTATTACATCTTTTCAAACACAAAGACTCAGCTATTATAGTACTCCCTAAAACCTTTAAACCTGAATAGTAAGTGATGGTGGTATTTCTCGGCCATACACGAGCGTCGTCCGACGGACTTCGGATTCTTTCCATGCACTATACTCAATGCAGAATAGCCATTCATCTTGAGATATACCCAGATCGAATGCCCGTATTTTGCTTTCTCTTTCACGAAATCCTGAATTTTCTCCCAAATTCCGGTCCATGCTTGCCCACTTACAATCCGGAGTATTCATCGCACCTCAGCTGGTAGGAGTCTCAGCGGATTCAGGGCTAATGCAACACGTGCTGCACCGTAATTGGTCAATGATAGAACCTGACCCTCTCGTTTTCATCTGGCTGCAGGTCGAGATTGATCTAAGTATTGATTGGCTCGATAGATTTGGGGGGAGAGACTAAGTGATTATTGTAGAGGGTAGAAACGAGCAAGGAAGGTGTCGAAGGGGATGGCGCTATATTGAGAATTTGTGACTTTTGGAGCCAGGACTCACGGTTGCAAACCCAATGTAGAGTTTTCTGAACATCCTATTCATATGGAAACTTCACATATCTAAGTTAATAATATCCCAAAAAAATATATATATAATAGTTGAAATACTATACTTCAATCCCACTCAACCAAAACGCCAGATGGCGCTAAGTGTCGTCCCTTGGAAACTCCATATCTAACCACAGAGTGCAAGAAGATACAATGTTGCGATGTTTACCTAAGTACATGCAGTCTTTGACCAGATCCTGGAGTCAGAATAAGTTGGGTTTTTTCGGCTAGATATAAACTCCAGACAGTTCTATCAAAGTATAACTAGAGCTGTCGAGCACCTGTGAATAAATGTTGCTCTACTTGATCTGCACAAAGTGAGGTTAGTAGGTATGCTATCAAGACTCAGTTGGCATCGTTAATGTGCTGGTAAATAGCTGGCCTGGATTACTCCATAACATACCTAATCCTGCTGCAAAGAAAAGATCCAACAGTTAGCACTATGAAACCGAATAAGACTATGCAGCCATCGACCTGTTGGAGCCTGATCTTAGTGCAAGCCTCGAGCAATTTCATAGCGGCCTGATTGAAGATATATCAATGGAGGAGAGCAAATGAAATACAACAAGAACTAACTGGCGGCAATCGAATGGCAAGGGCAGATGATAAACTTAGCCCTATCACAACAGGTCTCAGCTGAGCAGGAGAACTGCCATAGAACTGGCATAGCTGGGTAATAATACATTTCGTAGGTAGTGAGTGGTGAAGGCGGGATATATTTTCATATACGCAAGTCCTACCAAAATGTTGGTGTATATGGACTGCATGATATGTCCGTGGGCCCGAGCTGTCCGTAGACGATTTAAATGTATCGGAGCGGCAACTTGGTTATAAAGTGCTGACTACACCGCAGCTATAGAATAATAACACATCTAAGAGATGCGTGTTCATGGGGAGTGTTATCTTGACTAGTGAATTAGTGGTTCCACAGGAATTTGTGCTTATTCTTTGGGTTGATCTAGCTCGAACGTAATATATCATGAATGTGCCCACTATCCTCCACTTACCAAGGTTACCGTGAAGACTCAAGATACCTGGAAACCCAGGCCCAACTCCGACAGCAACACCCCAACCACTAGCAGCTAAAAGAAGGGATGAGGATTGACTCCCGCAGTCATGGTCTGCAATACATCCCAGTGCTCCACAATCTTCAACCCGTCGAAGCGATACATATCCATGACCGCCGTATCATTCTGCCCTGGCGTAACAGACTTGACATGAACAAGACCGTAGTCACCGCCCACAAAAAGCTGGTGGATTTCAAAGACAATGCCCTCCGTCGAGAATAACGGAGTCAAGGCTTCAATGGCAGCCTGTCTTCCGTCCAAGATGTTCGGGTTATGTTGGGTGTAGTTTTCAGTCACGTATTTGTTGAATGCTTCTGCGACTTGCTTTTCGGTGTAGAAGAGGTGAGAAAAGTCCTCGAGGATAGCTTGTCGGTTCTCTTGCAGGGAGTGTTGGTTGTTCTCGTTTGTGGATGTTGGATGATGTCCTTGTAGATAGGCGGCACCTGCAAGACCTAGAAACGCGCTGGCGAGTATGGAGAGACGGAGTAGAGACATATTGAGGAACACTTATTAGCTTTGTAAATCATGAAGGACTGATTTTAGAGGTTGACAAATGGGATACGCTTTCTTATACAAAAGTGTTTGTTAGATTCATGCCTCCACATGCCGATGTAGATCAACGGGTCGGGACCTCCACCGGCAAAATCACCGAAACACAGCTGTGGTCTAGTCGAAATGCCTCTAAGGATCTAGACCACTGCATTGAGTGAAGTCCGGGGCAAACTCTGGGGATACTTGGCTAACTGACTGCTTCGATTGAAAACGTCTCAGACTATGTCAACAGCACTTGAGGACCATACACTGCTACGTACCGACAACATATACCAAAGGTCAATCCCTGTTCGTAGGGAAAATGAGACGACAGAATACCACCAAGCCTTGAGGTATTATTCACGTAGTTCATATGGTAGATAATCACAAATTCAACGTAAGCGAATGACGACCAGTCACTTCTATTTCTGATAATGCTAGTTCTGTTGAAGGTTGGAAAGAAGTTTCAACATCTTTGTATAGATGCATTTTATAACGAAGAGACAGTGTGTATGCCTCCAAAAGCCTCTTCGTTTAACGAAATTAATGGGTGAATTACGATTATTTTTAAGAATATTATTAGTTACTAAGTTTAGATTGTAGCCAGTAACTATTACCTTAGAATATTGATTAGATTAGACTGGATATTTAACACGATCAAAATAATTAAGGCATAGAAGTAAAGCAGAATATATAGCGCATTATAAAACTAAAGATATCGGTACAAAATCTCTACTGTCTGGAGCCATAATTTAGTGCGCTGTAGTATAGGCGGTATAGGGGGCCAAATGCTTTCTGACCCTTGTGTACTTACACTCTAATATGACACCACGTACTGACCGGTACGCCTGTGGTATGGAAACATGACATAGCAGTTTTCGTACCTCGCGGCGGTCCCATCCTGCGTATCTAATTAACCTTTACGTAATCTGGTTGTCATGCTGTTCAAGAAGAAGCTTCATTACCATGGCAGCTCTTGGTTGTTGTGCGAGCACATTCTGTCTTGCCTTTCTCAGCACTGCATCTGTGATTTGCACTTTGTTGCCCTGTTGCAGGAGAAGCTGTACGAGGTCCAACGCATAGCATTTATTCGAGACTGCTGCGATAAGCACTACCTCGGTGACCCGTATCTCATTGCCCCGGTGCTTAATGAGAAGCTTCATGAGTTCCAGGCCATAGTGAATGTTCGATGCTGCTGCGACGAGCGCGTCATGTGTGATCCAATTTTCATTTATCTGTTGCTGAAATAGAATGCGACCGGCTCGGGAAGGGTAGGATTGTCTTTGTGACATGGCAAGCGACACTGTGTGTGCGATTGTGATTTCACTGGCTCGTCGTTGAAGAAGGGTATTCAAAATATGTGGTCTATCGTAGTTCCTTGATAATGTTCTTAAGAGTAATTCCTGTACCCCTTCAATGTTATATCCCCGGGGCTGAAGAAGGAGCAGTAAGTTCTTCAGGTGGTCCCAAATCTCTGTTGCATCCATGGCTACCCCGTCACTTGTTCTAGGAATGCCTTGATGAAAGTCGCCCATGGCCGTTATGCTTGCGCGTACAGCGGGGACAATGTCTGTTTTCTCAATCCCAAAGTAGCGCCTTTCGAGTATATTCTCCAATTCTTCTAGATTTGATGACGACATGTGGTGCTGTAGGAAAAGTTTGTTCAGTAATCCCAGATTGTTTACTAGCTTCCGCAACGTTGGAAAGTACGATTTCTGGGTACAATATATGTGGTCATCAAATAGAAAGCGAACGACATCCCGGATGAGGTCATGTTCGCTCTTCTCATAATCAGGTCTTATCATATCCGTGTCCTGCGCATCCGAGGATAATCCAAGCAAGGCATATATCTTATCGCAAGGAAGGCCTGCTTGGCTCTCACAAAATTTGATTAGGAGGGTATAAAGATCCCGGTTCATGTTCCACCATGTGCCACTCCGGGATGGTCCAGGCATTATATCCAGGACCGCTTGACAGTGTGCACGCGGGCACATCTCTAGTAAGAGAGGAGCGAGAGGAAAGATATGAGCCGAGACAGATGCTTCTCCGCAGCACACTAGGCCAGCTCTTGCATTGGCCACTTCTTGCAGGATCCAAACCCTCTTAAACCAAGGTCTGCTCAGCAGCTGCATAAAGCCCTGGCGCTGTTGCAATTGGAGGTCGGGATATCTGGCCTGCAGACCCGACTGTACGGCTGACCAGAGTTCGACCCAGCGCCAGTCCGAGAGTTCCCACGTCTTGGATGCATGCTCGGTACCTTTCTTCTGGAGCTGTCTTAGAGAATTTAGAATCACATCCGTCGCGTCTGTTGGCTCGCCGAGCCAAAATATAACTCTTTCGGCCTGTTTGTATATATCCCCCATGTGACGAACCTGATGCCCACGCTCTTTATCATTCGTCTGGTCTATACAAATCCCATCCACCCAAAGGATCCGGTCCTCATCGCGGAAGCGAAGATACTGGAGGGCATTGTATAGGTTGTGCGTAATACCATGTCTTTTTCCGTTCATTCGTACGGTCCTCACAATTTCGGTGGAACCCCACGTATAAGAAAGAGCTTCGTATGAAATAGGACTTTGCTCTGGGTAGAGCCACGCTTGGAAGAGCTCACAGTCGATACGTGGTCCATGTCCATGGCAAAGACGGACGAGGCGAAAGGCTGGCCCGTCCAGGTCGAGAGGCTCGTGTTTGAACGATTCCATATTTTGCTCGTAGATCGGGTGATGAGAACCATCCATGGACTGTGGATTCGATCTGGAAGGTGCTCGAAAGAGAAACGAGTATATTCCCAAGTAGGTATGATGATACAGGGTAGTATGTGGTCGAATTGTAGTGGAGGGACTGTGGTAGTGTATTCTCAGCCTTGTCAGGTGCTTGTTGTCAAGGTGGAAGCAGTGATGTGTATAATGTGGCTGTGCTGTATGGTCAAAGATCTGCATTGTTTCTCGTATTCTCTATTCGTGCCATAAGAGTTATATTGAGCTGTATTCCACCTACATCCCGTCTTGAATACGTAGATATGAAACAGAGCGGATCCGATCTAAATATGAATATGACCAGGGCTTCTTAAATTATAAAGGAATATAGCAAAATGAGAAGCCTGGTTTAGAATGAAGGGGAAGGGTACGATCTGGACTCCACGGTTAGCATTGCCTTAAAGACAAACTGAAGCATCGGGGTGTTTCCTACTCTGTAGCAAAAGCACAACAATGGACTTCCAGACTTCCATCACTACATTCTTGTTCATAGGTAGTGGTAGTTTGTTGACATTCTAGTCCCACTACAATGAAAGTCTTGCAAAGATTGATTCCCTGTAGTAGGTTCAAATCAAGTAAAGACTGAATTCGGGTAACAGACATACACATTCATTCACAGAATGTATCCTGTCAAGGCAAGAAGGTGCTTAGTTAAGCACTATCAAGAAGGTGGTAAACTCAGGAAAGAGTGAATGTGTATATCACAAATGGCATCTGCCGAACAGCAACAGACAACAACAAACAAGGCAGGCCAACCAAGACCATAACCTTCTCTCTGCAACGAGAACCATACCACCATCCCCCATCAATATTCCTAACTTAACACACGCTCCAAACATGGAGAATTCATCTTCAACAACAGGAAACTGTGCCCACTGTCAGAGCCCAGCTACCAAAAGATGCAGCGGATGCTCTGGAGCCCCGGAATACGACGACGAGATCCCAGGGCCCACGCTCTACTGCAGCTCAGCCTGTCAGACACAAGACTGGGTTGAGCACAGGGCCAAATGCAAGCAGCTCCAGGCCCGCAAATCTCTTTCAAGAGCTGCCAACCTACTTCAAGCGATACTGTATCGAATCCGCCTGCGCGCTCATGGAGTCACATCTGCAACTGCCCATGTTGACGGATCCAGGGTGATCTTGTGCCCTGCTAAAGAAGAACAAGAAGAGGTCTATCGACCACTGGGGCCGCTATGTGTTGATCTTGAGGGCGGTGATCAACGCGCGTTCGATGCCATTGTCATGGTGAGCTCTTGTACAGAAGCGGTAGTGTATCTCTTTGTCTTTGTTCGAGATATCCTATCAGGTAGAATAACCCCACTGGTCTTGTTGGACTACCCGAGAGCTCTGCTGACTGCGCAGGCCTTTGCTCCAAAATCGAGGAACTCACAATTGACGTTCGTAGCCCGGAAATCTCCATCGAGAGGCCCGACGGTGTTTCCCTGACCACTACCAAAAACCACAATGTCTACCGTGTCACGCTGAAAAGCGGCGAAATATGGATAATCGATCCATCTGGAGCCCAGTATGGATTCGTGGAGTGTCTCTACACATGGCGCGATTTCGCAAAGGAGAGGCTGGGTGGGATTCACAAAGAGGACAAGCTAGGTTATCAGCGTGTACAGACTAGTCGAGACCATGCCGAGCACAGCGAGTTTTGTTTGCAGGTTTTTGACATGGAACTGTTGGAACTTGCTTCAGCGCTCGATGAGAAGATTCCTACACTTGCCAAGGTGTGTGGTGGGAACTTGAAATTGACCCTCCAGGGGTCAGATGCTGCATTTCAGAAAGCGAAGAATGAACTGCTTGATCAGTTAGGAAGATGTGTCGATCTTTGCTTGGAGGAAGTCTTCTCCCCTGAACGGATTGTAAAGAGATCAATGTTAGCTGACCGGCGCATCGCACGGAAGATATGAGTTTCTCATCTTGGAAGATAGGTTCTTGCTCGTTGATGCACCCAAGTGCTAATGTGAGCGCGTTGTCAGTGGCGCTTGTGCTGGTGTGAAAGGTTAGTAATAGGTTAAGCCGAATATGCTTCCTGATAGAGATGTCTGTCTCGACTCGGCAGAGTTCGACGAATGAATAGTTCTCTATTATTATCAAGAGATTCTTCGAAGCGGCCTGTTATAAACTATGTCAACTGGATCAGCACTCTGAATGTACGAATCCTTTTATGCTCAGAAGACAATATTATTCAGTTCAGCCTTCTAACTTCTATCTTTCCTGTGTCTTCTCTCTAATGGGTTTCTAATTTGCCTTCGCCATGGTCATTAACGTTTCAGTATTAGTTTAGTCTATATACTCCATGTTCTGGATGTTTGAAAATCTGTTACGGTGTATATTTAGGCGGACTCGGGCCTGAGCTCTCACGATGCTCCCCTTTCGAGGGCACATCCTCGTCATCAGAGCTTTCCGTAGTAACCCTCGAGGCCAGCGAAGCAGCAATACTCGACCGGGTTTCCGAATGTCTCGAGCAATGTCTTTTCTCGTCCCTCTCCGTCCCATAATCCCTCCCCCTAACAGAAGATGGCCCCGCGTCTAGTTCAGCAACCCCAGAACCCGGCAGCTCATAAATCGCACAAGAAGAGTCCGAAGGCAATTCAGGCCGACGTTCCCGACTACTATCCAGCTCTCTTGGCCCATTCTCAGACACACAGTCCGAATTGCTCACGGAGTCCGACAATTGGACGCCTTTCTCGGAGTTCACAGCCCGCCGCCGCCGCTTCTTTATGAACATATATGCCCCTGCGATAATAATAATAGCCCCCGTTCCGGTGCCAACGCCGATTCCCGCTTTTGCGGCTGCCGAGAGTCTTGGCTTGTCGAATAGCAAATCTTTGAGTTTTTGGTCCATGTAGGAGTCGATGGGAACGATGTCTGTATGAGATGCGACGAGGTTGGCGTCGAATTTGGCTTGGTAAAGTGAGAACTGGACTCTCTCGTAGTCGACCGCTAGGTATGCTTCTTGAAAGAGGACTCGGCCGAGACGTTGTTCGTCATTGGTGGTGGCGCGTCTGATGGGGAGATATGGGAGGGAGGTGTCGGGTTGTAGGGTTGGGTATGGATAGGTGAGGGAGTGGTCGAAGGCCTGGAAGGGGAGGGTTATATTGACACTTTGCGATGAGTCGGGCAGGTCGGAGATTGAAAGTGTGATGGAGATGTTCATGGCGAGGAGTTCGTCCCGGTGTGAGGTATCATTGCCGTATGTATAAAAGCCTAGACTATCATCGTAGGTGAGGTTGAGGGCCTCGCCAAAGGCATCAAAGGCGTTACTGGGTAGCCAGAGGTAGCTTGTTGAGGAATCGAGTGTGAAATATGTGCTACCTCCCGGATTCGAGGGGGCTATATGTTCGTCTATATGTGCGCCATCGTCGGCCTCTGCTCCGGATGAGATCGAGATGGTATTCAGTGAGACAACAGGGTCGGCGGTTCTGCTGAGATGGAATGTCGCGTTGTTGTCGTAGAAGCGCGCCCGATCCACGCCTCCAATGGTCAGAGATGCCGGTGCGCCTTTCAGCCCTGCGTACAAATATCAGTGAAAGCCTCGTGAGCATGGCGAAGTGTGTGGCATACGGTAGTAGGCGCCAGCGGTGTAGCCATAGGTGCCACTGGGAGCAAAGCTATCGTTTATATATGCAGTTTCCATGAGATTTAGGTCCAAGTTGTCGATATGGCCGCTTTGGCCCATGCCCAGTCCAAGTACCCCGATCCATGTGTCGGTATCATTTAGAATCTCAATCCTTTGTTCAGTAACTGGTCTAAAGTCCACCCATATAGTATCATTCCCATAGTATGCTTCGATTGAAGGATCCCCCGAGCCGGAATGTGAATCTTGAGGGTTCCATGTCGTCGATTTGCTGGCGTCAAAAAGCCCACCTCGCTTTTCAGGACAGTCTGCTACTGAAGCTATCTTTTTCTATCAGTCGACAATGGATACTGTGAACAGGATGGGGATTTAGGGAATCTGTCTGCCGGGAATGGAGGACATCACATACAGTTCTTGCAGCCACTCGCTCCAACAATCCATATGTCGGTGTCCACGGTGCTTGGGAAAAGAGAGACTGTTTTCAACTCTGATCCGACCCATATGTTCACACTAAGGATGGGTAAGCCGGTGTGGGGGGCGGTTTAGAATGGCAGTAGTAGCCTAACTTACGCACTCCAAGTCCCGTCATTGCCGTACCTGCGCAAGCGCGTAATTAGTGAACTGGCACGTGAAAGGGGCAGTTCACCTCCAAAGGGAAAACGTACCAGCCGACATCGACGTCCACCGAGGCAGGCTCTGACTCTGGCTCGGCCTTGGCAAGACAGACGGGCAGTCCGACCAGAAGAGCTATGCCCGCGAAGCTCTTCATACTCTGGCGTCAGGGCATGGACAACATTGAACTCCGAGTGTTGTTTAAGCCACAATCAGGTACTGTCAGGAGAGATCGAGTCCACACAATAAGTAAACTAGATCATGGGGGTTCTCGCCTTCCAAAGGGGTCGTGGGTATGGGGGTGGAGATGAAACCACGGTACGGGTTTGGTTGCCAAGCATTATGGAACTGAAAATTTCCAACGTCGGCCCTATTAGGCAGGTCGATTAAGATGCTTATGGACATTCATCTCGATTCATATGCCATATTTGGTAGGGTTACATTGCTAAAGGCCAGACATCCGGCAACACCGATGCGGGTCGATCATTTTGGTCGTCAAGCATTCACCTGAGTCACACCTTATGCTGCCCTACTCTTGTGTGCCTGCGATAGCTATCTTTTATACGGAAATACGTTCATATTGAGATCAAACCTTCTTGGGCAGTGACTATGAGCATTATCGCTCAATCAGTGGCACCAGCTTCAGACTCTTCAATGCCAAGCCTGGCAGGCTGCAGCCTTTCAAGCATCACGGAATATTATTGCCCTACCACATGGGCATCTTCAGGTGCAGACCCACTTGGAATGGACAGAGCCACTAGCAATCTTAGCCAAAGACTAAATTCATCAGCAGCCAGTTATGAACGTTGTTGCCCTGTCTGGTCCACTATCTGGTGAGCCACACAGCCAGTCAACCCTAGTATGCTCCACGCTCAGCTCGCCACAAATGTTCTGCGCATATTCCATCTGGGCTTTTGGTGCTGGCTGACAAGTGATGTAGGTTGCGGAGTAGCCCTGGCCCATTCACCCAAGGTCCCCGGCGAGTTTATCGAGGCAACGGCTGTCAGCAACCAAGATAATTTATGGTGATCCGCGTACACCGATGCATTGACGAAGTGCTTCGGCTTTGATTTATTACATCTCAGCAAAGGTTCTTTAGAATGACATTTTACCGCAACTCATAGCTATGCTCACACACTCTTGTACGATTGACAGATTCAAGTGTATAGCAATGTTTTGCTTGTTCAATAGCATTTCATAGGATTCTGGATCAGCAGCTTAACGCTCTAAAAGGTCAAGCCCTAGGTTCTACTAAAGAAAGACATGTAGGAGCCCACAGTCACTCAACACTCAACATTATAGTTCTACGGCCCATCGGCCCAGAAAGGAGTGGGTCAGTCAAGCTGTCTAGATCTAATATTACCGCTGGTCTATACTGAAGATCCCTTGGCGTGATCCGATCGGGGGTCACCCAATTTAGGTCTATAGACGGTAGTGTGGGACAGTCCGTGTCATCAAGACATCCGATGGAATTGAAGAGGCCATCAGTAGTTTTATGTGTATCACCGTCGCCGCATTAATACGATAATGGGTTTTGTTGTTGGTTTCGCGTGTGGCGAGATAACCCTGAGTAATTTTTACATATTTATGTCCAATTGAGCCAAATCATATACGATTAACCCCCAATTCCGATACGCTTCCTATTTGATCACTGTAGCTGAACATATTTCAATCATTACGAATACACTACGTTTCCAGAAAACCTAGCCTTTCTTGAGATATAGCAAGGCAAGAAAAGGGATAGTCTAGCATTCCGGCGAGGTAGTGCCATGAAAAAGCTTGCCTTCTATAGCACAAGGATCATTAACGGGTTCGTGGTTCCATGCCTAGAAGTGCGTGCCTAGAGTGCGGTATATCAGTAGTATGCAGTCGAATATTATGATTCTGATACTGTAATTTAAGGCCCATGATGCACAGAATTGTTCAAAGGGTAAAATAAATCGGCGGTGTCCAGGTACAACAAAGGCTAACCACGCCTGCTAAGGTCTAAACCCTTCATCAGCCACGCATCAAACAATAGGTCCCTAGCGGTTGGCCTTCTCTCAGGGTCCCACTCCAGGGCTCTTCGTAAAAACAGCAGAAATCCGTCCTTGTCATCTCCTTGGATATGGGCTGCCAGTCTGTCAAGCGTTATGTCGGGCACTGGGGCAAGGTCTTTCCATCGGCCTGCACATTTTCACAAATTAGTAAGAGCCACTTGGCTATATGTTCAACCATGGTTAGATACATACCATCATTATCAAAGAATACATGACCAACCCGGCTTCGTTTCCCAAATTCAGCAGGAGGAATACCTAGAAGTGCAACCATCTCGGCAAGATGAACCCTGTCGTCGAAAATGCCATCAGTGTTTTGGCCGGGTGAACAGAGTGCGACGGCAAACAATATCCCAGGCCTTGATACAAAGAGAAGAGTTAGTATATGGGATAGTAATTGGAATGATGAAAAATATACCATAGTTGCAACGCTCCAAATGTAAACCTTGCAGTCCCAATTCATTTTTAGAACAACCTCACATGCTCTGTATACGTTGGGCATAATATCGTCGTGATGCTCCACATTGCCAAATCGAGCCTCGCCGAAGTCACTGAGCAAAGGTAATCCATTCCCTGGAATGAGGAGTTGGCTTAGATATATTTACCGGCCACAAGGCAGCATTTTTCTAGGTGAGGGCGCTTTGATCTCTCCCTCCTCGATATTCGAAAAAGTTTGCGGATCACCAGCGTGTAACAGAAGGTTTTTCAGCTGTATATCTAGAGGAGAATTAGTCATAGGCGATGAAATAACTAATAGTGGGCGAGTTTACCAGTATGTATCACATTGGCCTCGGTATGAAGAAAATCCAATACCCCCAAGACCTGTCGCAGACATGGCTTCAAATCGTCAAGGGTCATTACTCCTTCAGGGAAGAACCATAGAAATTGGTCCACGCTAAGTCCAAGAGGTTCGAGAACGAGACATATATGGCGCCCGTGAGGACCTTCAATTTAGAAGTGGCCCAGCAATTTGCGGATAAAAGACCTGCCTTTACAATCCGCCCGAACAGAGTTTATGTGGTTATAGATTCTAAGTTCGTGGTCCCTCTCGATGCCGTGGACGTAGACCTTCAAAGCAACATACTTAGGATCACTGGCAGAAGGTCAGCTCAGAGATTTGGTATAGTTCATATACACCATCCGTAATGAGCAAGGGATGGCGACATACACTAAGTCACGACAAAGCCAGACCGTCGATGTTACACCGTACCCCAAATTCACGAGTACTTGATATAGAGCGTCCAGGAGGTCTCCGATGTGAATAGGATAATACTTATCGGGAGCGTAAGTCGGCAAGGTCTCCTCTTCCACTCTATCGCTTGCATCAATAATATCACATCCTGAAGTAGGGAATACGCGGGGCTTAGCTAGAGCTGATATCGAGGACGACATTCTCCTGCGGTGGGTCAACATGGCTGGTGGTTGGGGGCATCCTCGAAGACTATATCTCGAGGTTCCAATGCACAGAGGAGGGCATATATGCGTCTTCGCATCGGAAATAATCCGTGGGAATGCGCGCGAGGACAATCGCACCATTATCATAGGAAAGAGACATGCAGTGAGTATGGTGTGACTTTTGGGGATGCACGAGTTAAGATGACCAAACGAAGGTCAAGTGCTTTTAGCTGAAGGGGGCGGAAGAGCCAGAAAATCTGCTCCGAGGTGGACAGTATGCGCAGACTGTATATGCAAGAAGGAGCCCCCTTATGGAAAGCAAAGTCTCACTATACACCAAAAAGTGACAGTAGGCAAGAAACATCCTATAGCCAACAGAAAAGCCCGTTAGCGTAGTTCTTGCAACGCCCTGGTGGTCCAGTCCGAAATCGCAAACAGGTTTATTTTTCAGGAAAGTGAATGTAAATAGGCCTGAGCATGATGACAACTAACGACAAGGAGGTATGCTGTGGCTCGGCTTATGTCAAGATGCTGCTATACCAGCTCCGGCCCAGGCTGGTGACTCTAGCTATCATCACAGCGTGCTACAATTCACTGAAGGAACCTATGGGTGTGAAATCTATCATGGTGGGCGCAAGATGACCTCAGTTATAATCATTCGCAAAGCCATAGAAAACCTCAGACGGTGTGTATACATAACTTTACCGGCGCCATACCCGGTGATTCCTAATTCTAACCAGATTTTGATCTATAGTTGTCATTCAAGATCCTCATCGACTTCGACATTCTATTCTCCCCGAACCAATATGAGCCGAAACCTTGTTAGGGGTCTCCAGACTACGACCAGAATGCTGATTCAGTTCGTTGGTGGTGTCAGCCCAGATGATATCCTCGTCAGTAATGGACTCACAGGACCAGCGTGGGAAAGGTCCGCCAGGAGAGTGACAGATGCCATAGAGAAAGCCGTAAGTGGGCCGGTCTTTTTATAGCTCCACACGTAGCTGATTGTTTTCAAGGATCCAAGAATTACTGTTGCCATAATTCAGTATGAATCTCCCTCCCTTCAACCTTCCATGATTATATTCCTTCTCCGCTAACACAGCTACCTAGGGGTGCTAGGGCTCACTTTTCGTCCAAAGACAAGAGTGACCATGAGATGGTCATCACTATAGGGCTCGCTGCCACTGCTGGAATGCAAATTGGCTTTGTACACGTGCACGTCATTGGGATCTTCAAATTCTTTCCTTCGCTTGCTGGAAGACAAGGTGGATATGATGCAAATATCGCACGTGCTCAAATTGAGGTTCATATCAACAATTCAGAAAGCAATCCCACCAACGAGGGAAGTGACAACAGCAAACCCAGCCAGGACTGAATCATACAGCAAATGGGACGGTACGGCTAAGTGCGGTTTCTGAGTGCCTGAAAGGGTTCATGTGGCCTGCGAACTTTCTTCCTGGTATGAAATCCGATACTCTCTCCATATCATCACTCAAGGAGTTATGTTCCTGTTAATTGTACCACCTGTCTTTCCCTGGTCGTAGCCAACCAAAAGGGGGATGAAGGAGACCGGCGAGCATACAATCTCCTCAATCAATCAATTTATGGCCCTGTGTATTTAGGGTTTGCTGGAAAAAGCTATGGCATACCATGTGTTACAATTGTTTCTAGGAAACAGTATTCCTACAAGGGGCGTTCAAATACTCGTGTTTCAGAACGATGTATAGCACTTTTATCTTCTGTCCAGGACATACCAACCACTGGAGGAATAAGCTAGCCTTCTGAAGTCAGTCACCGCTCTAAAGAATGATGTAGGATCTAAGTTTTGAAAGGCCGTCGTCCAATTCCTCTGGACAGAAAGAGCAAGCGTTATCATTGGCATACGTTTATAGTCTGCCAAAGAAGAAAGAAATAAACTCTCTTACGCCATTGATTACATATCTGAAGATAAATTTAGTTCTCCCTACCGAGGTGATTCTTCTTTCGTAGCTGCATGTGTGGCTCCATCGCCATTGATGCCGACCCGAGCTCGGCCATGGCGCCGTATCGGGAGAATCCTCCTAACGGTTATGGACCCCGTTCTCTTGATCACAATATACCATGCAACAATTTCCCAACTTCTTATAAAACCTCGATGGCAGGAAATAAAGATATTTGTTCCATGAGTAGGCGAGATTATGACGGTTCCTTCTATGATGTGCAAAGAAAAAAGATCAATCAGCTACTATCAACCACAGAGTTTCTTATTCTGGAGGGATGAGCCCCCAAAATGAGGCTCACGCGATGGTATAAATGTAACATGCACTAGCCAACTTGTTGAGAGAGGCTATAATATCTCAGCAGCACAATATCTACATAACATGCATACATCATCGCACAAGAGAAAATGCTCCGGCACTTTTCTTGGCCTGTCGGAGGTGCAGCCTAACTCGGTTTAAGTATTACGCTTCTTATCCGTAATTAGGTCCCGGTGGATCCCTCAAGACGATCAAGAAAGACGGTGGAACCGAACTAGAGCAGATTTTCTGTTTACTGATCATTGATGTGCATTCCTATCATGGTCGATTAGGATTCTTATCCTCAACCGCCCAATTAATGGCTCCTATTGAGTACCCGTATTGTTCGGCCGAGGCTGAAGCTTTTTTAACAACAAGCGTTGCTTCTGGGGTCGGTCCACAACGTGTTTTATATAATTGCGACAGCGTCACTGTAGCCTTTTTATTTTTAATTCCTCCTCTTTTATCTAGGCTCATTCCGGCTGAGCAGTTAGGTGTCTATTTGCTCAAACACTTTCGACAGGATGGAGGGCTCAACTCCCATTCCAGAGCCCCAAGGCTTGCCGCTCTTGGGAAATATCAAGGATGTAAACCCTGAGTTTCCCCTAGGGTCAATGGTAGGACTTGCTGATGAGCTTGGTATGCGCTACGCCAGGGAGATAGCTATGGATATATACTGAACCTCTCGATAAGGTGAAATCTATCGCTTGCGTTTCCCCGGCCGAACCACAGTTTTCATTTCTACATATGATTTGGTGAATGAAGTGTGCGATGAAAAACGATTCAAGAAATCGGTGAATTCGGCGTTGAGTGTATGTTCCACATCAAATACGCGATAAACACAGTGGCACTCATTCGATGCTGACCAAGGTCGTGTTACTGAAATACAGGAAGTCAGAAATGGTGTACACGATGGTCTCTTCACGGTAGGTTCGGGTGATGATCGATGGACGACTCAACTAATCGCTCCGTACAGGCTAAAGAAGGCGAAGTCAACTGGGGTATCGCCCATCGAGTACTCATGCCTGCATTTGGACCGCTCTCGATACAAAGCATGTTCGACGAAATGCACGACATCGCCACGCAACTGGCGCTGAAGTGGGCTCGGTATGGACCAGAGACCCCGATCATGGTGACAGACGATTTTACCCGCCTCACGCTGGATACCTTGGCGCTGTGCTCCATGGGCTTCCGATTCAACAGCTACTACTCGCCAGAGCTGCACCCGTTTATCGAAGCCATGGGCGACTTTCTCACGATGTCTGGGGAGCGGACGAGAAGGCTTCCGTTGCCGTCGATATTCTACAAGGGCCAAGACGAGAAGTATGAGGCTGATATTCAGGTTTTGCGGAAGACGGCGGAGGGTGTGCTGACGTCGCGGAAGGCCCATAAGAGTGAGCGAAGGGATCTCCTGACAGCTATGTTGGAGGGGGTCGATTCGAAGACCGGGCAAAGTATGACGGATGAGAGTATCATGGACAATCTGATTACCTTCCTGATTGCGGGTCATGAGACCACCTCGGGGTTGTTGTCGTTTGCGTTCTATCAGCTTTTGAAGTATCCAGAGATTTACCGCAAGGCGCGGAATGAGGTGGATGACGTGGTCGGTGAAGGGACTATCAAGGTTGAGCATATGTCCAAGCTTCCCTATATTGCTGCGGTAAGTTCATCTTCGTATGGGAGAGCGAGTGTCATTGACCGTGTATGGTTAGATTCTTCGTGAGACGCTGCGTATCAACGCCACTATTCCTTTATTCACGGTCGAGGCATATGAAGATACGCTTATTGGAGGCAAATATGCCGTCAAGAAGGGAGAGACCATCGTCAGTCTGTTGGCGAAGTCACACCTAGATCCCGCTGTCTACGGTGAGGATGCCAATGAGTTCAAGCCGGAGAGAATGTTAGACGATAACTTCAACCGGCTTACCCGCGAATTTCCTAACTGCTGGAAGCCGTTCGGCAATGGCATGCGGGCGTGCATTGGTCGCCCCTTTGCCTGGCAGGAGGCATTACTGGTGATGGCCATGTTGCTTCAAAACTTCGACTTTGAACACGTTGATCCAGACTACAAGCTCGGTATTAAGCAGACGCTCACCATCAAGCCAAAGGATTTCTTCATGACCGCCAAACTGCGTGGCAACATGTCGCCAACGCAGCTTGAGCGTCGCCTAGCGGGCATCGAGGCCCCTATCGGGGGGAAGCAACTCTCGGCGTCTAATGGCGATGCTGGTGCTGGGACAGGACTTCCTCTGACTATTCTTTATGGCTCGAACACTGGCACTTGCGAGGCATTGGCGCAGCATCTCGCGGCTGACGCTGCTTCGCATGGGTTCCACGCATCGACGGTTGATTCTATGGACAGCGGCTTTGAGGCATTGCCGACTGATCGACCCATCGTCATCATCACCGCATCGTACGAAGGCCAGCCGCCCGATAATGCTGCCCGGTTTGTGTCTTGGATGGATGGCCTCAATGAGGAACAGAGTCCCTTGAAGGACTTGACTTACGCCGTATTCGGCTGTGGAAACCATGAGTGGGCACAGACCTTCCACCGTATCCCGAAGCTTGTGGGCACGACCTTTGAACGAGCAGGTGCGAGCCGTGTGGCGGAAATCGGACTGGCGGATGCCGCGAACGGGGACATCTTCACCAGCTTTGAGACATGGGAGGACGAGATCTTGTGGCCAGCATTGGCTGAACGTTATAGCGTTGCTGCAGACAGCATGGGCAGAGCGGCCCCGGTGGACGCAACGGTGTCAACTCCACGACTACTGACCCTGCGACAAGACCTTCAAGAAGCCATCGTTGTTGACGCGTGGGACCTGTCAACCGGCGAGGAATCCGTCAAGAGACATATTGAGATCCGCTTACCAGAAGGCATGTCATATCAACCAGGTGATTACCTCGCCGTCTTGCCTGTCAATCCTAAAGAGAATGTTCACCGAGCTATGCGCCGCTTTGGTCTCGCCCGGGACGCATATATCACCATCACCACCAAAGGACAGACATCTCTTCCGTCCAACGAGTCGATATCCGCGTATGACATTCTCAGCTCGTACATCGAGCTGGCGCAACCAGCCACGAAACGTGTATGTTCACCCTCATCACCCAGAAACCACCCAGCTAACCTCAAATCACCAGAACATCCACTCGCTAGCCGAAGCAGCGCAAGACGAGCGCACCAAAGCCGAACTCAGCCACCTCGCCACAGAGGTCTACACCGAAGAAATCAGCGCCAAAACCGTCTCCGTGCTCGACCTCCTCGAGCGCTATCCGTCCGTGACCCTCTCGCTCGGCTCATTCCTCTCAATGATGCCGCCCATGCGAGTCCGACAATAGTGAGTTCCCCAACCCAAACTCCACCCAGGAAACAAACACTAAGTAATATGTAACCCACAGCTCAATCTCCTCCTCCCCACTCTCCAACCCCAACCATGCAACCCTAACGTTCACCATCCTCGACAAACCCGCCTTGTCCGGCCAAGGCCGCCACATCGGCGTGGCCTCGTCTTACCTCGCCTCGCTCATGAAAAGCGACGTCCTCTCCGTCTCCATCCGTCACCCCCAGGCCCCATTCCGCCTGCCCGAGAACCCATCCCAAACCCCCATTATCTGCATCGCAGCCGGAACCGGCATCGCCCCCTTCCGCGGTTTTATCCAGGAGCGCGCTCTCCTCCTCGCGCAGGGCCAGACGCTAGCACCCGCGGCCCTGTTCTTCGGGACGCGGTCGCCGGAGCAGGATGATTTGTATGCCGTGGAGCTGACGGAGTGGGAGCAAGCTGGTGCTGTTGAGGTTTATAGAACGTTTAGTAGGTGTTCTGAGGCGAGTGAGCAGTGCAGGTATGTGCAGGATCGGGTGTGGAGGGAGAGAGAGAGGTTTATGGAGCTTTGGGAGATGGGGGCGAAGGTCTTTGTTTGTGGGTCTAGGAGTGTTGGAGACGGGGTTAGGGAGGCGATTATTAGGATTTTGGTTGAGGCTGAGGGTAAGGATAAGGATGGGGTCACGGCGAGGTTTGAGGCGGTTCGGAATGTGCGGTATGTGACTGATGTTTTTGATTAGAGTGTGGTGTTACTAGTGTATGTTGTTAGCATGGAGGCGATTTGCCTAGCTAGGTCCTAATCGGGCCTAAATCTATAGACTATGGCCATAGCATAAACATTCTTCCACTTTCGACCGTGGGGATATTCTTATATCGTTTTTTCCTCCTTCGTCTCTGTCTTTCCCCTAGCTCCACATGCGTCCATCCGTACAAATATGGAGGGGCCCCGTGGGTATCGAGCAGAGGGTTACGCCCTGAAGCTGCGAAGATAGACATAGATTTTGGTATGCAGCCATCTTAGGACTGGGAGAAGATTTGAGAATCAGACGAAAAGGCAAAAGATGATAAATCCGGCATCTCATGGCTCGTCGGGTATAGCACCTAATACACCTTAGGATAAATTGTATTATGAGAGTCTGAAATGGGTTTGCTGTATGGCTATCGAGAAGGAATCCATTATAAATGCTTTAGATACTGAGTAGGGACCAATATAAACTAAGCCCAACTCATTAAAACAGATCCCTCATTCCGCATCTCCCTTCTTCTGCTCCACCATCTCTCTCTCCTCCTCCTTCTCAGTCTGCCTCTCATCTAAACGCACATTCTTCAAAAAGAACATAATAACCAGCATAGGCGCCAGAGCCGCAATAGCAGCAATAGCCAACAGCCGCTGGGACTCCCGATAACTGCGATCAATCGCGATTCTGACAGGCTCACCCACAGGATACTTCTGGGCTACCACAATGGACCCAAAGATCGACTTCGCCTGGCCCTTCGCCTCATCCGGCAGATACATGCTCAGCTTGCGGGGCAGATTACTGCGCCAAATGGCGCCAGCCACGCTGGTCCCAATGGCGCCGCCGATGCTCATCGACGCGAAGAAAACGGCCGTCACGACCGATACTTCCTGTCGGGAGACGACAGCTTGGACGGAGACCTGGGCAGCGGTTTGGTAGAAGCCGCGCCCGATGCCGATGAGCGATTTGGCCGTCACGAAGGCTGCTTCGTTGCCGGTTTGGCCGTCGCCCATGTCAACCAGGTACAGGAGGATTCCCATGCCCAGGATGCAGAGGGGCACGCCGATGAGGACCCAGATTTGCGAGCGTTTGGTGTACTTCATGAAGAAGGCGGCGAAGATGCCCGAGACTTGGAAGGCGACGCGGAGGGAGTTGCTGTGTTTTTGTTAGTTTAGGGGGATGTGGAGATGGTGGTGATGGGCATGGGTACGTACTCGATTCTGGTGGCGTTGCCGGCGTTGAAGTGTCCAGCGACTTGGAGGTAGCTGGTGAAGAAGACGGAGAAGACCGAGTAGTGGAAGAAGTCGAGTGCACCGAGGAGACATGCTGCTGCTACGGTACGCTGTTTGATCATGCGGTATGGCACGAACGGCTTCTTCGCGAACCGGGCGTCCCAGATGACGAACGAAATGAGAAACACGACACCAAGAACTAGCATGGCGATGAAGTTGCCCTTGTGCCACGCGTTGCTGTTATTAGAACCTGTCAGGGCGATGGGGACCAGCAATAGGGCCAGTCCGAGCAACAGGAGGACACCACCCGGTAGGTCCAGCTCCACCCAGAGGAGACGGTAGGCGCGCTGATACCACGTATCGGTTTCCTTCCAGCCCATGGCTTTCGCAATGGGAACCTTGATTGGTGCGCGTCGCTGATAGACTAGCATTGTTCCGATCAAAGGCACGGCGCAGACTGGCGTGATGATGGCCCACATGCCCCAACCCCATCGCCAGGTCGAATGGTCGAGCATACGCTGTGCAACAATCGTGCCCAAGTATAACGTGGGGACTGTCGTGAGGGAATCGGGAAGTGTGGACCAGATACCACGGTTGACGAGGTTGGTAACGTCCGCGACGAAAACTTGCTGTGTGAGTGCGTAGCCTGTTGATCCGATTGCTTCAAAGATACCAGCGACCTGTTTCATGAGTTAGTGCGTGGTTCAGTTATAAGCGCTGATTGTGTAGCTGTCGCAGCGTTTGTACATACCATATACTGCGCGATGTCTTCGCAAGCAGCGTAGATGACATAGCCAAGCGTGGAGGCTGCAATGGCTAGAATAAACATCTCAGCTCTACCGAAGACCTACCAGACACAGATCATTAGTCAATCGCCTTCATTCCAAAACAATGCCATACGTACGTCCCCAAGTTTCGCAATAACAGGGTAGGAAGCAATGCGCGTGATGTTCATGACTACGCGAGCGGCGCTCATTGCAGAGTGTTGCTTAAAGGCGCTAGTGGTGTACGGGACGTAGACCTGGGTGGAATAATCACCGAAGTTGATTGCAAGCGTTGCGATGAACAGACTGAACAGGATCTAAGTCAGTCACGAGACTTTTATCACATAGTACTATATGTCTATCGCATACCCGACAAAGGCCATATATAGGCCCTTCTTCGTCCATCCTTTGCGCAGTATCTCTGCCCTCTGCACACCTGCCTGAAGACTTTGTGTATCGGATTGCTTTTCCACGTCGTCGGCTGAGGTCGCCTCTGCGACTATTTGGTTGCCGGATTTGTCCAGGTTTGTAACTTCTGACATTGTATGGTAGGCATGCGGGGAGATTGAATCCTCTGCCTCCTTGGAAGTTTCTGCGACTCGGTCCATTGTTCAAACTTTTGGTAGGAACCAGCCAAGCTGGAGTACAACCGGCGAGGAATGTGAACGACAAGAGTAGAAAAAAAGACTACAGGAAAGACTACAAAAGAGCGGAAAATAAGACAAGGTAAGCTTCACATTGGAAACTTTACTTTATTGAGTCTGTCCAGCAAGGAATCGTAAAATTGACGGCAGATGGCACCCCACTTGGAGCTCGTGTTGCAGCATCTGGCAAGCAGGTAGGGCTGCCTTGGAGTCGTCCTATCCAGATCGCATTCGGAAACATCCCACGAGGTTCAGACCAAAAAGGAAATAAATGGGTCTCTCTTGGATCTAATCTGATCCGGGCTGATAAGCGAGTCATGTTCGCAGTTTTGAAGAGCCTAAGAAGCACTCAAATGGCAGTGCTTTGCGCCTTGAGCCATGGATAAAGTCTCCGTCTGTCAGAACCAACGCAAAATACCCCATCGCCGTGACCAATAGCACAGCCTGGAGTGGAACTAGTCACATTCTCGCTTCATCTGGAGAAAGATGAGGATCAGATAATAAATGCCAAGAGCCTCCGCGCGGAATGTGGCGTCTTGCTGCGTCGCAGTGCACGCCATCATTGGGCAGATGGTCGTAATAGTGGGCACGGAGCAATGGTAAATAGCCAAGAAATTCAAGCTTGCGTGGTCCAATTTCTTTTGCGGAATTCCTGGCTCCGAAATTCCTGTTGAAATACCGCTTGGCTATCGGAGTCTGCACAGCTTGACGGACATCGCCGAGGTATTGCCGACGGTCTGATCTTTAACTACCGGCCAGCAACAATTTCGCTATTCTATACTGCATCACCATGCGGAAAGAGTGGACATTTTCTCCCTCCGATGGCGGCTCTGGTCGGAACATGGCCGCTTGGGAGGTCTCAACCGGCACACAAGCTACGTACTTGGTGGAGGCCTCTTGGCCACTTACCTGGCGAGAAACAAATATATCAGCCGTCGCGAATGTAATGTACGTCTGGTGTCCAGTGGATCCTGCTTCAATTGGCGGCACTAACGTACTTACTTGCAGATTCGCCGTAGATGGCAATGCGATGTTTCTCACAGCAACAGACGTCACTCGGCGACAAGAGTCACTTAACCCTAACAAACCTGGGACCATTGTTATTGGAATTGGGTACCCCTTGAAAGATTCTGTCTATAGTCCTCAACGCTCCTTGGACCTCACTCCGCCATGTGATCACTATACTCCGCCTGAAGGGCCCGACGGCAAGCCTCGACCGGAACCGTACGGTGGTGCAGATCGGTTTCTTTCTTTTATTAACCATATCGTACGTCCATTTATGGCCTCATCCGTCTTCCCTAATGTTCGATTTGCTCGGTCGGCTCTGTTTGGTCATTCGTACGGAGGACTCTTTGTATTGAACACCCTTTTCACGCAACCGACGTGCTTTGATACGTATATTGCAGCGAGTCCATCGATATGGTGGAATGGGCGATATATTCTCACCAAGGTACCACAGTTCCTACAACAACCCAGGACGGGTACGCAACCCATACTACGGTTGTCATACGGCACCAGAGAGCAGTTTCCTGTGCGCCGCCGCAATGAGCCACTGGAAAAGTACGAACGACGGGTGGGATCGGCGGCAAAGCGTCGTATGGTAGACAACTGCAATGAGTTATATTTACAACTCGTGGCTAGCCAACATCTAGGTGCTGTGGAGAGGAGGGAGTATCTGGATGAAGACCATGGAAGTGTCATTAGCCCAGCGTTGAGTGGAGGGATTCTCTATTTTCTACAACTAGAAGAGGAGGCCAGGTAGTTATGTTAGGTTAGATGCAGTGTATGATCTTATCATTGCTAATAAAACAAAGTAAAACACAACGATGCCTTTCGGATGCTGTCCCATAGATACATATCATGTAGGCTCTTGCACTATGTCCACAGTTCACAGATCGACCTGCGGTCACATAATACTGTACTCTTAGCAGCAATGAGCCTTTCCCCGATGTTCTTCATGACATGCTTCTGGTGCTTACCACTTCCTGTTCTCGGGAAGTCGTCCGCAACGCCAGGGTCTCCGATCCAAAATATGTGCACTGGTGTCTTATGCCAGGCTAAAGTCTTTCTCACCCAGTCCTGCACCTCCTCGTTCGACAACCTCTCCGCACCAAGCGCACATTTCAAGAAACACCCCACAACCTCCCCATACTTTGTGTCCGGTAGACCGAACACACTTGCTTCACTGATGGACGGATGTGAAGCGAGTCGACTCTCGACTTCCCAGGGTGAGATGTTCTCCCCGCCTACTATTTCAGTTATGTTTGTCAGAACGGGATCAACATCTGGTACTCACCTCTAATAATAATATCTTTGATCCTCCCCGTAATATAACAGCAGCCATTCTCATCGATGATGGCTTCGTCTCCCGTGCGCATCCAGATGTGTCCGTCTTTATCCCGTGTCATCGCCTCCGCCGTCTTCTCTTCGTCGTCAAAGTATCCCTTTTGCAAGGAGTATCCACTCGTATAAAGTTCGCCCTTTTCCCCTCGGCTGGCCACCTCGCCGCTTCTATTCAAGACCTTTGCAGAGACATGCGGCATCACGTGTCCTACCATTCCTGTTGACTCTTCTAGCCCGTTAAAGGAGCCCATGAACATAACACCTGCTTCCATCATACCATATACGACATGGACCTCCTTTATCTTCATCACGTCACAGATGTTCTTTGTCAACGCGGACGGCATAGGAGAGCCTCCCACCACAGCCGCCCGGAGGGAAGTGTCGGCCTGCCCTTTTGCCATAGCGTCCAACTCCGCCACGAACATGGTGGGGACACCTAGTAGGAGAGTAGGTGCTTGCTTCTTTATAGCTTCCAGGACTGCATGTGCAGAAAAGTGATCCGACGGGAGAACAATTGCGCTACCATGCGTCAAGGAAGCAAGAAGCCCTACTACAAAAGTGAAGCTATGGAATAGCGGAGCTGGAGAGCAGATAATATCCTTCGGAGTAAGGCTTAAGCGGTCGCCGGCTAGAAAACCACATCCAAGGAGGGTACTACTTGAAGTTAGAGGCAGCTCACCATTTGTGGCTAGGGTTTATGCATACGTGGCTGTTAACATTCCTGCTTTGGGGTTGCCCGTGGTGCCTGTGCACTGGTTAACCGGATAGATCTGGGAAGTTATTAAAGAGCTAACCAGAGGTAAACTCGAAGCGAACCACGTCGTCGGGTGTCACGGCCTTCTCTGCCAAGTCGAGCAGAAATGTTGCATCGACCTCAGGCGCCGTTACACCTTCTTTGTACTCCGAAAAGAGGGTCTCGTACGTGTGTAGACCCTGAGCATAGCCATCATAGTCACTCTGTCCGATAGTAAGGACCCCACGTAGATTTGGAAGTGCGCCTGACGACAGCCAATCCTTCGCCATTTCCACATGAGCGGAGAGGTCTCGACGGCCAATGTGAGATGCGATGAAGAGGAGCTTGCATGCTTTCTTGTATCAGTTTATCGTTGAGCGGTGACTACGCCTGAATATTTCAGCCATGAGTAAACTCACTGGTTTTCCGTACGGCCCTCTTCAGCTCCTCAGGGGTGTATGTGCTATGCAGAGACACGACAGGACATCCGATGCGTGCCCCTCCCATAAGCACTTCGATATGCTGGCATGAATTGCCAGCCATGATGCCGACACAATCGCCGTATGCCAAGCCCATCCCTAATAAGGCTTTGGCGACATGCTTGCTCCGTTGTGCTAGTTCATCGTAGGAGAGGTTTATTCCCTGCCATGGCGATAATATTGCAGGTCTCTTGCCGTGAATAGCTGCCTGCTCATCGAGCAACTGGCCAAAGGTTTTCGAATAAATTGGTGGTTCTGTAGGCCCTCTCACGAATGCTCGCGGAATACCGTTTGCTTCCATAGTATCATAAAGGAACTAAACAGTAGATTGTAAGAGATGTACCTCAGGTATAATTCTTCCCCTGTTGTTAAATACATTGCCCACGCTGTCATATGCTAAAACCGAGGTATATGAAGATTCCGTGGCTTCGAGCGACCATGGGTCGATTATTCCCCATCAAGTTTATATCATGATTGCGGTCGTCATCATCTAGAGATCCTTGTCACTACCACAGCTTCATCAAGCTTGAACCGTGGAATCATCGCGCGGTTTTATGGCACACGCCCATCATTTCCCAACAAAGACAGGAAACAGAGCAAACCATGGTTGTGACCTTGAACTGAAGTCCTTAGCATGCCGCCCGTCATAGTTCCAAACTTGCCTGCTCTCACTTTGACCATGAAAATATATTGAGCCGACGCAAAGAGCAACGGTGGTAAATGAGCAGCGTTCATTCTCATCTACATGTCCGTTGTCATCTTCCTCCAAAATGCCTCCGTCTCCTCTGGTCTCCGTAGTGGGCACTGGACTTCAGTACCCCCAACACAAGCTTGGGCCGGAGTTTGTCCCTAAAATAGTAACCAACTGCTACGAAGACAATGTCGCGTGAGCGTCTCATACCGTGGTCACTACACAGGCTAACCTGTACTCTTCAATTAGGCTATTGAAGCTAATTGAAATCAACGAGAGGACGAAAATCGAGAACCGCTACAGCGTCCTACCGATAGACTATCCCATATGGCTCCAAGACTACATCTTGACGAACTCCGAATGTGATAGTATGTTCAAACAGTATGGCATCCCGCTAGCAACACTCGCGGCGACGCAAGCCATCGCAGACTGGGGCGGCAATGCGATGGACATCACCCACGTGGTTGCTATGACCTGCACAAGTACGTCCAGCCCTGGGTTTGACTGCACACTCTGCCAGGAGCTAGGGCTTGCCAAGCATGTTCGCCGGACATTGGTGAATGGAGTCACTTGCGCTGGCAGCGTGGCGATGCTGCGTACAGCATACGACCTTCTGCTTGGTGCGACACAACAAGGCAAGCCGGCCCGTGCTCTTGTGGTCGCTGCTGAAACCCCAACTGTTTATATCAAGGGTTGGTTGGACACTGTTGCAAGGGATGCAATACCTAATCTTGCCCCGACCTTGTTCGGAGATGGTGCCAGCGCACTGGTACTCAGCAATGGGATCGGTGTCAAGGAAAGTGAAAGAGCGGCTATATGGAATATCCAAGGTGCTCAGTCAACGCTTCTGGATGAAGCAGGAAATATCGGGATTCAGTGTACTCCTACAGGTAAGGACGGCCCATATGTCTTGCTAACTCTACTAATGTAAGCCAGGCATCATGCCAATAATCTCCAAGCAAGTCCCGAGACTCGTCCAGGCCGCCTTGCCACCTTCATTTGGGAACCTCATTAGCAATTGTCCCTCTCTTCGCCTGGAAGAGTCCAACTTCGACCCTACTACATACGACTGGGCTTTGCATCCGGGAGGTCAGGCGATCCTGACTGCTGCTGAGAACGCTTTAGGACTTTCAGCTGATGATCATTTACGAATGAGCTATAAGTGTTACAGAAATGCAGGCAATACCAGTTCAGTGACTGTTCTTAGTATCCTGCATCAGCTGGCACGGGGATATCGAGAGGAATCATCCGGTCGTTCCAAGGTGATTGCCGCAGCCTTTGGTGCTGATATAACCGTGGAGATAATGGTCCTTACGAAGCCGTCATGCGGGTCAGTCCATTGACTGTTTGACTGCTTCATCGCTGGACTACTAGTCGGTGTCATTCGGTGAAATCCTATGGTGATTGATAGCATATAATAGGTCTATGAATCTCGTATATTCCATTCGTCCATCGTGTCGGTGGTCATTCACTTGGTATACTAGATGATATATAAGTATAACTCGGGTATAGCTCGTGTGCCAGTCTGCATTGTATTACCTGTCATTATTATCCAATTATTTAATAGGTGTCTGGGAGAGTAGTAATTCACAACCTGCCATATTTATGATTTGTGCAGTTATATATTCTGGTAACGCGGCAGTCTCGAGTTGTATATAGTTTGTCAGGATGCCATGCCATTGTATTTCTTTCTCCACACCCTTTTCTGTAGACAACATAGAAAACGTTTTTGTAGAATAGGATGATCGTGGCCTTCCTGAGCATGAGTGTGTTGACATACACTGAGAATAGGCTGATTGATACGTTTGTATAGAAGGTCATGACTCAGCAGAAAATGATGCTAGACCCTGACTATACCCGAAAGGGATACCGACTCTGCACATGACCGAGCTAACCCGATTAGCCTGCGTTAGGATCTCCACTCAAATGCAGTCATCCCGCTTGGCAATTCGTATATCCTTGTCTTGTCGGCACTTGCAATGACAGTCCCTGCCTCGTCACGAAATCCCAAGAACTCGCCCTCTGGTCGGGTGCAGAACAATGAGTATAACTGACATCTTCTCGGTGGATATCGCTCTCCGTACTGGGCAAAACAATACCCACGAGTCATATCTTTACTCTCATTTGACGGGAGACAAAATCCAAGGCGTAGTCACCGTTCGTTCGCATTGTGATATTCGTGTGGATGGGATCGAAATATCGTTCATAGGTATGCCGTGATCCAGCCTAGTTAATTGAACTATCTAACATGGTAACAGGAGAGGAGTGGACGAGACTACAAACTGGAAAGGCCTACCGTCAATTCCAGGATCTCAAGTACTTAATTGATGACTCATGCCTTCCACCTCGTAAGCTCTTCAAGGAACGTCACAAGTATCACTTCGAATTCACCTTCGAGGTGCCAGACCATCTGTCTCCGGAAGTCTGCAACCATACGATTACGAGCCCGGCCATTCGACAGGCCCATCTACGGCCTCCCCCAAGCTTCGGTGATCCCTCCGTATCTGGCTTCGGAGGCAAGTTAAAGGACGACTATGCGCCGCCGGAATGCAAGATTCTATACACCATCCAAGCGGCTTTGTTTCGCAATATCCCCGTCATCGACAGGCGGGATATTCTGCTCGTACACAAGATCAAGCTACGAGTCAAACCGGCCGTCGACGAATGGCCGCCTCTAGATATGTTGGACAGCGCGAATGACTATTGCTTAGAAGCAGATCGCGCAGTCCTCGACAGTCGCTCAAAGGAGGAGTACGGCCAGTTGACCGTGACGCTGGAGCCACCGAAAAGCTTCCGTCTTCCGCTACGAGACCCACACAGTTTAATCAGCAGCACAGTCAACCTGTTCCTGCACTACCGAGTCACAGGGGATCAGTCAGCCCTGCCCCAGATCCAGTCATTCCGGGGACGACTTGTTGCTACGACCTTCTACACGACATCCTACTACGACGACGTACCAGCAAAGAAAAAAGACTTCTTCGGCAGAGCGAAGAATTACTCCGAAAGCCCCTTTCCGCCATTCTCATACTCGATAGCCTCGGTAGACTGGGTGCCCGCCGAAGAAAACTGCTACGTAGCAACACTGCTAGTGCCCATCACATTGCCACGACTCAACTTCATCCCGTCGTTCCACACCTGCCTTACATCCCGCGTATACGCCTTGGACTTGCGGCTGGTGGTCCCCGGCGCTGCGCCGTTTTACCTGAAAGCGCCCGTGCACATTTACGCCCAGCGAGACCCATCCGCGTTGCCGTCGTACATCGCGTCAGTGGGCTTCGACTCGTCCAATATTTAATGGGTCCGGTTTATGAACCGGAACATATAATGAAAGGTTTTACGTCGTTACGAGATTCAACCTCATGTCAGCGTGTATTTTAGTTCGCTAAAGCGGCCCTAAGCGGCCCTTGCATTGCGCGTTTCTGTCGTATTCAACTCGACCCGTTCAACACTATATAGCCAAGTCCTGCTATTGCCTTATATATTTAATCAACTTATGACCATAGATACAAACAACTGCTCAGTCAATATACTATCTGATTGCTTATCTACCTGTCCATTCCATCGTCAAGATCCGCTAGCTAAAGCAATGTTCCTAAACGTCGTCAATTATAAAACATGACCCCATTGTTAGACAGCACGGGGTGTTCCGTGATGGGGAGCTGGACTCCATGTTCGTTCGTGGTGCCTGCATATCAGCACCATTAGCATAAACTCCGAAGAACAAAAAACTAAGAGATCACCGTACGAGCTGCCCACTGCCGAGTCAACCAAGGGGAAAGAATCGCTCCTAGAAGAATGGCGGCGGGGGTTCAAACAATTCGCGATCGCTGATAAGAGCGCGGGGTCTAAAGAAGACATGGTTTTCTTACAAACTCTTTTGGAATAATTGTCAGTAGCTGCAGATCTTGGGGCATGGAAATACTTACGCTTGGGGGTGCTCGCTTTTTCTTTCCGCGTAAGGAGTGTATGGTACCTTCTTCAACCAGGTCAATAACGTCAAGGTTGAGAGGTGTTGGGGTAGGTAGTAAGAAGGGATTTACTTTGACTATTCCCCGGTCGGTAGGTGTAGAGGGAGAGCATTATATAGCGTCCGGATCAGCGAGTAGATGTAGGATAAAATTGTCCTGGGGTTGAGATACATGGCATAGTTACAAGTCTACAATTACTAAGATGGTTAAGTGGAGATATGTGGGTCCATGATCCCCCTACTAAAGTGTGCATAAGCTAATCATAGGCCTTCGAGTTCTGCAGCCCATCCAAACAGGGATTATACTGTCGCTGAACAAAAACGAGGCCTTTTCGTTTCAATTCCATGCCTTTTTCTCCAATATTGAATGTACGATGAGGTATCCACAGGCCATTCTGGATGCGGCTTCAACTTTTCTAATATTAAGGGGCTGGGCAGAGGGGGCCTTCTCTTACATCGTGACAAGCTCAAGGCTGTCTTGACTTCTTCCACTCTCTTTGACATACACCGTGCGCTTCAAAGTAGAATTACTAGTTCCTTGAACTCAGTCTAGCCGCTGTAGCGTGCTAAGCTGGATACCCGGGACTCGCACTGGATATCTTTAATGACGGGGCTTCGTAAAGCCTTTAGTCCATCGAGATCCAGGCGTTGGTGTTTCATTTGGTTACTCAACCCTTGGCTCTGACCCGATGCTCAGCAACTGGTCACCCAAGTGCAATTATATATGTTCACTTTCGCACTCCTCCTTGGGAGGGAGTTTCATAACTATACCTCCTCAACAATAAGATACATAACCATGCCAAAAAAAAAAAAAAAAGCTAGATCTCAATGACAGGCCCCTCATAAACCCCCCTCGCCCTCACCAAATAATACCCCAAACTAAGTAGCACCGTCCCCCCAGTGCCAACCACACTATAATTCATCGACTCGGAATTAACATCATTAATCGGCGGCCAGAAGCTAAAGAACGTCGCGATGAACATATAAACCAACGAGAAGATATTAACCCCGATACCCCATATGCCGGGAAGATGGAATGGGCCCCAGACGAGCTTGGCGCCAGCGGTATTGACCATCGTTTGTTCGGAGTTCCGCTTGGCCTCGCTGATTTCGCCCGTGCAACGTCGGTAGAGGAGAAGGCCCGCGGCGATCATGTAGGAGAGGTAGAGCCCGGAGGTGGACATGGAGACGAGACTGTTGAAGGCGACGTCGGAGCCGATATTGATCAGGTTGAGGAGGCAGCCGATTGTGCTGGTCAAGAGGACAGTGTAGGTTGGAATTGCAGTACGGGGGGTTACCTATAGTTCTCATTTAGTAGATTGTTGGGATGATGAGGGAGATGGACATGGAGGCTTACCTTGCTCCAGATACGCCATCCGGGTATACCTCTGTCCCGCGAAAAAGACCAGAACTGGCGCGAGGCCGATGCTAGCATGCCAACAGTTGTGCAGCAGCACATAGCTTGGATGACGGAGCCGGCTGCGGCCGTTCCGGCGGTGGATTCCGTGGCTTGGTAGAAGATGGAGAGGAAAGGCACTCCGGTGGGGGATTTTAGCGATGTTTCGATGTCGCCGAGGCAGAAGTATAGGGCTATTAGCATGCTGAAGCCTAGTGTTCCGTTGATCAGAACTGTGAGCATCAGCGACCACGGGACGGCGACTGTTGCGTTGGTCATTTCTTCGACCATCTGTGGTGCTTTATGTTAGCAATGCTTCTGTTATTTTTCGTTGGGGATTAACGTACGTGCACTGCTGCGTCGCCGCCTGCAAATGCGAACACGGGGCCAATAATGCCGATAAAGAAGGAAAGACCTTGGGTCGGCCAATGGCCCTCGTTGATGAAGTATGTGAATACTTCGGAGGCTGGTTTATGCTCGGCCATATACGTCAATGGGATCAGGATGGCGAAGAAACCCAGGATATGGAGGATCAAAATTGTGCCCTCGAATCGAGGCAGCAGCTTGCCTCCGATGATGTTTATACTGGCTGCGAAGACTGCTGTGGCCCATGAATAGAGCGTCTTCCGCCACGGTGCCGGTGTATAATCAGGATTGGTGAGAATGACCAATGCCTCGATGAAGTTTCCATTCAGATACAAACCCGTAGCGTATGTGGCTTGCCAGCCGATGACCGTGAGCCAGCCTACCTTTCTCGTCAGTCTGAATAGTTCTAGCTTGGAATCCTCACTTACCTGTAATATAACTGCTGACTTTCATGACAGACTTCGGTGCCATCATTGAGCACCAGTGGTATTGACCGCCTGATGTCGGTGCCCTGTAGAGCCTTTATCAGTTCTGCTGGACCATAGGGTATGGAGATAGCGTACATCGATACTAGCTCAGATACCACGGCAAATGTGGCTGTAACACCGACCCAGACAAATATGTAGCCGTATACTGAACCGGCTGGACCACCACTAGCATGGAGTCAGAAAACGCCTGAAGTCTGTCGTGAGTACGCAACAGTTCACATACTTCTGAAAGGACTGAAGAAATAAACTATAGATTTCCCATTAGCCCGACAAACTGTATGCATGACGCGAGAGGTGCATAGCCTACGTAGTTACGGCTTCCCAGGTGATAAGAATAGTGCAGCTGAAACCGACCATTGACATCAAACCAAAGTTTCTCTGTACGCGATTAGTAATCTTTCTATTTAGGGCAAAACAAAGATTGCTTACTTGCAAGACAGGGCGCTTCCCCATACGGGCTAGATAAATATCGTCCTTGTTCTGATAAGATGGTTGTCCCTCAACCTCCTGCAGAACGGGAGCGCCCATTTCCTTCTGCTCGTATTGAGCCATGGCATAGGTATAAGAGTTGACTTATCAGAAATCCGAATTTTCTCAGATCGGCCCATGCGACGATCAAGGCCCGAGCAGAAACAAAAAAGCAAAGAAGCAAAGGTTAGAAAAGCGACATGAAACAGATTTTAGAATTTAGAAAAGAAGCTTCGGATAGAGAAATAGCTCAACGTCCTGCAGGAGACGAACATCGAAGAACAAGGATCAGATCCTGTTTACTATGTTTCTCTTTCCGAAATTGTGCAGGTGCATGTTTTGGAAGTTTTTCCCCCCTGTTAGGTAAAATTATTGGGTGTAACTGCATTTCGCATCTCGGGCGTAGAATCCTTGTAGGCCGAGGAAATGGGAAGTGCAACCCTGCAGGGATATGAGGCAGCTAGAGGATCTCGCTGTTTGTTCGCCGTTGGTGCACGCTACTGCTAAGGTAAGCCAACACGTACCTGGTGGAGCTTGTCAAATGTCGTCTGTCCGTATTTCGAGGTGCCTAAGTGGATCTGCCGTGGAGATCGAAATCTGGAACGCTTCGGAGAGGTTAGTGGAGCATCGGGGTTGCAACGGCGCATCCTGGCGCTCCAACTTGACAGGGGTAAGGCTGATAGTATGATCACTTGTCCAAAGTGAGGTCCAACAAAAGTACGAAGAGATTAAAAATTTGAGATATCGGAGTTGAACGGATACGTGTATTATTATGCTCAAGTGTACAGCCCCATTCTAACACGAAAAATAATATGGAAGATGGAGAATGTAACTCTGTATGCTAAGACGGACATTCCCTTAGTGAGCTACGCGGTGACGCGGTAACAGCCCATGTGCGAACTTCACGGATTATGTGGGCCTCACTGGAATCGCTTGCTGCGTCCGAATCCGGTTTGGCCGTTATTATCGTGGTCTGGCGATAACTCTTGCTGCGACCAATAGAAGTCAACTCATGATCCTCACGGAGAGGTTGATCCAGAGTTTGCCATTGCGACTTAGTTCGGGAAGAATGATTGTATGCACTATGAGACGCATCGTGGCGTGTGATTCCGTCAACACGTAGGCCAGTCGAACGGAGGCTGTCCAAGAAAGGTTTGAATTGAGGGGAGCAGGCGGTAACCACGCTCAAGCATTGGGTGAGCTGCATGCATATCGCCAGCGGCCAGGTCCCAGAGATTGGGTCGGAAACATCAATGGTTCTATTGGCGTACACCAGTTGACCGATTATGGCAATAATCACACTTGGTCGCTGATTAGAAATGAACTGAGGTGCAGCACTGTACAGATGAATACTACTTACAAGATTCGCAGCCCGAATACAACAGACAAGGTGAGCTTCTTTTTCCATCGAGCCTGAATGCGGGTAATAATCAGGACTGCATACGCTATAATGGCCCCATCAGTGAGAATGTTCGTCACTCCGATGTAATCCCACCAAGCCGCGATATTGAAACATTGTCCGGATAGATAATCCCACGTTCGGGGCGGTTTACACTTGAAAGCTGAACTGATGATACCGGTGACTGCCCATAATGCGATTAAAGCCTCCAGCCCGGAGGCAACGCGGCGGTCTGAAGCAGCCGGTGTTACACTCCGGGTAAAGTGGACGAGAGCCAACTGGGAGAAGCACATGCTGAGGATGAAGAGGATTGTGGCGGCATATTGTGACTGGTCAGTCATTAGAAGTTGTTCGGCAGTGAAGCACAAGAAAAACTACCTTCATGATATTGTCAATGTTTGTCTCCGTTAATGTATCATAACGGTCACCATATCCATTCGCAGTGGCTAGTGACACGGCGAGGGACTGTGCTGCGCAGATCACCTAGAAGCAGATCAATAACCATCGTAATGTAAACCTCACTCGCTCCGCAGACATGCTGTTCTCACCATCGAGACAATACTAAGATAATCATCCGTAGTCCATCGTCGAAAAATCCAATATTTAGTCCCCAGCCGAGCAAAGACGCCAAGGATGGCGGTCACCATCAGAAACCAGGTCAAGACATTGACAGCGGGCTTCCAAGTATCGGTAAACCTCCCCATTGCTGTGTGAAACTAGGTACAACACACATAGTCAGCTCCGGCGGCTGGCGACACTTATTAGAGCAGCTGAGCCGCGCCAGCATGACACAATCTATTACGTCTGTCGATTAGCCCAAACCAACATGCCGGAGAGATCATTCCCTGTCACGAACGCATGGTGACAGGGGTCTAGTCTGGGCAAACGGCACCTATGAACAAATAAAAAATTTCCCATGTAGCGGCGGGAACTGGTCAACTGGTGTGTATAGTACATCGAAATTCCATGGAACATGGCTATGATTCCTTCGTACAGTGCTCGCCTATCGCGGATAGGTGATAACAACCAGACCTCTAGACTAGGCCCCTGAGCAGGGATGTTGACAATGGAAATATAAACCCTGCATGACGGTGGAGACATGTTACATGTACACCTCGGGCCGCCAAATCATAAGTTCCTAGCACCGACATGTGCGCGTAGGGGACGGAGTTATGGAAAGCAATGCTGCCTTCAGCATCATGCCATGTCCAGGGCGAGCGAATCGTACTGGTCTCGTCGCTGTAGCTCCTCTTGCATTCATACGGTTGATGTAATTCTCCAGCTAGAACTGGAATTGGCTTGGCACAGGGACGGTGCATATAGGGCTCCGCCAAGCGCGACTGCACCAACGGCATTGGTAACTCTGCACGACGTACTTTGTTTAGTCTGATTTGCATCTGGATTTGGGAGAATACCTGAGATTAAAATTTAGTAAACTCAGGAACATACCCGAGTCTTCCGTCGACGGGCAAGCCAGGCAAATAGGGAGCGAGACGGATATCGGCCGTGCGATCCACAATGACCTGCCTGAAGTGGAAGCCAGCTCGGGCCAGGGTTACATAGACCTTCTGGCGGATCTCCAATGCCGGCCGTTAGGCCCAAACCCTGTCCCCCATGTACACAGTGTGGAGCCTCAAGCTGTTCTCAGGAATATGCAGGCCATCCTTCGTGGCTTGGAACGGGGTTGGAGTGATGGCACGACTCCAGTATTTATCACCGAGGTCTTGGCTTCACTCTGGTACTTTGTTAGTAGAGGTGTATTAAGATGGTAGATGGGAAAAGGCATGCGCCATTGAGTTTTAAGAAATTATGATCATTATTGTGTTTGTCAATGTTGCGTTCCGACGGGGGGGTAATTTGTGTATGGGATAGTAAACTTTTAGAGCAACCTGCACAGGCCGATCTGGAGAATTTCGGGGTATTTGTATCCAAGATACCATGCGATCTTAAACGCGGAGAACATACAGACAAGGTCAATATCAGCCAGAAGACGTGTCACTGGACTAAGTAGCCTGCAGGAGATGTGGTAAAAGGTGATATGTCTTCGAAGGGACGAACGGGCTTTTGTTGATCCTTGCGAAGTGAGGAAAAGAACGAAGAGATCGACGCCTGACATACAAGGCCGCAAGCTGCAGCCAGGCACCCAACGGGTTCCAGGCACACCTTCCCGATTCGGTAACCCAGCGTAACCAATAACCCAACGTCGACAGGATCCCATCATCGGGGCCCTTGATGGTGCAGTGGGAGCTGAGGCTTGCCCTGCGTACTCGGACCTCGCGATCGAGCCTCAAACTCGACAGAACAATCCTTCGGGGTTTTCGTAGCTTCTGGATGGCTGGCACAGCGGAGTCGGACCCGGGAAGTGAGCTTTTTGTTCAGAAAAAAACTTTGGATTCTGGAGTTTTTTTTCTCTGTATATCTTACGTTCGATTCCATGTGTCTTCTACTGGCTTTTTGCTCTTGAAGTTGCTGTGTTCGTTGGCTCGTTGGTTTGGCAGGGGTGGGTTTCGAATCCAGAGCAAGATGAGGCCTGAGGTTATCCACCGTCATGTGTTAACACATGACATCAGGAACACATATTGATGACGGCATGCAAAGTTGTAGTGTCGATCATTTACAGGAGGTGAGGAAGAAATGCCCTCACTGCATGATCATAGTATATCCACTGCTGTCCAGATGCGCAATAGGGCTCTCAGACCCGACGAATAGCTAACCCTCCAGCTTGATGCCGATATAATTTCCTTTGTCTATGATAGCAATCCTAGAACAAACCCCTTGAGTTGAATCTAGGACGAGATGGGGATCTAGCAGATCATTTAACGAGATTGAACGGTTCATATAATCTGTTCTATACTCCCGTTATAACATTCCGCAGCCTTAAAAGGTATGGACGAATATTGGTCCGTAACACGAGGTTCCACACGCGAACCTTAGCAAACATTTCACCGGTCATTGGAGGATCCAGGACAGGAAGTGGGTAAGTGGAATGCTTAATTCTTGTTTATTGAAATGTTGTTTGACTGGAGGACTTGGCAGTGTGGCTGTGCAACGAATCTGGACTCTATATCTGGCGGGTCATCGCTCACTTCGACCTGGTCTGAGAGAAAAAGATTTCATCCGATCATGACTGGGTCTCTCGCCTCGTTACGTTGATTTACCAGTATAATCTACTAATTCAAGATGAACAAACTAACTGAGATGCTCGTTCTACGAGAAATTCGATTTAACGACGGGAGATAGGAAATGATCATAACTCATAAATGCTGACACACGGCCAGTCCAGTACACCAGAGCACAATCTACGCTATCGCATGGCGGCGCGTTGCATCGTCCGATCGGCGGCCAGGACGCGGTATACCCGCATCAAATCCTCCATCGAGGCCAGCGTATCCGGATGTTCCTTCCCGAGGGCCATCTCTCTGCCGCGGACGGTCTGTTCCGCCACTTTCTCGGCATCGTCCCATCTCCCTTGAGACTGGTAGATGGCACCTAAATTCGCCATCGTGGTCAGCGTATGGGGGTGCGCGTCGCCAAATGACTTGCGCATCAACTGGAGCACCTGGAAGGTCAACCGTTCCGCTTGCTGCGACTTGCCCTGCTGCTGATACGCCAACGCCAAGTTCGCCATCGCCGTCAAGGTCAAGGGATGATCATCCCCCAAATGTGTTTTCATCGACCCCATGACCCTGGTTCCCAATTGCACCGCATCTCCCAACCGCCCTTGACACCGATACGTGGCGGCGAGATTCCCCATCGCCATCAGCGTCTGCGGGTGATCCGCTCCCAGCACATCCTCACTAATCTTCGTGACTTTCAGCTCTAGCTGCTCGGCCTCTGTCAACCGGTCCATATCCCGATATGAGGTCGCCAAATTCGCCATGGAGGTCATGGTTAGGGGATGCCTGCTCCCCAAATGAGCCACACGGGTTTCCAGCACCGCTGACTCCAGCCGTATCGCCTCCTCCAGCTTCCCTTGTTCGCGGAAGGTCACCGCCAAATTCGATTTCCACGTCAACGTGGACGTATGCGACTCGCCCAAGAGCATCTCGCACTGTTCCACAACCCGTCGCTCCAATCTCTCCGCATCCTCATACCGCCCCAGACTGGTATACGTGGTTGCCAAGTTGCCGAGGGTACTCAATGTCGAGGGATCGCCCTCACCCAGCGTCCGCCCCTTAACCTCTAACAACCGCGTCTCGATCGCCTCCGCCTCGGCAAAGCGACCTTGTTTCGCATACGTTGACGCCAAATTCGACATTGATGACAGGGTCTGCGGATGCTCATCGCCCAGGACCCGTCGCCGAATGTCAGTCACCCGTCGTCCCAGCTCCTCGGCTTCCGACCATCGCCCCTGCCCCCAGTAAGCAGCCGCGAGATTACTCATCGCGGTGAGGGTGGAGGAATTCTCTGAGCCGAGCAGGGTGACTCGTGCATCAACAACAAGTTTCCCAATGTCGGCGGCGGCATTCCATTGTCCATGTTCAAGGAAGGTCAGGACGAGAATGCCGAGGGTGTGTGCGGTCGCGATGGCGTCATCGCCCGGTGCATCGCGCAGTTTCGCGAGCGCAGAAGTCAAACGGCGGGATTCCTCCGTCTGACCACGGGACTGGTACGTGTTTGCGAGGGTCGTTACGGCGGATAAAAGGGTGCCATTCGTGGGTGTGGCCATCGATTTCTTTTCTCCGTGATGGGATGTTTATTTGTTGGAATTTATCGCCGTGAGACAGATGGGTAAACAGGAAGGATACCACGGGAGAATTAATCCCGCCAAGAAAAGGCAGCCAAACGGTGGGGAAGAGATAAGGCAAACACGCCAGCAACACTGGTATCAAACTTCAACTATGGCAAACTAAAGCAGGTTGGTGGAATTATCGTGACGGTTAGTCAGGTCTCAGGAGGGAGGGATCTGTACACCATCTCAAAGTCGACCACGACGGGGGTCTCCCAGCCTGGTCACCTGCTTTGGAGGGATTCCCTTTTTTTATCCCGTGTGTAATCCTCTTCTAAATTTGTCTGGTGAACGGCTGCTCGCGGCTCCAGACTGTAAAATTATCCCCTTCCTCCCCACCTGGTCAGCCCTACTAGGCTGGCATCCTTCCCGGTGATTGGAGGAGAAGACCAGGTGGGGAGACTTGTCAGGCAACCATATTTTGGCCAATCGTGGAGAGCATGTGGGGAGTTTGTTTGCTCAGTTTGTATTATGAGGTACAATGGACTTGGTGGAGGGTATATATAGCACATCTATCTGGATATCAGCTGGGTTCTGTTGGATTCTGTTGATAGGAGTCTAGCATAGGCCTTTCCTGAGTAATATCAGCAGGTGTGCACATATCTGCCCATAAGCATACAACTAACAACCTGTTCATACGTCCCAGGCTATTGTATATATATTCCGACGAGAAGCAAGCGTGCAGGAGAGAAGAATACCCAGATTACTTATTACTATAGCATTATCCCTTCCTGTTGGTGTTTGTCTAGAGGGGATTGGTCAGCGCACTACGATGTATGAAGGTCTCTCGCATAATTAAATCCGGGATCGGGATATAGTACTGTACCTCCCTGGCTTAGCATCCGAGACCATATTCCACATCCTTAGACTAGTATGTCTTCCCGACTAGTTCGAACCGGAAAGAAACCCCATATTAGTCCATGATTCAAGTTCTGAAATTGACAAGGCTCAATCATAAGAATACAATCCGGTCCATTTCAACTTCGCGCACCCAACAACCCACATTCCCCTCCAATCTCCATTGAAACCCCAGAGCTCGCTATCTCATCCCCGTGACACACTCCCCCAAGAAACCCCCTCCCGACACCACAACCCCGTCCCAAGCTCATCCACAACCACCTCCAACCCCAGACCCTGATCCGCACAAGTCTGCCTCAACTCCTCCTGAAACGCCTCCCACCCATCCATATAATTCTGGTCCCAGAGCCGCCACGTAACACACTCCAACAGCGGAGTAAACCCACGCCAATTAGCCACAAACTCCCTCACAAGCCCATCGACCTCATCCTGCTCCCACTCGAAATCATAGAAACTGCGCAGATCCTCCCGCAAACACAACCTCCTTAGGGACTTCGGCAGTTGAGGCCCCAGCTGCGGTGCATCCTGTAGATACCAGCCCATAAGCACGCAGAGGGGGACCTCCGCCGTCGCCAGATTCGGGAACCACGAGAGCATATCCCCGAGGGCGTCGTGGAAGTGGTCGTCTGCGCCGTCCCAGTAGCGGTCGCCTAGCGTCGAAGGGTAGTATTCTACTCCGAGGGAGAGGTGCTGCAGTGTCGTGGCGACCTGTTTCAGGGCCTGTGCTAGCGTGTCTGCGTCTTGGAGGACGAGTTCTCGGCCCCAGGCGTAGGCGAGGCCTAGGTGGAGGGTTCGGAGGTTGGGGCTCTGGGAGAGCAGGAAGGCGATGTCTGATTCGGAGATGGTGGTGCGTGCGAGGATCAGGGTTTCTAGGTCGGTGAGATTGGGGGTTGTGGCTTTTTCTCGGAGTTGATTGATGTCGCGGAGCCATATTGATAATTGGCGTAGTGAGGGGAGATAGAACCAGGCTGTGAATTGGTCTGGGTTGTAGGCAGGATAGCCGTCCCGGGATTCATCCTCGTGCTCGGCAATGGGGATGTTGCCGCCGTAGTCTACTACCTCGAGGTGTTGGAAGGTGGATAGCACTCCGTTTGGGGAGAAGAGAGCTTGCTTTAGCATGAGCCCTGGGTACCCGTCCTGCCAGACGAAGGAGTAGTCCAGGCGGAGGAACTTTAGGTTCGGGAGCTGGGAGAGGAGGATGGCCGTGTAGCAGTAGATGTTGCCGTTGTTCAGGGGCAGCTGCCAGTCGTCAAGGTCGCTGAACCCGGCTCGTCGGACAATGTCTATGGATTGGTCGGTGACATCGCTGAAGTCGTAGGACTCGGTTTCCCAGTTCATATCCGGCTGGGTTTCTTCCCAGGTTTCCGGTTCGGAGGACACGAGACTGACATGTTGGATGTACGATGCTATATCGGGCGAGTTGAATATCAATCGCAATAACTGCAGTACTCGACGCAGAGGCCGATTAGTCCAGTCAAGGGTGACCTCGCGGTAGGCGAAAGGCGTGGCTGACGCGCGGATGTCTTTGCATGTCTTGGATACTGCTAATGAATCTTTCGTTGACAGTTGATCCAGGATAGATATCAGACAATCCGTGGGGAGTTGTGTGAAGGGCCTAGTTAGATTAGCAGTGTATGAGATAGGAGGCACGCAACGGTCTTACTTTTCCTTTTCCGAGGTTGACTTGTCGGTAGCCATCTTGCAGAAATAGGAGGTGAAGGTCCTGTGAGAAAGAGGGCTGAAAGAGGTAAGTGTGAGACACTTATTGTGACCCTGCAGACGATATGTGGGGGCTCGCTTCGCCAATACGAAGCGACTAACGTTGGGGCGAAGAAGTGGATTCGCAGAGTTTTTGGGTCGAGCAATGTGCAAGAGTTGCATGAAGAGTATGCTTACATTGGGTAAGTGCTAGGACTATCATGCAGTAAGAATTGTCTCCATAGGTTGTCGAGTGAAGCTATCCACAGGATATAAAAGATTGACCATGTATGACCCAATCAAGTGATGCTGGGACCTGTAGATCAAGACTATCAAATCTTAACCACTCATTTCGCTAAGCTTTAGCTCATTAAGGGGTACAGTTGACAGCATCTAGAACCATGCCAAGGAGGTTGTCGGTTCTTAAAATCGCTCGGCAAGAGCCGAACCGTCGGGAAGCTGCCGATATAATCGGCTCGGCGTCTCCCGCACGTGCAACATCCATACCCTATCCGACGAACTCATGCACAGCCTCTGCAATTATCGTTAATGTTTGGGATAATCTCTTCCCTAGCTAAGCAGTATTCCTGATGCAGTTGTTCACTCCAACTTCCAGATTAGTGTACAGTTTACGTAGCGCAACATCGTCCTTCTCATACCACAGCTACTACAAAAACGGGCAAATATGACGGATATCCTGATCACACCTGCTAGCCACTCAGTTCAGAGTTACAGCATTAGATATCAGCGATCCACAAAAGTCATGCCATCCTTGTAGTCCGAGGAGCTCCATGTGGACGACTGGGGGTTGGGTAATTCTTCACGGGGCTTATGATTGGGGGCATGACCAAGCCATATCCACAATATTCGAAACGGCGATCTCTGTCTGCAGATATATCGGCAGCTAATCGGCTCTACCCGATATGGTAGACGCCTTGAACCTACCAGACCCTGAAACTAAAATAGCCGCTCCTCGCTTGTATGTCTGCGTACAGACAGTAGCGTCTACACCAGGCGGAATAACAGCTCGTATCTCCACAATAGGAAGGAAACTAGTTCCGCAGGATGGGCGATATAGAGGGACTGCTGAAGACATCGGCCGTTCCGTGCCAAAGTCACAGATGGGTTCTGCGATCAACATCAAAGTAGCCCCATCGGTGTGAAGAACAATTTCCTACACAGTGCTCATTGTAGATAGTAACAACTCGAGAAAAGGCATAAATACCTCTCCAATGCACCTGTCTTCAAGTTGAATCTCATCCATCATTCTTTTATTTCTAATTCATTCATTCATTCATTTTTCATATCTCTCTCCAACTACATCCAATCATTACCCCACTAAACCCTAATCCCAACCCCTAGGGGGTGTAATCCCAAAATGCTGCCCAAAATCTGCTACTTCCTCTTCTACCTCTTCCTCTCCCTCGTCGCGGCCACCCCGGTAGCCTTAGACGCCAGGGCCCCCAAGCCAGCCCCCGAACCCGTATCCCTCGGTCTCAAGGTCCAGAAAATCGACGACCTCAACAAGCCCGCGAAAGCGAAGAAAAGCTCTTTCGTCGAGTACTCCTCTATTCTCACTTTCAAGGATGGCAGCAAGATCACCAATGACCATGTTGTCGGACTCGCCAAAGCCGCCTGGTTGGAGATGTACAACATGCACCTGAAGGAAAACAAGGATAAGGTCAACAAGGCCACGTTGCCAACTGTTATGAGCGCTATGAAGGTCGGGAATGACGTTTATCTGGCGTCGAGTATGAAGGGCGGTGGTGGTCGCTACATCTACGTGGCCAGGGAGGATGCTGATAAGGGGAAGGAGACCGACAAGGGCAAGACCACCGACAAGGGCAAGGACACTGATAAGGGCAAAAAGACTGACAAGGGCAAGGACGCCAACAAGGACAAGGCTGAGGACAAATATGGTGAATTCACCAGTGTCTTGAAGGACAATGCCGAGGATGTTATGGAAGCCCTGAAAGCCGTCAGCACGCAGAGCCAGGGCCACAAGGGTGGTAAAGGTGCAGCTAACTCCAATGGGGGCACTGTGGCCCAGCATCGCACTCAGGCCAGCTGCGGCGAGGTGATGGTGTCTCTTGAGTATCGCTTGGATCACAAACATGACAAGCTGAGAAAGACGACGTACGAGCAAAACAAGGTGAAGCACAAGCCTGCTGTTGTTGCATGGGAGGGGCTGCAAAATGGTAAACTGATGAAGGGTGGAGGCAAGATCAAGCCTCCTTGTGGTAAGGATGTTGACGTTCAGGATGATGATTATTGCGGTGAGAACTGGGGTTGTGCGGCTTTCACTGGCCCGCCAGGCATGGATTTCGAGGTCATCGCGGCGGCCAACCCCAAGGACCCTAGCGCTGAGGACTTCCCTGCGTTTACCCATAAGAATGTGAACTTTCCCACGCCCGCCAAGATTAAGCAGTGATCCTGCTGCCTATGAGTTGGATCGATAGATGTGTGCGAGGTCAATCTTGCAAGGTGTTGCTGTGGCATGGGATCTACTAGGTGGTCAATTGACAGTGTATATAATACTAATTGAAACCAACTTTGTTATACCTACTACAATGCTCTTCACTGCCCATATATAACGTAAGAAAAGAGCTCTTTAAGCCTCACTATGAATTGAAGTTCTCGGTGGATATAAAACAAAACTCAGTTCATGACACTTCAGCGCCTTGGTTGAAACCATTATACCTTAGGCACCCTAGTTAAAAAAGCGAATCACGACCGAATCCCCAACATCCCCATCGACATCACAATGCGATCCATCCAATCCTCATTCCCACTGGGATGAATCTGATAGGAATCCCGGAGATAGTCAGGATCGAAGCGAACCTGCCACTCCGGTGCATCCGCCTCCAAGCCACTCCACGGATTCGGCGACTGCAGACCGAACTTCTCAACATCCTCCCACGGCTCAGTAAGATAGTAACGACTACGGAGATCCGCTCTGAGCAAGACGATCAATTGGGTTAACAGCGAAATGCCCAATCGCATACCATAAAGCGAGGACTGCGCGAATGGGTCGACAAAGTCCCAGGGAATGGGACCAACGAATTGCTGCCAGGCGAGAATGGAGGCCTGGCGTTGATGAACTAGCGCACGTTGCAGTTCTGCCTGGAGTTTATCCAGTCGGTAGCGGCTGCAGTCGATTTCCCACGCCAACCTTGCCTTGGCCTCGGGGTCATCAGCTTTGATCACTGCCTGTGTCTCGACTAGCCATCCAGGACAGCAGGCAACCTCTATGAATGCCCGATCAACAATGAGTGCAAGTTCACTACGGTTGACAGCCTCGCTTTCGATGTCGGCTAACTCGCTTAGAAACGCCCGCCACTCTGGCTCACCAAGGAAGCAGTGTTCCCCTCGGATCATTGCATCGGCGACCAGAAACGCTCGACAGGATTTAAACAACGTCAATCCAAACCCAGATCGATGTACCTCTTGCCCACGCATTTTGATCATCGTTACCAGTCCCCGCGTATGCGTTAGCCACGACGCTCCTGTAATACCATCCACCATCTCATACATAGTCAACAGGATACCGGACGCGAGAGCCTCCTCTGTCGTGGCAAATTTTGGATGCTGGATAACGCTAGCCAGGTAGTTCAATGCCCGACTATACATATGTCGACTGCAAGTAACCTTATTTATATCCTTATACTTCCGACCAATGAAGACGGTCGCCAGCGCGCGGTACGCCCAGACCAGCGCCTGGGGTGCAGTGAGGAGTGGACGCCTCGCATAATCGATCCAGTTGACCTCGACGCGCTTCCCACAGGAGGCAAACTGGGCAGGAAAGCTGGTCAATAGGAACGTGCAAAAGACCTCCACTTGTTGGAGGTCTAGGGCTGCGGCGACTAGGTTCGGCTCCACCCGTTCGTCGATGCTTTGGCAAGCTTGGACCAGGGCAGCTTCTCTGTGGGGTTGGGGTTGGCTCCGAGCGTTTCGTTGCTGGTCTTTTTGGATCGACGTTTTGGTTTGGTGCATGAATTTCCAGCGTTTTTCATAGCCGGGGCACTCGAGATTGCGCTTGGTGCATTGATTGCAGGATGGTTTGGTTAGATCGCACTATGAGTTTGCATTCTGGATTAGAGGTGCTTTTCTTCCTGCATGGACAAGATGTAGATCCACAGCTTCTGTGGAGGGAAGAGGGGGTTCGTGTCCTTCCTGCCCATCAGGGAGAGGGGATTCGATGAGAGCTGAGACTAACCTTAACCCGTCTCCGCAAGCACGTTTGACATGCATTGCTTTTCGGTACTCCGACCATGTTATGTTACTCTATTTGGAAAGACGATCGGATGCAGCGTACACGGTGGTTGACGATGTGTTGCTGGTCAGCTCGAAGAGGAAACATGCTGAGAATACGACCGCGATGTGGGCCCTTGGCAGGGTCTTCGCACTGCCCAGACCAGCTCTACCTGATCCAGCATGGATTGGCATCCAAATCGCTTTTTCCTGGTTATTTCACCCTCGATATGGTTAGTGGATGTTGTTGCGATCGCCGGATTGGTCGAGAATACGAGGCCCACTTGGTTCAGGTACTGGATGGTGCATCTGGATGTCTGAATTAGAGTATACCATGGTTATGATAGTTTTAGAAAAAGCTCAAACTTTGAGTTCGAATTATATCTTATGGAATAGTGAAGGGTCGACCTAGGGACACTCGCTCGTCGTTGATTTAAAGTTGGGGTTTGATGTGCACGTGTTCAATTGCCGGTTATAAATTAGTAGTATATATTTCTGATAACTGGTTCTGTGATAGATCACATACTAAGTCTTAATCATACAATCTCATAGCATATTCGACAGAAGATATTAAAAAAATAATAATAAAACCTTAAACTAGCAGGCGTGTCACCAACAATCGTAGCACAATTCGAGCACCCAGTCTTCTCTTGCGTAGTGAGCGCATGAACCAATGGACAGGAATATTTGCCCTCGTCGAGGTATTCTCAGAAGCCTTTCTGGGTTGCATAATGGGTTATAGTTATCAGTGGCAGGTCAAAAACACTAAATAATTGATAGTTCTCACATCGTCTATCAGATTCTTATAATCGTTGCGGATCTGGAAGTATTGGCCTAGTAGGCTGACGAGCGAGTCAAGTGTGATGATGCTACGGAGGATGGGATTAGAATCAGACCTATATTCCTCCTAACTCGCAGTTTGACGTCAATTTTGTGGCGGTCGCTTGAAGCTTTCAAAACAAGCATAATGATCATTCCTGAGCCCAGATACCGCAATGGCTTGGCAGTAGGATGTAGCTCTATCCTATCTCCACACGATTTACTTCCTCCGACGTCTCAGCTAACGTCATATATCCCACCTTCGCCGAGCGAAGACTTGATAGCACAGGATTCTTTCACAAAGTGGTGCTGAGGCCTGGAGATATCTATTCGCAACATCTCAAGCGTTCTTTAAGGAAGCTGTAGTGTTTCTATGCAATTGAACACCATATTGCTGTGATGGATTTGACCAAGGAAGAGACCAAAGACTTCGCGACTTTTCACCGTCTTTGCATGGAAAATGGACTTTTAGAACGACCTAGGGACCTACGCACGGCAGATGTCCAGGATGGAGTCAATGACGAGGTCACGCTCCTGTAATCTTCTACTCAATAATATCCCGGTAGTCGTATTCTGTGTTGACCGAAGTAGACGATTTTTCAAAGCAGGCTGCCAAAATTCCCATAGAGCCCTCCAGCAGCTCCAAGAGGCAACCAAGTTTCGCGAGGAACAGCACATCCTTCCTCTGTATACTACCATTCATGTAGACGACTTCGAAGATACGCGGAAGCTTGTTAGTCCGCGACCGTTGCCTATCTTTCTGCGCTCAAGTAACATACTCCGAACTGTAGTATCCCCATTGACCGGCCGTCGAGACAAATGTGGATTGCCGATTCTCGTGGTAGACGTGGCTCATTATAACCTAGCCGCAATGGCTCAATGGCGAGAATCACGGGATATGTCCTGTTGCACTCTGCCAGACCGAGCATGGCTCAGTGGACGATGTTGTTTCACGATACATTGGCCCGTTCTGTTCTGCCTCGTCGCTCGGCTATGAGTGGCCGGCCGAGTCCGTTGACGCCCGTGAGCAACGCGATTTATCTCGTCGACGCATCTGTGGTCTCCGGTAAAGAAAGCGTGGAATCTGAAAGACTCTGCACAGCAAGTCCGCTGGATATTGATGACATGTTACCCAGAGATTATTGAGCGGATCTTTGAAAGTCAACCAGCACGAGTGGGAAAGTACGGACTCATGGATTCCGGACTAGGTGCGCAACGTCGTCGTATTTGTCAACGATTTGGAACATCTTCAAGAAATGGGTGGATCCCGGTACTGCGGCTAAGGTGGTAGTATTGAAGAAATCGGCGGTCTACACGACTTTGGAAAAGTCTATCGACAAAGAGAATATTCCGACGAAATTCGGAGGGGGCTTTGCAGCTCCTAATAGAATGTCTCCAGACCTGGACCATGGCATTCATCAACGCCTGCACTAAACTACACCATGTGAATGCATACCACCTGGTCCCGTGAAGCGGAGGCAAGGTGACAATGGTAAGATCGCAGTTGCTGCTGGAAGTGGAGACATGAACGTACCAAGAAATGCTGAGATTGCTTGCCTGTATTAAGATGGAAAAATGGGGTGAACGAGATGACTGGCTTTTGCATCACAGCCTACCAGAAACGGTGGAGTATAGGAACTGTGGACCGTGTAGTAAGGAGAACGAATCGGGATCGCTGGCTAGCCCTAGTAAAGATAGTGGTAAGAATGCAGACCCACCCGTAGTATTGCTTAGGTCAATACGGAGGAACATCGTGCCGATTTAGACGAAATATTAAGACGAGTGTCTCAGTTTCCGCCCCTATAGTGTGGGGAACCCGGAAGAGTATTATTGGATTGGAGGAAGAGACAAGCCCTCGGAACTATCTACAAACAAGGGGAGCTACTACCCTCCACCCATTTCAATCATCTGTCAACCAGCTCAGTTCTTGTAGCACTTGACAGAGCTCACGCCGCTGGAGCCGATGTTGTCGTTGCCAGGGGCCTGGATATCGCCAGTGCCGCCACCATTGCAGACAGTGGAGCTACAGAAAGTCAGAAGTTAGCCAGAAGCTCCCCAAAGCATAAGCAGAGAACACGTACCTCCAGAAGCGGCAACGGTATCCATCAGGGATCGAGACGGAGTGCACATTCTGGTTGACGGGAGTGCCGTTCAGGTTGACTGTACGCAATGAGTTAGCTATCATGATGGCAGTTGGCATGGTGGGAGTGGCCACGAACAGCATTGATGCTGAGTGTAGACTGTGAAGCCTGTGCAGCCGGCCTTGTTGATGCCAGTGCAGACCTGAATGTTGACAGGCTCGTCTCTGGCCTGGAGAGGAGCAGCCTCAGCGCTGGGAGCAGCGGTGGCGCCGCCAATGGCGGTCGCGAGCATCAGGACGGCAGCAGTGAAACGCATGATGAAGAGTTGTTTGGATAGGAATTCCGTGGTCTTAGAGAAGATGGATAGCTCTTGTTCTCAGGCGAGAAGACGCTGCATTTTATACCTCTTCTTGGATCCCAGTTTCCGGCTGCAGCTTCTGACTCCATTTTCTGGCCCCCAACCTGATCCAGGTTCGCAAAGTATAGACGAGCTGTAGTCTCTGCCCACTGAGCTTCTTGAAAAGTGAGGCGGTTCATATCATGGAGATTGTGAGATGTTATCTTGCTTTCACACCGTCCGGCAGGAATATTTCCCATTGGCCCTCTACCGTTTTGACATTCTGCCAGCCAATAGGCTGCTAAAGTTGCAGGGCGGAAGGAAAATGCAAAACAGTATTTAAATGATATCGTCCCACCGCACTTGGTGGCCAGATCAGAGACTATAATAACCGAGGATGCTAAAGTACGGAGTATGCAGTATTTGGCTTCGGTCAATGTAATTTCGATGAGACATGGCATACTACTACTGCCCCGCAATCTAACGGACTCAAAACCGGCATATACGCGCGTGAAGGATCTCAGGGTCGTCCAATTAAGTGAGGATCCGGGGTACCTGGGTGGCAAAAGAAGACCATTGTGGTCCTGAAAGGGACAGCATCGCCTCAATTAACAAGGATGGTATCCTACCCCTTGGAAGTGACAGGGAATCCAAGAGAAAGGGTGGTCGGTTGTGCAGGGGAGACAAGTGAAGAAAAGACTGAGGAACACTAGTGGGCCCCACGGCTCTTCCGTGGCGGACCGAGACGCCTATTCTACGGTATACGGTAAGCCTGGTACTATGGATGCAGGGCAGTGTTGAATTACTATCTGTCCTATTGGCGGGCTCATGATTGACAACCCCATATGCTTGTTTATGCAGTATTGAATCTGGTATAGTGCAGTACATAAATTATGGCCTACGAAACCATTACACTATTCAAATACATTCTTGATTTAGCGTCGGTTAATCTTGCGCTGTGCAAGGACAGTACTCCAACTGAATGCAAGCAATATGCACGGGTTCGTTGCATTACTAGTGCCATCACGCCAAGCATGAAAAATTGAGGACAAGCCTGTGAGGAAGTTGCCGTGAACGTGACTCATACCATAACACGCACTATTTCCCTGGTGAAGTCTGTCGGTCCAAGCTGATAGAAACCTTTTCATTGAAAGTAATGCCTTCGAAATCACCCAATGTTCACCGTAAGCAACTATCTTTCCCACAAAAAAGAATGTATAGGTTGTATCGGTACACAACATAGGATACTTCTCAGCCATGTATGTACCTTGATCGAGCACGATCCAATGAGTTTGATGGTGGCAACATCTCCCATCACCCGGTTGGGGTTCTCTCGAAACATAACTGGTGCTTTGAAATGCTGATCTATTCCTTCACAGACGGCCTCGCGCCATAGAATTGTCGGCAACTTCGGGGAGAATCAGATGACACTGTAATCCTTATCCTAAATTCATTGCCGTCGCAGTCAATAGATATGTACTACCTTAAGTTAGAGATATCTCTATCCTAACTTACTGGCTTGATTGCCGGCGCTAATATTTTAGTACGCTCTTAGTAGGTCCGTGAATCTATCACCAGTAATATTTGGGGGTAAATACCATTGTAAGATTTTAAACGTAGTAGCTCCTCTGCAAGTCCTGTATTGGGATAGGTTTAACAAATATATCGAAAGAGATGCTTCCCTAGGATCTATATGATCAGTGTTGCTAATAGGCGATATATATTTCCTCTCAACAAGCCGTAGCAGCACATGTATATATTTAATTCAAAGTTCTCCCCTTCCGAGCAAGATCTCGGATCATATCTCTCTATTAGCAGTTTAGCTGACCACATGTTCCACTCGTTTCCACATTAGTAGTTGTGTTAGAGGTACAAGCTCTGTATTGAAGTCCCAGATTAGCATTCTAATCCCCGATATTCCAACTGTATATGTCGACACAAATCCTTGAATACCCAGAGCACAGCAGAGCGCCGACACGATCGGAATTTGCTACTCATCTTTCATGGAAAAAGACACCGAGAAGATTCTTATCTTTCTTCAGCAGCAACGAACGAGCAATGCATTGGCGAGAATTCTTAGAAGAGAAAGACTGGAAGAATCAAGTTAGAAGGTATCACACGGTGCGTGGAACCGAAAGTCTGTCGTTGACAGAAGCTTCGAGTATCCAGTCCCTATTTAGGAACCTGTGGAAAAATCATGAAAAATGCATTACCAAGATATTAAACCACAGGTAATGCCTCTAGCCAACCTCGAATCCGCAAGCCCATTATGTACCCCAATTTTGTGGATCCATCTTCTTTCAAACTGTCTTTTCCATACCTCGAAGAATCTTCTCAATGTATTTGCCTGCACCGCTAAATTTCAAGTTAAGCACAATAGTACGGTGAACTTTAAGAAGCTTAGAAGAAGATGGGTTTATAGTAAGGCTGGGGCTAAGAGTCAGGGTGCGAGAGACAGGGAGCAGCCGATTATATAGAATCGGGTCTCTTTCTGTTGACTTAACTATATATTTGTTGTATCTTCCTTGAATTTGTTTAAAGAGTATCTCAAGATCACCTAATAATTGATGGTAATGGTGTGTTAAAGTTAGAGCATGTTTTGGGCCATCGATAAGATGGCTAATACAGTAATACCGGGCTTAAATATGGCCAGTATTTGGAGATTACTTTTTTCGATTCACTTTGTAGAGTAATGTCAGTAGAGCGGTATAATTTCGGCACAGGAAACTTATACCAGTTCTATGTCTCCAAGAAATATGGCGACTAGAGAATAACAGAGTATATAAGCGACTTCTAAAAGCTTGAGCTCACCAGATTCGTCCTAGGGGAGATTTCCATCATCATCTTTACCCTCCACTCCCCTCTCCTTGATATGTTTCGGGGCTCCTTTTCTATTAAACCGGCGGGATACTACACAGCAATAGTAGCCGGCTTTCGGGTTGCTGACGGGTCGGGTCGACCTAAATCTGCCCCGGGTTCGGGGCGGGTCCTCCATCCCGAACCCGAACCCGACCTGATGTCAACCCGAGCCTCACATAGTGCAGTTCCACATAGCAATTCATGTACATTTAGTTAAACTAATAGCAACTAACAGAGCTTGTTATGAGCTCAAGTGCCCTTTACCGGGTATAGTTACCAGCTTCGTATTTTTCTAGGTGAGCCCTACACTGCTGTCTACCAGGGACATAACAACTGCGCGATGCTAGTAGTATCATACTGCCACTGGTGTCTTCTTTCTGCACTGAGCAACCTCAGTACCTCACCTGACCCTTTGGCAGCTATAAACGAGATCGAACTCATGTTCTCCACATTTACAGTATATGGAAATCAAAAGCAGGTGAGTCGGTCATTGCCAGATGCGGCTTCAAATCGGCATTTGATCAACGCACCTGAGCCAAGATAGTGGGCTCAGTGTCGTCCATGACAAGGCAATATTTCCTCCATCCTTTTCTCCGAGGTGTTACACCTATACCCTTTCCTCTGTTTTAATTTTAATTTTAATTTTTTTTTCCCTGTCTAGCTCGGTAAAGCACTCGCCACGGCTGTGGCTATTTCCAAGCTTGAGCTCACCGTGGCAGGGCCTCTTAATGAAATACCTCGACCCGAATTGATAGTATACAGAGCTCAATTGTGGTTTATTCCTTTTCAAGATTCCATATGCATATACGCAATATACTGAAGGAATAGCCTGTCTATTCCTAGATAATAGTCGTAACTAAGGTACATGATCTAGCTATATATACTAGAATCTGTCAACTGCGATCACATTCACAAAACTACTAAGCGGTAAAAACAGGCCACGCCAGAATAATTGGAAAAATAAATGCTCTTCTATAGATATCATGGACTATGGAAAGTATTTTCAGGGTGAATTTCTTTTTTGTTGTTTGAATTGTGTCTTTAATAAGATGAAGCGCGCCGAGCGCGCCTAATGTGTAGCGGAAGGCTTCCAACACACAAATGCCGTTCAGCTCCTCGCGAGAAAAAAAGAAAAAGGAAAGAGAGGGACAATGCCGTCAGGTGTTCCTATATTTGAGATACCCGTTTCTATTGTACATTAACTAGACATGATTCATCATAGCGTGACGTTAGGGTAGAGGGTACTGGTCATTGGTGGAACAACTTGTCCAGTGCTATCAATACTATCAATATAGTTTAAATCTTGGATGCAAGATCCATGTCATTAATGGATGAATAGTAACAAGCATATTGCAATGATGAGCGATTTAAGCGGCCTTCATGTTGCTTTTCTCTCTCAAATTGCTGGAGATGCCGATGCTGTAAAACCAGAGAAGGATGGCCCGTGGGATGAACCGTAGCATCCAATCTAAGATCCTGGTAAACTTTATGCAGGATGTTTTCTTTTTCTCTTGGACTGATCATGGGGGTGCGATGCCTCGTTCTGATCATGCAACATGAGTCAGTGCTTCCTAACCCTATGAATATGCTGCACACATGCGGCAAGCACATACATTATTTTCCTCTTTCTTACGGCAAGATGATCGGTGCTGTGCACAGACACAATTCTATTTCTTTGACCTGTAGGTCTTCTAGCGGACAAGGCTACAAGATTTAATTAAGAAAGGAATGGCGTAAAGCCACGAGGGGCAAAGGGGCCCGCACGTAAAATCGATTGTGCCTGTCAGATTTTAGCGTCCCATATATCACACTATATTATTGATTTTCCCTACTTTTTTCTTGCTTCATCTCCCTGGACCTCGTTATTTCCGATAGCGCCCGTGAGTAATTTCCCTTCTCAGCAATGTGAGCCGACATCTTGACTAGCTCAATCACATCTGGCAGACTTCCCACATGGTCTTATGCAATTAAGAACCCCTCCGACTGCGCTTGATCCATCTGCCTGGCCGATCTGGACATGGTGACGGCGGTCGCGTGGGATGGGCCTCACGAGAAGCGAAGTCGGATGGAGACAAGCACCTGGAAGTGGATTTTATTAGTCAATGTGCGCGTCCAGCTGGAGCAACTAAGCCTCGTAGGCCGGCGATCACTATCTTATTGGGAGCAGCCCCACCAATAAAAGCGACTTTTATCTGATCCGAAACCTAACCCTGGTTATCTGATCAAACCTGAATCAACCCGAACGCTGCCGTCATTGGGCGACTGCCTTTCTGTCTAGAGAACTCTGGTCTCCATCGGGAAGCGCGTCTTGCGGCAATAATTTGAGTAGACCACCCATTGCCGTTCGTACACCGATGGGCAGATCGTATTATCGAGACTGGTTACGTAGAAAAGAGTTGCGACGCCCGGTCGTTTGTTCTGGTCGCCAGCCCTCTGTCCCGTCGCACATACCAGGAAACACAGTCAATCGCTCGAGTCCACATCGAGGTTTACAGCACTTATTTGGTACGCCATGCCGGGCCCGAATATTGTGCGAGGCCGGAACGACACACAGTTGGCCCAGAGTGTGGTCGGTGCGGACTTTCGAGACCTCAAGTACGAGGCCAGTGTGTCATCCGTGAATAACAGCCACAATCCCGATGCGATCAGTCTGGAAGCCCCACAGAAACAGCCCTTTCGAAGACCGTCCGAGGAGGTCACCCAAGGCGCACAACTGGGGATTCGAAAGGCCGAAGCAGCAGCACTGGCCTGGAGTAAGAAGACTGCCTATTTGACCTACGCTTTGTGAGTTGCATAACGGCTGTTGTTTTGCGTTTTGTCTCGCTTCTTGTCACTAATATTTGGCCGAGTCAAAGAGTCTGGCTCGGCTTCTTCATGCTAGCCCTACAGTCCGCCGTCAGTACCAATGTTATCCACAACGCATTCGCCCACTTCGAGGAAGCGCCCGCCGTGAGTACGTCCAGCATTGTGGCAAGCGTGGTCAGTGGGGTGGTTCGACTTCCTGCTGCAAAGCTCTTGAATATCTGGGGGCGCCCGGAAGGCCTGTCGCTGTTCCTCGCCGTTTACCTCCTGGGGTTGATCATTCTGGCCGCTTGCAACAACCCAAGCTCCTTTGCCGTCGGCTATGTTTTATATTGGGTTGGATACGATGCCATTTTCTTGATCCTCGATGTTTTCATGGCGGATACGTCTGGACTACGCAATCGAGCCTTTGCTTTCGGTTTCGCCAGTACACCTTTTATCTGCACGGCCTTCACTGGCCCCATCGCAGCCCAGTCCTTTGTCAATCACTCAACATGGCGCTGGGCTTATGGATGCTTTGCCATCGCGCAGGTGTTTGTTTTTCTTCCCCTGATTGCTGTGTTCAAGTTCTACCAGCGCAAAGCCGAGAAGATGTTCATCTTTGTGCGGGAGCCCAGCGGTCGCACATGGAAGCAGTCCGTCATCTTCTGGCTCAATGAATTCGATTGTATGCGTCCGCTGCCATGATTGACGGACTTCGCTAACAATGATTTCAACTAGTGGTCGGCACCCTCCTCCTTACCGCTGCCTTCCTGTTGGTCCTCCTTCCCTTCAGCCTGCAATCCTACGGCCGAGCCGAGTATAACAGTCCGACGTTTATCGTCATGCTCGTAGTCGGCATCCTCCTCTTTGTCGTGTTTGGCGCCTGGGAACGATACGGTACTGCAACGCCTTTCATCCAGTACGAACTGTTCAAGGACCGGAGCGTCCTCGGAGCCTGCATAGTGGCAGCCAGCCTATTCTTCAGCTACTATGCGTGGGAGCTCTACTTCTACAACTTCTGTATGGTAGTCTACGGGCTCAGCGTGAGTATGACGGGATATGTCGGGCAAATCTACAATGTCGGGTCGTGTTTCTGGTCAGCAGTGTTCGGGGTGGTGGTGTATGTCACGAAGCAGTTCAAATACAGCTGCCTGTGCTTTGGTCTGCCACTCGTCATGCTGGGTGCCGGCCTGATGATCCATTTCCGGTCGGCAGGTGGAAACATCGGATACATTGTGATGTGTCAGATCTTCATCGCCTTCGGTGGCGGAACCCTGGTCATCGGCCAAGACATGGCCGTCATGGCCGCCTCCGACCGCGAAGGCGTACCCATGATGCTGTCGATGATCGGCCTGTTCTCCAGCCTGGGTGGTGCGATCGGCAATGCGGCCTCAGCTGCTATCTTCTCCAACACGTTTCCGTCTGCCCTCCGGGATGCCCTCCCGGCCGAGAGCAAGTCCCAATACATGGATATTTATCTCGGGGGGTACCTCAAACAGCTCGAGTACCCCGTTGGCTCTGAGATTCGCGACGCCATCAACCAGGCCTATGGTGCCTACATGAAATATGGGTGTATCGCCGCGGTGGCGGTCATGGCCGTCGGGCTTCCGGCCATCGCCATGTGGAGGAACTACAGGGTTGACAAGAAGCAAAACAAGGGTGCTATGATGTGATGCGTCTCTTTATCTTTTTCTTTTCTGTTTGTAGTATTGCTTACGTTATACCCCTATACCCCTGTGCTTTTTATCGTTACATTCGGTTGACTCTGTCTTCACGTGTATGCCATGTGGGCTGATGGGAGGCTATTTGGTTATTATGAGTTCTTAACCCCTGTATTTAGACATCTGGGCCTATTTAGCAACATTCATCGCTTTTAACTGAACTTTGCCATGCATGGTTGCCTCTGTAGATCCAAGTGAGTTCACCGGGGTTCGTCCGAAGAGAAGTACCAAACCAGTGGAACCCGCCTCAGCGACAGTGGACATGCCCCTCCATGGCAGTGAAGTGAACTACCGAGTTGACAGGCCGGACAGTGACTGCTCCGGGCCCCAGTGTGTCCAAACTAGGGTATTTAAACGCGTCACTGGCGGCTTGGCGGGGGATACTGAATGGTGGAATCAGGCAGCAAAACCCACCGGGATGCATGGAGCCATCGGGGCACACACCAGGCGCCAGGCGACAGGCCGACAGATTCTGTCCGTGCAAAGAAAATAGCTCATGTGGAGTGTCCGCCCAAAACGTAGGGAGTATCCGAGTCCAGCAGTTGATCGTCTCGGCGATAAGATTGATAAACTTAGGGCGAAGTCGGACCCGTTCAACGTGCCTTTCCGCCGATGACATGCCACTTGCTGGGCTATTTTCGCCCGCTTAGTTGTGTTTTGTTCGGGGCTCTGGCGGGTTTTTGTTTTGTTGGTTTGATCCTGGCAATTGCAGCTCTGCTAATGACGACCGCGGCGTTTGTTCTAATAGACTATTCTTTCCGAGAGGTCGCGTGCGAATATCATGCATGAGGCTACCCTCCCTGTGCGCGCCAGAGCGCCGTCTGTGTCTACTGATGTACCTTGGTTTCTGAAATTGGATCATGAGAATGAGGTGGTTTACGAAGTAACAGATCGCCCGCTGTTGAAGAGCGGTACATTGACAGGCCTCGTGGAACAATTGACTCGCCATGACCGACTGGACCTTGTCTTCAACGAGACCTTCCTGATCACCTATCCGACCTTTGTATCCGCTTCAGACCTCTTCGATGCTCTCCTCCAACGATTCCACGTCAAGCCACCGGGTCAATTGACCGAATCCGAACTACAGTTGTGGACCCAGCACAAACAAAAGGCAATCCGGCTCCGGGTAGTCAATATCTTGAAGACATGGCTGGAACGGTTCTGGATGGAGCCACGCGAGGAATCAACGACGGATTTGCTCCGGAAGATGCACGCCCAGATCAAGAGCTCGGCGGACGTGATGGAGACACCCACCGCCTCTCAATTATTGAGTGCCATCGATCAGCGGATCCAGGGCCAGGAGATCACGAAACGCCTTGCTACGCCGCCGAACTCCAACATCCCCAAACCGATCACACCCAAGAATATGAAAAAGCTGAAGATACTTGACCTCGATGCCACCGAGCTCGCCCGCCAGCTAACAATCATTGAATTCAACCACCACGCCCGCATCAGGCCGAATGAATGCCTCAGCCAGAAATGGAAGAAGAGGAGGTCCAATAGCACCGAGCCGTCGACGGGGGTCAATGCCATGATTCTGCACTCGAATCGACTGGCTAATTACGTGGGTGAGCTTGTGTTGGCACAGGATGAGCTGAAAAAGAGGGTGTCCATGATCAAGTTGTTTGTGCAGGCTGCTGATGTAGGTTCTTCACGTGGTTATGTGTGTTGTGTATAATATCTGACTGGTTAGGTTTGTCGTTCGATTAATAATTATGCTACGTTGATGTCGATTGTGTCCGGTCTGGGGCAGTCCCCGGTCTTTCGACTCCGGCAAACTTGGGGTCTTGTCAACCCGCGCATTCGCAGCCTACTTGAGGAACTGCGGGATTTGATGTCGAGTGAGAAGAACTGGGTCAGGTATCGCGAAGCTTTGCGGCAGGCTAGTCCGCCCTGTGTTCCTTTCTTGGGTGTGTATTGCCTACCTACCTTCTCTCTCTCTCCCCCTCTTCCCTTCATTTTGTTCTCTTCTTCTCTCGTACTCTCCACTAACAAGAGTATAGGAATCTACCTCACAGACTTAACATTCATCGACGACGGCATCCCTGACCTCACCCAATCCGGCACGATCAACTTCGCCAAGCGCATCAAAGTAGCCGAAGTCCTGCAAAACATCCAACAATACCAAAACATGCCCTACAATCTGCAGCCCGTCCCGGAGATCCAGGACTTCCTGATCAGAAATCTGAGGGCCACAAAGGATGTCAGCGACATGTATGACCGGAGTCTTCAGTTAGAGCCGCGCATGGCGAACGAGGAGATTGTCGTGCGACGAGGCGCCCACACAGCGACAGGTAGCAATATGAGCTCGGTGATTATTGCGAGTATGGCTATGCGGTGAGACTGGTTTGTCTATATTCTGCGTGCTTCTTGGGCGGCTCTTCTTCAGGTTTGGTCTTTTGTGATACCTTGTTCCTGTTCGGTTTTCGTTCTTTTCCTATTTCTTGACGATGATGAAGTTACGATTCTCGTGATATCACGGCTTTATGGTAATGTATATACAAAAGCACATTCACTCTTTTGGTCCACGACATGGGATAAAAGCATAGACGGATACATATCTCACTCACTCACATAAACCTCAACTCCAACTCCAAACCTCACTCATTGCCCACAAGAACGCCCCTCTCCCTCTTAAACCGCTCAACAACAGGCACATAACTCCCAACTTCCACCTCCTCCAAGATCCCCGGGCCAGCCGGACACCAGCCCAACCTCTCCCTAGCTTTCCTCCCACTCGCCCGATTCCGAACCAGCACAAACTCCACCAGAAACCTCCCCCACCTCGCCTCGACCTCCTCCCTCGTCCGCGACACAACATCAACCCCCACAACCCTGCCAATCGCCCCCGCCAACGCGGAATAGGTTACATCCGTACAGGACACCCCATTAAACACCTCCCCAGGCCCAGCAAACCGTGCAACGAGAAAATAAAGCCGTGCGGCATCCTCCACATGCACACAGGAGAAACACCACCCCCCGTCGTCGATCATAGCGGCCTCCCCGTCCCGCACCGCAAGACGGATCAGGTCCGCCGCGAACCCGTGGTCTGTTTGCCGGCCGTAGACGTACTGCGGGAGCCGGAGCACACTTATCCGGACTCCCTTGGGGGCCCACGCGAGCGCGCGTTCCTCGGCCAGGTGGCGGGGTAGGGGCGTGTACGGTGGTGGGGGGGCTGTTTCGTCTGTTTCTCCACCCGAGGGATCGGGGAGGACGCAGAGCGTGCCGCCGGTTGTGACAAGGGGTTTGTTTGTGTTTTGGAGGGCGCTGGCGAGTGCGTCTACCGCGGTGATGTCGAGCGCTAGTAGGTCGGTGTAGGGCTTGCTCCAGTCGTGGCTGAAGGCGAGGTGGAACACCACGTCTGCGCGTCTCGCTTCTTCGGCTAGGATGGTCGTGTCGCTTAGCGTGCCTCGTACTGGGGTTGCGCCCAGACGGCGCAGGAGGGTGTCGCCTGCCTCGCTGCGGGAGAGAGCGCGCACGCTGTGTCCTGCTGCGAGGGCGAATTCGGTCACTACGCGGCCTATGTAGCCTGTTGCGCCTGTTATGAAGATGTTCTGGGGCGGAGGGTGAGTGGTGTTAGGGGGCATTTTGGGGGTTGGTTGGTTAGGTGGTGTCACACTGGTGCGTTTGCGTAGGGTTTGTTTTGTGTTTGAATAGACGCGATTGAGGTTCTTTCATGTGAGTTAGGGCGGTAGATGGCTGTATATGTGGTCGTTGAATAGGATTTCCATCGGAGTAAGAGTATCTCCATTCACCATTATGCTCCCGGATCAGATTCTAAGGGAGATTGAAATTCACTTCTCTTTACAGTTGTATCATGTGGTCTGTAAATTTCTCACTGTGAATTGACATTGTGGATCCAGGGTTGCATTGGTGATGCTTGGCTGCATGTATATATTGTTGTTAAAGAGGGGATGAAGAGAGTTTGAGTTCGAGGTAGCATGCTGTCACCTATTATAAGGGAAAAACAGAAACAATTTATTATTCCCTCTTCTATCAGTGAATTCTTTTATGGATAGGGCTATATCTGCTCATAAGACATTATCTAGAGCCAAGATGGAAGCTTGAGCTGGACAATATATGGAGCTAGCCATAACAGGCTAGTGTATCTTCCACGACGGATACTTATGCCGGCGGCATAAATGACTAAGCGAATTAATGCACGGTGAAGTAGAGCTGCCCTAACTGGGAATTTCATGTTCGTGTGAGATGGAATGGCATTTGCTCTTTCAGTCATATATGATGTACCCTGTCGAACGAACGTCAAGATATTAAGTCTTGGGATCTATAAGGCATAGAAAGGGCGAGTGACGATCGTATATTGACCCCTCCGGTGGGGCTATACTACCCTTCACTGCCTGTACGGTGAAATCGCCGTGGAGACCGTACTGTCCAACAGCTTTGGAGCAGTCATGGTCTTATATGACATGTGGACTGGTAGCTAGAGTTACTAGACTTATCTGTTATGTCACCCTTAAAGAACGAGTAACCACTACTAACTGTAACCCATTTGGTTGGACACAGAGCAGATGTGGGTGTAGACACAGAAACACATGATGTATAGTACAAGTACTCTCGAGCTCCTGCGAATATTACGCTACCAACTTGCCTCTGAAATGTATACTAACATTGATCAACTTTAAACCATTAGTTGTACAACTGCATGCGCATAGCGCCTCATCGACCAATAACAATGAGAGAACCCCACACCGGCGCTTAACCACGTCAACACCAAACAAGCAAACACACACCATAATTCGAGCTTCTCTGTAGCCATCTATCTCATGTATCGTACTGATTCCCCATAAATCTGACATCCCATACCGACCCAACTCAACTGAACTCTCCCCATGGCCCCCCTCCGCTCCACATACGCTGGAGTGACACTCGACGCCGAGAAAACCCTCCTTTGCAAATGTGGCTATCCAATGAAGAGGTACACTGTCAGGGACGCGAAGAGCCCATACTGCGGAGAGCAATGTATATCTTCCGCCTTTTCCCATCTGACCAAATCAATCTTAAAGACTGATAATGTCTAGATCTGGCTTGTAGAAGACATTCCAATGACGAAGAACACTGCAAGAGCTGGATATGGTTCGACGAGACGCCCCAGGTAGAACAGCTCGTTCCTCGTCTTGCTGTTCCGCAGACGCCGAAGAAACAGACCGATATACGGGAGTTTGGGCAGCTGACGCCGCCGAAATCGTCGTGTCTGAAGAGGAAGCGGGTCAATGTGGATCCTGGGAGGTTGGACGAGCTCCCGGGCGATGAGATAGAGGATAGTGGTACGTTGACCTTATTCATTATGTATTAAGAACGGGGGAAGGTGACAGTAATGTGTCGGTAGACCTTTCGGAAGGGACTCTAGATTCGCCGTCTCGGAGTAGGCAAAGGATGCTCGGAAAAGATGAATCGACGCCGGTAGCTCGTTCGCTGTTCGTACGGCAGGAGGGAATGGGTACTGTGCGACATCAACCTCTTCAAAGACTAGGTACTTCGCCTCATCGGGTCGGGGATTCAAGTACACCACAAAATCCCAGACTTCTTAGCTCTGGGTTGTTTACTCCGGGTTCCGGCCGTGGCCATAGAAAGCGGTGGATCGGTATGGACGCACCAGCAACACCAACTAAACAAAACCATATTTTTGCATCTCCAGCTTGTGTGCTGGACCATGATACCAATGATTCAGATTCGTATGGCTGGGATGAAGAGCTTGTTGCTGCTATGTTAGACAAATCGGACCAGGTACAGCCATCGACATAAGATTGGTGACAGGCAGGTGAGATGCATCTAGTTCAAGGTCACAAATCAGCATTTCCGAGATCGAATTTGGAAATAATATTTCATACACAACGAAAGGTGAAATGCCACAAGTAGTATGAACGTGCATTCCTCGATGAGTAATAGACAACGTTTCCCCTCAAAGGAACCTGACCTTGGCTCACTCCACTCCATCATTAGTGGCCCATTCTGAAGTTTAATGCAGGTTGCGGGTACTTGACCATAATTTGATTCGTTCTCGAATATTCGTACTGTAGTCTCTTTTTGTACATCGCTTCTGTCGGTCGACCTGCACTATAGGACAGTGCACTAGGCTGCCTATCGCATGTTAGGCGATTGCTAATGGGTGATGGGTATGTGGAGGAGAAGAGTGGAAAGTGATATCAACTTGGTGACGCAGGTGTGATGCGCTGCCTAAGAGAGACCCAGACTTCGTTGCCACGCAGCCGTGTGTGGCTTTCGATATTATAATTTTACTTTGACCCAGGTAATCTTGCTTGGGATGCTCTTCCTGGTTTGGGTCCTGCATGGCGTGAGCACGTATCTGTTGATTGACATGTGCATCTCGCCATTATAGGACTCAATGAAGGCGCTGTGAGGGCGTCCTTATCTCGTAATAGTAGATCCATACCGTTGAGTAGAATCCTTCAGTATTGCCATGACGAGTGTTCTGTAGGCGAGAAGCTTATACCATGTGACTTAAAGCTACCAACGGTGCTGCGTTTGTCTTTCGGCCCGCCTACGATTCTGTCTTGCTAAATCCTTTCACATCTATCACAATGCCTCACAACGGAGACTGCCCCCGGACTGAAAGGACCGTTGATTCAACGGTCCTGCTCGATTTGGACCTCTTCAGGGTCTCAGCAGATAATGCAACCCGTGTCGAGAAGATTGCCCTGGCATACCATCGAGCCCGCGCGATAGCAAAGCTTTATGGTACGTTTCCTTGCCTTTGGTCTTCACTGCCGATTAACCTCGTGCACAGACTTTACAACGGGGGATATACAGTGCCTGACCGAGAAGTTCTGGCACTTCCACCAGGACATGATCCATACATTAGATTCGGCCGCGTTCAGTCTGTTGGCGATACAGTACAATCTCTGTGTGGGGACCCTGGCTCCCTTCCTCGAACATCGACCGGACCTTAAGGCTATTGTTGAGCCATTACTCTCCTTCGACATTTCGTAGGCGCCATCCGACGCGCTGACCTCCGTAACTCACTGACAGGTAACAGAGGACAGTTCCTACTTGCAGAGGTCGGACATGGTCTGGATGCACATGCTATTGAGACGGTGGCTACTTTGCTTCCAGGTGGTACCTTCGACCTTCATACTCCGAATCCGGACGCAGCCAAGTAAGAGATCCTTTGCCCTGCTATCGATGACCAGTGACGGACCGTTTAGATTTATGCCCGCAACAACCCCTATAGAAGGCTTTCCCCGAATCGGGATTGTCATCGCCAGAGTATCGGTCGCGGATGAAGATCGTGGTGTCAAACCATTTCTAGTCTGGCTCAATGATGGCCATGAAATGTCTACAGGCATATACGCGAAGTAAGCCCCCACAGCCCATCCAGTATACACTATCTAACCATGAATATCCAACTCCAGAGTCCTCCCAGGACGAGCAGGATCCAAAACCCTCGACCATTGTATCACATCCTTCGAACACGTCCGGCTCCCGCACACAGCTCTTCTCGGAACTCTCGATGCACCCGCAGACCGACGAAAGAGCTTTCAATCCACTATCCACCGCGTGTACATCGGCACATTGGCTCTGTCCACGGTTCTCATATCGGCGTTGAAAAGCTCCGTTTTCGTAGCAGGAAAATACAGCTTCCGTCGACATATCTGGGGGCCTACTAATGAGCCCCGACCGATTATATTCTTCCGGCCACAACATCGTCCGATTCTTCATACTTTAGCTCAGATCGCTGTCTACGATCCCTATGCAGCGGAAAGTATCCAGAATTACATGGACACGAAAATCCCATACGTCGTCCGGCAAGGTGTTGCAACCGCTTTCAAAGCCGTCCTCCATCGCGCGACACAGGAAAGCCTATGTTATCTCGGCGAGCGCTGCGGTGCGCACGGTCTGTTCGCGTATAACAACATCATCGATAACCAGATTGAAGCTCATGGGAACTCGATCGCCGAGGGAGATACCCTGGCTCTTTGTATAAGTAAATATATCCTGAGGAACCGGCCGGGTCAATAGCTAACCTAACGTTTTGTACAGGGCTGGCCTCCGAGTTAATCCTAGGACGATATCGCATGCCCCCACCCCGTTATCCATCCTGTCTTCTGGCCATATTCGAGATCGGTCTATTTCGGCATGCTCGGGATATCATAGACTCACTCGAAGAGGTTCAGAGAACAGGGGAATTCAATAGGCGCATACTCCCCCGATGCCAGACGCTGGTGGAGGCTGTTGGTCACCGGATGGCATACGAGGCGGGCCTGGATTCCGGCGTGGTGCCAGAATTACTCGACCTCTATGAGGCTGGGGTCATGCTGCAGCATTCTGGGTGGTTCGTGGAGAACCTGGGATTAGATATGGAAACGCAGTTCAATATGGAGATGCAAGCGATGAACGGGGTGCTGCCTCGGCTTGAGCACTTGTTGGAGGCCACTGGCGCGGAGCCGTATTGTACAGCACCCATTGTGTCCAACGAGGCCTGGGCGGAGTTTGTTAACGGCCTCGAAGTATATAAGGGTAATGCCCGGATGGATATCTGTGAGTATGATGAGGACGTCGGTGATACTGTTAGTATATTTGGATTCCTCAGGGAGAGTGGCTAGGTGGGTATTTTGGATTGAATTTGTGTCACTGCGGATGAAAAAGCTCTGTATCATAACGAAGTCTTCAAGCTCAACCATTGTTTCTCAGACTGGTCTATGAATGCGTGTCTTTCAGCTTCTTCTCTTCTTCCTCATATCCCATGAGTGCCATGGGTATTTACAAGCAGGACTTCTGTTGGTACATTTATCTGTACACCTTCATCAGTCTTGCAGCAAAACAAATTGGCCTCTTCTTGGATAAAATGTTATCTGAGCAATACCACAGTTACAAGTCTGACTCCACAATTTATTACAAATATAACCTCTAGTCTTCCATATGAAGAATCCAAATTCCAGGAGCCAACGGTAGATTCCTAACAGCATGCGATATGGCGATCATAGGAATCCATTCGGGTCCTCTACATAAGTACTCCAGATAGCAATACAGACCCCCTAAATTCAATCATGACTTTAAAGACGCTTACAGATAATTCTTGCTTCCCTTTAACCGCTAGATGGGTACCTGTCACTATCTAGGTGCGCTCAACCCCACGAGAATACCTTTTCCCACATCCCGATCTTATATTACCGTAACGCAAAGTCCAAGCAACCAATAAGTGACTTCACACCCGCTGATCCTATTTGGCGAAGCATCCAGCCACCAAGTCTATACCACTAGATGTCTTTATTTATTCAGACCAAAAAAAAAAATAAAATAAAATAATTAAAGAAAAGTGGACATGCCACGCTCTATGGTATTCTTCTCGCACCCTTTATCTGCCAACAACCCTGGCATGGTTGGGCACCCTTGCTTTCCTCCCAGGGCGGGGTAAATATACCCTGTAGGTATTGCGGCATTATGTCCTAGAATGTGCTCACTGCTAGAGGGAAAACCTGGTCAGATATTTGTTCCTGTATTTCTTTCCTTTAGCACCTTCTTTAGTTCTTTGACGCGTTCTCTCTACTTTGTCGATCAGCCTTCCAACCACTTTTTTAATCCCCTGTTGAAGATGGTGGCATGTCCAAGGCCCCATGAGTATGCAAGGTAAATCTTTCTCGCCCAAATCGTACAGGTAGCTGAAGTGGATAAGAATATTCAGGGAGCACCCAATCCAGGTCATTGTAGGAAGTGGTAAGAGGTCCTACTTTGTGCACCCTGGAGCCTTGTCATGGTGCAACACGTCAGCGTTGAATGCTCGAGTTAGTGGCCCATGGAAGGAGAATGGGGCCGGCGGGCCCTTCGACTGGACTGATTTTGATGAACAAACAATCGAATGTGTTTTAAGCTACCTTTATACACAAGACTATTGTGTACCCGACTCAGCGTCTGATCAGCATGGCATATATTTGAATACTGATGATACCAAAGGTAGGCAAGGCAAAGTTGCAAGGGAGGTGGTCCGCTAATTTAATCCACAGTCAACACCAGCGTCGAGCCCATATCTGTCGTTGCAGAACCCCCGCCCTTTAATACTGGATCTGCAGATATACCAACGCTCGATAGGCCTTTAACTCCCTTGAGCCGGTGCCTCCGAGTTGGTTTACCGGCAGAGACTTCCCAGACTGCTGCGGGCGGTATTACGAAAAGAAAACTTCAAAACTCAGAACATAACCCTGCCGTCGATATCCTGCTCCATGCGAAAGTGTATTGTTTTGCACATCGTTTTCTCATCCCCGACCTTGAGAGCTTTGCGTTGCAACGCCTAACACAAGTTCTCTTGATCGTCGATACGCAGAAATACTCACTATTTCCGTACCTAGCAGATGCTATCCGCCTCGTCTACGACTCAACACCTAGCGCACAGCTACAGGATAATCCAGCTCGAAAACTGTTATCTCAATATGTTGCACTGAAGTATACTGAACTGGCAACTGAAAAGCTCACGAAGCTTTTAGAGGAAGGGGGAGAATTTCCGACGGATTTGTCGCACAAACTAGTCAGGCGAATTACGGCGAGCGAAACTGGGGCCCAATCTTTGGAGGAGCAGATTGATGGGCTTCAAATTAAGGTCGATGAGTTGGAGGCTAGCTATCAGGAAAAAGAAAGTCAATTGCAAAAAGCTAGAGACGAGCTTGTGGAGTGGGAGAGCTGGGATCGTGTAATTCCTGAAAAGTATAAGAAAGCAAAAAGGAGGTTGGGACACAATACACTACCCTGGGATGTTTAGATGCGAAAGAGTGGTGTCGCTGAGACTGCTTATTCGGATAAGGTGATTTAGGAAGATTAATATTTGCAGCAGATTGCACCGGGCATAGTCCAACCATCTAGAGAATTTCAGGGCGGAAATGCTGCACAAGTGATCAGGTAAAGTCGTTCCAGCAGTGACTGTGCATTTCATGCTCTATTCTCTAAGTTTCCCCCCACTTGTCTCTATCAGTAAAGTGTCGTGGGACGATAGTCCGAGTCACTTCTCTCTACAATATATTCTCTGTTGCAAATTATATGTCTGAACCGTAAGTGATCCATGGGTCAAAGACAACTAAACTAGTAAGTGCTCGAGACCGCCCGACAAACTCTCGCCAAAGCTGTGATGCGACATTCCCCATTGTCACCGGATTCAGATGGAAATAATTATTCCTCTTCTCTACTCCAACAGATCTTCAAAACTATATCCCTCATGCTGATGTATAATGTATTACTGTGACATAGAGTAACTTCTCCCTCAATGTGTTCTGCATCAATGAGTGGTAATGAAACACCTTTTTCTCGAGCCTTTATAGCTTCTTCGTAGTTGAGCCACTCAATGGAGTATTTAAAGCTTGCAAAATCTGCGATGCACTCAACTTGCATCTCCAAAGAGCCTGCACAGTAAAACTCTGATGTTTCTTTGGGACCGATGGAATCTAGCTTTTTTGAGCCTTGAAGCAATGCTACATCACTCCTAGACCCGGCTTTTTGCTGCTCTGGACAGAGATACCGCGAACGAGATGAAGTAGAATCCGAGTCGCTGACTTCTGGCTTCACAAATTTATCCGTACTTTGAGTATCACAATGGCTTAAATTCAGTGGAACGGTCGCCCGCCCGTGCTTTGCCAGACCAGGTTGTGCTATTTGGTTTAATTTCGACGGCGTGATGTTTACTGTTGTCCCAGACACACCGAGTGTGAAGAGGGTACTTTCATTAGGGCATGGATAGAGGGTTTTCCGGCCAGTCGACAGAAGCGCAGTGCGGCTCTCTCTCAATATATCCTCTAGTGATTGGCAAAATCGTTGCTCCAGTTCTCTCAGCTGTGGTACCCGAGGTAGCCGCCATCCAGGATATAGCCGTCCATGGGACCGGGGTGTATACATCTTCTTGTATACCTGGATGAACAAGTTGCAAAGAAAGCAAGCATCTTTGCTCGAGCAGATCACTCGCGGAAGTGATGCTGGCGATCGCAGTTCGCAATATGTGATTATTTGAACCTCGGCATGGATCTTCGCCTCTTTTATACTCTTTTTAATTTGACGGGAGAACTGGTCAGTAGCCCTTTGTTCACCCAAGTCCAGAGCGCGGCATATTTCTTTAAAAATCTGCGGCTGTTTGCCCTTGGGACTTCCCTCTACAACTTTGGACAACAAGTCTGGTGTGTATCCGTCAAGTGAAGGCGTACTAAATGCGTCCTGCGATAGGTGAACAGGTACCGTCCTCATTTTTCGAGCCAATGGAAACGTTTTCGCAGTCCGATACAAGAATCTTGCGGCATTTCGATATTGAGAGACTTTACCGACGATATTCAGAAAACTTTCTCTTGCACTGGGACTCATATCGCGATTCGGTATAAGGTGGACTATTACCGGAAGCTGCTCGACCTGGTATATTTGATAAATGCCATGCACAAGATCTACTAACCGCGGGGTGACCTGATATCGAGACCACGAGTCGACAAGTTTTCTAGCTTCCTTGACTTTGGATGCCAATAGTTCCATGCTTATTAGGAGACTTCTATCTTCCAGTTTACGCCGATCAATCCTCGCAAAGGCCATCGCTGCTTCGTCAAGAGTATCCTTGATTGATCGTTTCAGCGGTTTCCTTCCTGTAGGGCTTAGTCGCAGGCGGGAGAGGATGCGACATGAACACATTGAGACGACCATGGAAAGAATCCGGTCTTTAATATTAAGTGACTCATCTGATTCTGGTATTGTCAGCGTCTGAAAGAGACAATGATTGGTCACTTACCACTAGAAATTCTCGCAAGAACTTTGAAAATACCCTCAAACCCTTGTTGGACACGATGAATCACATCGTCTCCATCATGGGCTTTAGCCTTGTTAACAGCCAGGATCACGTTCAAGGCAAATGAGTCCAAGTCTTCCTCAATACACACGGCGGGAATGTGTTCAGCATCATCCTTGATATGCGCAAGGAATGCCAGCGTCCCGGCTAGCTTACGCTCTCGGCCAAAAGATAAGGAGTATGGCTCGTTATCGGGTGGTGCAAGGCCAACTTTGTTGGATATTGGTGGAACGGGGATACTATGAAATAAAGACAACGTGGCTATGTTTTCAGCGCAAACTATGGCTGGATCAGAAGTTTGAGGCATCGAGCCAGGAAATTTGAATTCTCGTTGAATGTCCGAAAAAGTACTCGCGGTCTACGGTTTTGATCCGACAATTCTTGACCTACCTGATGAAGACGTAGATAAATGTACCTCTTTCCCCCTACCCCACCTGAATCGTCGTGTTACCACAAGAGTGTCTCTCTCCCTTCTTACCCCACTCAGGAATATTGATAATTTACTGATTATTGACCTGTTATTATTGGCCCGTGTAAATAGTAAGGCAATGGCTAAGGGCCTGGGGGGGTATCGCTTGATAGGTTGTGTGCAATATTTGCTAAAAACCCAAGCAAGGCTTAGAAACCAGGCACCCTAAGAATATCGACAAAAAATACGATACGGCATGAGGCCACACCATCTACGCCATATCAATATCTGATGAGAAAGGCCATCTCTTTCTTTGTTCTTTCTGTCCTTGCACCATCCATTTATTTGTGGGTCCCGCCTTTTGCGTGGTAGTCAGACTAAAGCTTCCGATTGGCCTTGGCAATTGGCGCTGCTGATCGTGTTGATAAAATCCATTGTGAACCAATGAGATTACCATGCATTAGAATCTTTTCTGGTGCTGTATAAAGCGCCGAGGAGCATTGTGAAAGATATTGGTTCTGATGGCAACAGATTCCTTCGTGGTCACGACATAACGAACTGAAAATGTCTCCATTAGAAATGAATCGCTTACGACATATTGGCTGGTATGATTAACGCTGTTCTACACACTAGTCTGTTGCAAGTCACCCTTACTTGCTGTGTTGTCTCGCTATTGGATTTCCTCGGACTAACAGAGAGATTATTGTCTCATGCACATTCCAGCCCCGCCTTCGCCTCTGTCTCTGTGCCCGCTGCTGCGCCCATTTTTCCGACTTGCATTCCCAATCGCTCCTCTTGTTGTAATATTATCACTATTGCCATTATTATTATTACGTCGCCTTCTCTGCTCCGCCGCTACAGTATTGTACCGTCAAGTCTTCCTCGAAAGCATCAAAGTTATCACGCCGTAACCAGCTGGAGATTTGCTTATGGACACGGAGCAACAGGTATAGTTCCTGTTGAACATGCCGAGGCAGGCTATTATCTGGAACTTTGAGCAAGATCTCGTGCTGTATCCCACATCGTAGTCGCTCAAAGAGACTGCGAAACACCGTGATAGCTTTGTCTCTGTGTCGGGTATCGCTCCACATAGGACCTTTGACGGTAAAAATTGGCTGACCGCTTGCTCCGTGCTGCACGGTAGGCGCTTGAAAAAGTCCCTTGATGAGTCGATTGCATTCCATCACAGTGTACAGATATTGTTCAATCTGGCTGATACCTCTCGGAAGCTCCAGCAGTACGGAATCGGGACCGCCGGCCAAGTTCAATATCCCCGTTGATGTTTGGAGAAAGCTTACAAGGCCGTGCAAAAACGGGTACGCAGATCCTTTGTATTCGCACGTTTCTGCTTCGCCCTCGGCATGTACTGTTACACGCCTACAGTTGACAAGTCTGCTCAACAGCACACACACATTGCTCAGTTTGACTTGACAGTTGTGGAAGAGAGCCATCGGCAAATAGGGATCTCGTTCTCTGTAGGCCAGGATCCCCCGTAGCTCGACCCAAAACAGCTGATGAAGGTCTTGACTCCATCCAGGCACTGTTAGCGCACGAGGCTCACAGTATGCCTTTCCTTCCTCGAGGAGCGTTGCTATGGCTTGGAGCACACGCCACTCTTCACATTCCAGCAAGAATGCCATTACCGGGAACAAGTGGTAGGAGTAAACGTGTGAGGGTTAACTGTCAGGATTTACTTTGTTAAGGAACGTCTCAGGCCCATTGAGACGGTCCTTTGTCAGGCTGAGGTCCAAGTCATATCTCGTGCGCCCTAAACATGCAGTACAACATAAAACGTCGCCATTTCCTGCCACCCCACCTACTCCTTCAGTCTCACCAAGCACCGTCACCAGTGTATATTTTCACAACTGAATATTGATCTAAACCACTGTTCATCATGGCCGTACCGGATGACAACCGTCATTTGGTATATGACTTGACCGTGCAGTGTGAAGATCTCTTTGATCAAGTGGTCAGAAATGCAGCACTTCAGCCAGTTCTCCTGGAATTCCAAACACGGTTCAGAGCGTGGACTGTCGGTCTGAAGGTATTCGCCCGGCCAAACCAATGCCTTGACTGGCGGTTAAGACAGAGGCCTGATATCCGTGATGTCATTGTCCAAACGTTGACAATTCTCCAAAGGGATCTAGTAAATCGTAAGTATTGCGTCTATAGCTCGAGAAGGGAAGATAATGAATGCTAACATAAGTATCAGTCGGACAATCAGATACCGTTGACAGGAATGCCACGCGTCCCACAGAGGCCGAACCCACCGAGAACCAGTTCAGAACCAAGTCTATAGATACTGCAGCTTTAAAGGCAGTCAATGGATCACTCGACGAGCTTTATCGGCTGGAAGCTGGGATACGAGATTCCACCTTTGGACGTCTCACTCCCCGATTCCCAACATTTGTTGGCGATCCACATTTAGAGAGCTTCATGGGGCTGGCCTTGCTATGCATTCGAACCTTGTATCCAAATGCTCATCAACATCTCCAACGCCACCTGAGCGAGTCTATGACGGAGCGATATGCTGCCATGAAAAACACTAAGCCTCGCCAGCAGGCATTCCAGACTCTGCGCGACAAGAACTCGTCCCCTATGCTGACGATTGACGATGAGCAGCAATGCAGCAAAGCGAGGCCTCCACCAATACAAGATGAGATAGAGGGACATCGTTCAATATCAAATGAAGACGGAGAACAGAGGGCTCTACAGCGTGGAGTGAAGGCTATTTCCCTATCCGACCTATCGTCCACGAATACTGGTCAACTTAAAACGATGCTTTCAGGTTCATTAAGCCACAGTCAGCCAGATCAAGCTTGGTCCATCCATCTTAGACTAACCGAATATCCTTCCCCACCCGAAAGGGATGGCACTAACATCGTTGCCTGTGACTGGTGTTCAGAGCCTCTGGATGAGAAAACCCTGGATGGAAGAAATTGGCAGTAAGATATATCCCAACCAAATGCTCCATGCGCCCAACTCTTAACCAATATTAGGAATCATGTGGACCGTGACCTGAAACCATACTTGTGCATATTCGAGGAGTGTTACGAAGGATACCCGTCTTTCGCGACTTTTAATGACTGGCAGGATCATATGATTAGCCATAGCCGGCGCTGGCATCGAGAGATATATAAAAAGCCGTCGTGGATTTGCGCTGTATGCGACTGTCACAATGATGTCTTCAGTAGCTCAGAGGCCTTCTCGAGTCATACCAAGGAACTTCATTGCCTAGAGTTCACGGCTGCTCAACTCGAGAGCCTATCGTGGCTAAGTGAGACATCACTCCCACGGCCCTGTGACGTATGTCTCCTATGCGGCTACAGAGTGGTAGAAAATAGCTCCCAAACGCAGCGAATAAAACCTTTTCTGCATCATTGTGCAAAGCGTACTCGGGAGCCGTCAACGGGAACAAGTAACAAAAGCGCTAGGATAACTTATGACAGCCATCATACCATGCCGCATTGCTCTATCGACATCTCCTCTAGCAGCTCTAGTGGAGATGAAGATTCCGAGCATTTGACAGTCCCAGCCCACACAGAGGTAGGCGACATGGTTGCCCGACATGTCGCCGCTCATTTCCAGGCACTGATGCTCCTGACAATCCGCCTGGCCTCCATACAGGTTGAAGATGAGGATATGCCTGGCGAAATAAGGAGCGACGTTTGCGATATTGACGGTAGTGAAAGATCGATCAGTGGCCGTTTGAGTGTGGAGATGTCAGGTGTGAGTACAGCGCACTCGATGGATGGAGACGCATGTACAGATAGTGGGCCTTCAAGAGAAGGTGCGACTACGCCATGACATATAGTCTAAGGTTTATATATAAGTGATGGTACCACCGAGGTCCTAAAGGTACGTACCATAGTCCAGTCCTTTGTCCCATTTGGAGCCTGGTTGCTGAACCAGTGGTCTCTCGCAGCTTCTTGTGCATTGTGCTGTAGTGTCTATCCCAAGGATCTTCGTCGTTGAATACATGTTTAGTGATAGACTTATATTAGTTGCAGTCGGTCCGAATGCAGGAGCTTCAGGTACCTAGTGGTCTATTTGTACCCTTGTTCCTAGCTCCTCCGGTAGCCTAGACATACGGCGTATTAGACTCTAGGAATATGGAGTTGTAAGCAAACCTGTAAGTAGCTAAAGGACTAAGACATATATGCCCATTTGGTCGGTTGGATGGCAAATGAATTGGGAAGGGGCAACCCTGGACAGAAGATATGAGTTTGAGAAAGAAGGCACGTCGTTCAGCCAGTCCAGATGAGTTCAATCAATACTACACAGCACAAACAGCAACAACAACAACTACTACTACTGCTACTACAGCCAATATCACTACTAATTTACTCTATCATCTTTATATTTATTCAAGATCTTACAGTTTCGAACAGTCAGACCGTACATCCCAATCGACATACCATCCAGATTCTCTGCCCCACGTATACTGTGAGGACAGGGAACTGCTCTCAAGAAACAGGAGCTTGAACAGCGAGGGATTCGAAATCGAGTTCAGACCTGCGCTCGTTATAGTAGCCATGGAGCCCGGCCGCAACACTGGTGAGGCTAGAACACCAACACTCGCTGAGCGTGCACGAAAAACTGTCACCCGCACTCGAGGCTTTGTCCACGATTCTAGACAGAATGTTGCCAGCGGTGCTCGAACTGTTGGCCACAATATTCGGATGGCAGTTGGGCGTGCGGCTGAGCGCATGGTCGACAACCTGCATGTGCTCTTCCCTGGACTTATCCGTCACCCGGTAGGAAGCTATCTAAAGAGGGCTTACGGCGAGTTTACAGTACTTGAATTAAGGGATGGGGTGCCATACCGAAACATCACAGCCCAATCAGAGTCGCGCAAAATTGTCACTTCTTTCCTGCGGTCCCTGAGGCTCTCCTATCGTTTCATACCAGATGTCCAGGGAGAACCTTGGTATCTAGATGTAGCGGATAACATAAATCGTCTCGTAGCTGAAGCAGGTGAGTCGACTATCTTTGGTGTAAACTACGTCCCTAGCTAATAGAAAGTGCTGCAGGACAAATACCCTATCCAGGCGGCGACAGGTTCCAACCCACCTTAGACCTTTGGCTGAGTAGGATCCCATTCTTAGTCAATATAGTCCAGCGGGAAGCAGGAAGAAAGATCATAGATTCCCTGGGTTTTCCAGATGCAGAGCCACTTCTAACGATGGTCCTTCCGGAGGCCAATCAAACGATCCAGGCAGACGTCACCGTGGGGGACACGCGATATCGACTCCAGTGCCAGGTTGACTATGTGCTGTGGTACGGGTTCAAGGCCGACGCCGACATGCTCTTAATCATCATCACGCCAAAGGCCATGGATGAAGTCCGATTCGCGGCGCCACTTGCAGCTATGTGTATGCTGATTACCCAGCCTATGTCCATTTACTTTTCATTCCTGGCTAACGGCAACAGCGTTGGTTTATCATCTTCGGAAAGCCGCTGGTCGGAATGCGGAAATCTACGGCCTTTATACAGATGCCCGGGACTTTTATTTCTACCATATCGATAATCGGGGACGGGTAGGCATACCCCAGTGCTTTACGCTTGGGTCACACGGCTGACTTGTCATTCCCTCAAGTACTCAACACAACCCTATGTCGGGGGAGATAGACGTCTTTTTTATGCCTGCCGGATGCTGGTGAAAATATTCGGCCAAGGATATGCATTGGCTAGAGCCATGAAATTGACTCCAGGGTTCGCCCGGATGACAGAACTCCAAGTGGAACGAACTGACGACACTGTCTACGACCCCATACACCAGATCATGGTAGATCTGCGCATGCCCCACCCCCACCCAGACGTCGCAGGGTAGCACATTGCTACTGGCCGTCTTTATAGCGCTGATTCGGCCTTATATGTTTTTTTTTAAACTGGTTTGAGAATTGTCGGGAAGGCCGAACGTTGGGATGATATGGATGAACGCTAGGATCGACTGAATTGGACGCAGCATTGTTCCTTTCGAGGTAAAGACTAGCAATAAGCACAACTGACCTCTCAAGTCCCTTTCCTACCCGTATCGTAGCCTTCTTATTGTTTGACTAGCGGTATCCCGCGCTCTCCCTGTCGTATAAATCGCAATATACCTACATCAGGTCCTAGTCAACTTCAATATGTATGTCAAGTCCGCAGTCGTATGTTGTAGCCCACGCGTATGGAGCGCAGCACTCCGGTAACGCATGGACTATGCGAGAAGAGTGCGGATATCTCGTCCGCCTTCCTACCAAGAGAACTTTCTACTGTTTTTGAGAATCATAGTTCATGGCAAGGCGGAGCTAGGTTACTGCTCAATAGGCATTTAATATGTGATGGGATATACTCACCCGCCCTTATCCCCAGGAAACGCCAAGCAGTCTTATACCTGGACCTCACTAGTGGTGGAGCCAAGTCGAGGCTAAGGTACACTTACAAACTTTGGACTTTTACCCATTGAATTGAAGTACTGGGGTCTTGGTATTCGAGCATAGCCACGATCTATATTAATAAACTTGTGAGGATTACTCATATTTGTTAGTGTATACCTTTGCAGGAGCAATAACGAGTCAAATGTCACTGGATTATCTCATGGTAAAGATTAAGGATACTGGTTTGGGCTACGAATACCCGAAACATCACCTTCTTTCCATTATATTGGGCTGAATGTACACAATTGAGACGATAGAAAGGGCCATACGAAGTACAGCAGTCAACCTTGAACATATGTACACCGCACGTACCCCCTCCTCATTGTGTTAATCCAACTCTGCGGCCCACAGACCCTTTAACCAGAGCAGTATCCAACCTTGCTCGGCTCGCAATCACCCTCACAGCCATCGTACAGAACACAGGGATGATCAGCATCAGTGCAGACATTGACCAGGGTAGCAGTATCTCCAAAGCTCTGGTTGATACCAACAACCTCACCACCATCGCGGGCAGTGGTTCCCTCAACATAGACGTTCCGCTTGCACTGGCTGGAGCAGTTTCCGCAAGACCGGTACACCTTGCCGTAGTCTTCAGCGTAGAAGTTGATAATCTATGATCGTTAGTCTTGGTTTCAATCGAGTATGGTAAGGATAAGGGCATCTTACGTTCACAGTACCGCAGCCATTGTGCTGTACAACCTTGTCATCGGCGTGGTATGCTCCACCGCCGATAATCCAGGTCTGGTCTCCTTCCTTGTCGTTTTTCTAGGGATATTGTTAGCGGCAAGCTGGAGTACAGGGTCGGCCGGGAACATACGATGCTGATGGCATCTTCGCAGACATCCTCGAACCAGACAAATTCAAGGGTACAAGCGCCATCGCAGTGAACACCCTCGGCTTGGTCGGCACCAATGATGACGTTCTTCAGGGTAGCGCCGGAGTGGAGGTAGAAAACTGCGTCTTTCCAGTCTCCCTCTGTTTGGCCGCCGCAGGCACCGGACCCACGGTCGTACTTGGCCCAGCCGGCGTCGAAGACCTCGCCTGCTGCGATCTCAATCACCGCGCTGTTGGAGTAATGGGCCGTGGGCGTGGGAACACCGCCCTCGTAGCCCAAACAGGCCAAAGCCACGGGGAGGAACGCAGGAAGAAGGGCAATGCGAGACAACATGGCTAACCACACCTGATTGCTCTCTGGAGTTTGAGTCTCTGAGAGGATTGGAAAAGCTCGTGCAAAGAATCACGAGCTTTATATAACCTATCGGCCACTCTCGAACCCTAATCCCATACTGGCAATTCGCCGGCGGCGAAAGGGTAAGCATGATAGAGAGCCACTTAGCAAACGTCCATGTCTCAACCTGAAGCTAACCGGTCCAGTATCAAGAGCGAGTGCAAATGCGTTCCTCCAATCATGGCGATACATCCATAACGCCAGCCATATCCAAGTCGCGGAAACCCGCAATCTCCGGAATGCAGACTAACCCTGCCCAGCTTCTTGGCGGCGGAGCACGACCGCTTCCAGTCCTCCACTTTCTGCACGAATTGCATTGCCGAAGCTCGGTACTCCCGGACTTGAACCAGCGCTAGACGATAGTTTGTGGCTGTGTAGAGCCCCGATGCATTGTGACTGGTACTTGCATGATCGACTCTGTAGCCGAGTGGGATTTGTTCCTGGAATATCTCCACTAATGGGGTCTATAGGATGGACGTTATTGCTGGTGTTTATATGTTCAGTAATCTTGTTTACTTTGTCGCTGGCCCGGATGAGATCCATAGTGGTGAAGATTCGTCCAGTTGTACCCTCCATACCCCCGTGCACGAATCGAGATAAACTTGACTTCAGAGTATTGAGTGACCATGCTATACCCACACCTTAACGCACCTATAGCAATTTAGAATCCTAAGATTGTACTGAGCCAATGGGTGCGATAGTTGTATCACTTAGAGTGAAGTAACTCCACCAACCATGACTGCCAAGTACGAAGGTGTAGCACGGTCTAGACCGGATGTGAAGACCGTTGAAGTCCTGATCATTTCAGTCTGGAAGATTTGGTCTCAGGCCAATTCTCAGTATCTTTTGACCCCTTAGCACCGTCTCCTTCCTTGGTATTCTGTATTCCTTGAGCAATTTTAACCCAGCGATAGTAACCCCTTACCATGCTTTGACGGAGGGTTGGGGAGTTGTAATCTGTTCGAGTGAATCATAAGACGACTGGTGGAATGGTTCTCATAAGCTCCCTTATCTATAAGACCCTTGAACTGATTGTGGATGGTTTATATGAGACATGGCGCATGACTTTTAGGATGTGGGCTTCTGGTGCGCTTCGCCGGAGATAGTGTTCTTTTTACAGGCGCTCTTCTTTTCTCGAAGTTAGATGATGTTTGTGTTGATAAATCAAACTGCCGATTACCTGGATTGTGGAATTATTTCGCCCGAACACCGTCCAATATCAGTTTATAGTCATGGAAGCCCCAGACCAAAATGCAAAAAGCGTTGATTCAAGTATCATAACGGCTACGCGTTTATATATATTGCTTCTTAAAACACCAATAAAGTACCCCTACGCTGGAACCAAGTACAGCAAATTGCACATTATATACTTGTACTTTACAGCAAAGACTGTAAAAACCATCCGAGAGCAAAGGATATCCTCTCTGTACTCCTATACCTAAGGACTTTTTTTGGAACCCTAGGATCCGTTGATGTATGGCCGAATGGAAACAAGCTTAGCTTACTATTGTCTCTGATATTACAAAATATCACGCTGTCTAACATACAATTGGCCGGATGGTGTAGTTGGTTATCACGTATCGTTAACACCGATAAGGTCCTGGGATCGAGCCCCAGTCTGGTCATTACTTTTTGCAGGTTTTTATCCTGCTTCCGGGGTGTTCGGAGTGGATCTGTGGATACCTTCTTTTTGCCAAGACCTTTTTTTTTACCGAGGTTCACCGCTGGAGTGTTGTCGAGCCTCTATTAGGATTGTGACGTGGTGGATTTACTGCAAGAGGATACTATTGTTCAAGAATCTATATGATCCTTGGACTTTCATCCTATGTTGCATTCGGTAGGTAACAGAGTAGATGCTCTGTCCAGACAATAATATATAATTTCGCCTGTGTTCTCTCATTGTCCCATTGTCAGCATATATATATATATATCTAAACAGCCTAAATCGGATCTTATGAGCACTGATAGCTTCCTTCTAGAACAAAACTTCTTTCTTTCGGTTGAGGACTGACTTCATCAGGATATCTCAATTAACTCTAGGATGCACAGGTGTTGTGGAAATGTGTACTAGAGAGATGGTTCCGTTGATATAATGGACAACAGAGACAGAGATAGTGTCGATACATCGCGGGATATGTATTATATCATCGCTGTTTTAGGTCCTTGCAATATCAAAGGCATCAGATATATCGCGAGTTCTCCAGCCCGGATATACTACATAACAGCGCTTCTATGAAGCATACGACTTAATTCTTCACAGCACAAGATTTCGCCCAAGTTTATTGTTGAAAACTATAGATTGTTCAAGTGTAGTGGTCGAATTCTGCCTTCAGTTGAAAAATGCAAAAGGAGTGAATATATGTAATTTGAATCAAATATACTAATGTATTAAGTAGAATGAGAAATCGAATATAGCGCCAGCAATAAATTCGCCGAATCAAAACGACTCCGCCTGATGACCCCGGCCTGGCAGATGTCCACGACGGATACCATTGCGGACGACCCGTTTAGCAGCCCTTGCACTCCTTAACGTAGAGGTTGGCCGCACGGTAGGTAGAGCTGTGGCGACCGTACCAGTAGACGGTCTTGACGGGGTTGTCACCGTAGCCCTCGACGGCGAAGTAAGCGTTACCGCCGTGGGCGAAGAGGCCCTTGTCGTCAACGTCGAAGCCGATAGTGGTGGCGCCCTCGGGGATGGCACCGGAGTGAGGACGGGTGAAACCGACGGGAGCCGTGTCCTTCTCGATGATGTACATGTTCTGCCAGCCGGTAGGGGTCGAGTCCTTGGCAGTGAAGGAGACGGCGCCGGTGTCGGGAGTGGCGTGGACTAAGTGAGGAGATTGGTTAAGTTATCGTTATATCGAGGGCTGCTGAGGGACTTACAGATGGCGATTTCCTTGTTGGCGTCGGTGCCGTTGCCGCCGAAGTAGAGGTATTCTGCAAGGTGTTAGTGAATCGGTTAGATATGTCGCCAACGTAACAGTAATATACCTCTATCAGTCAGGACAGTGAGGCCACCCTCAGCAACGAGGGTGAAGGCAGGTGGGAGAGAAGCAGCGCTAACAGCGCTGAGGAGACCGGCGATAGCAGTAATGGAGAACTTCATTGTGACGATAGTGGGTTTGAGAAAGAAGAAGGTAGCAAAGACTTTTCTTGTAGATTGGATGAGAGTTTGCTGGATGGGTGACCTCGATTGAAGACGTGGCTTGGCCTCGTTATATATCATGAGCATACTATTTTGGGCGAGACATGTTTTACCCTAAGAAGCAAGTTAACATCACGATTGTTCAGCATATTGCATCAGTGGCCCTGTGTTTCTGATGACTAGTGTCTGATTGGTAGCTAATCCTGGTGCTATATAAACTTGTTTCAGAGTCCCTCATTCTCGGACGATCATTACCACATTATTCTCCATCACCGCTTCTGACATCGATCTGTTGGCCGGGAAGAGCCCGACGAACGCTATATTGCCCTCAACATATTAGTCAACGGAGTTCTACGAAGAATACTCCCCCGCTCATAGTTATGAGTGGCTTGTCTTAGTTATTGAAACCCGAGAAAGAATAGCACATCGGCCAAGGAAAGCATCCCCTAAATGCGGAGTCACTGCGGGACAAGATGGGTCCACAGTGAGGTCATATAACACGGTTTAATATAACCGCCAGGTTATGCAACCCTGATGCTATTGTCTTGAAATGAGAGGTGTAGGCAGGTTGTCAGGGGGATACACAAGTATACTAGTCTTGCAAACTATACAATACCATTCTTACCCTATTTCTAGCACCTTTACGGTGGCAGAGTCCCCTCAGATGTAAAGCCTCGGAATTAATGTCAGGCTCTTTAACCGCCTGTCATTCCCAATTATCCGCTGATGGTCACTAGTGGAGCCCCGCTAGGCATCTATAGTGCCGGTGAAAACGCGGGAAACCGTTGGCTTCTAGAACCAATATTGGGCAGTATCCTACCAAGTCAGGGCTGAATAGCGTGGTTGACTAGTATGATCTTCAGGGCTATGTTGAACTTAAGCGGAACAAGGTCTCCAGATTGCTACAGCGATCAGCGTTCCTACTCCGGCTCCTTTTGGAATATCCTTGGGAGGTACCGCATCCAGCCGGTCGCAAACTAAGACAAAGCCATGGTGGAGATCCACAGCGAAACCTGCGCCAATTATGCCGCTCTTGCAAGACTCGGCATACTTGCATGGAAAAGGTCGATCGTTATTTTCTTGATGAGGAAGTCCAGCAATGAACCGCTGCCTTGTATCTTGAGACATGCTTGTTTGATTTACACAGTTGCCTCGCGGAATATTCACCAGCAGCAAGCCCTGATTATTCGGGGCTCTTTGAATTCGACTATTAGAAGAAGGCGTACGATTGGAACTTGGACTTCTGGAATCCTGCAGTGTACTTACCAAACTTTTGGGAGCTTTCCTGTGGCCACCGGGAAGTCCGTATACAGATCAGCTCCACATTCCTGATGATTCAGAGTTAGCGGTAGTCTAGAGGTTAAAGGTCCACTTGTGTACGTACACACTTCAGCTCAAGTCGTCAGTCACCAGGCTTTGACTCCGGCCGCATGCCCATGCACTTGAGAGAACACCAATGGGCCACTTTTAGCTTCTGTGAGAGCTCCTACAACAGCTGTCAAGCTTCTTCGCGGGAATCCCCACAAACTGGACTGATACTGGATGTAGTATGAGCGGCTAAATTCGACTCGTACATATATCGCAAGACTGTCAAGCTTCTAGCTGAACAGTAAGTAGTTAGTCCGTTAATTTACAATAATTAATAGACAATACTTGTGCATTCTTCTTAGATAACCCAGCATATTCACGATAAGTGTAGTGAGATTGAGTCTCTCCCAAGTCCGCAGCCATACCCAAACTGTCTGTATCAAACCGTGAATAAGAATAATACTACTAAGACAGAGCTGATATACTCATTGAACTAGCAACATAGTATCCCTAAACCTCAGCTCGAGCTCACACATTCCTAGGGACATCGTATATCATGAAGTACGATGCATATTCATCAGATCGGTCATACTTCGAATCATCCTAAATAGCTCTATAGACTTCCTGAAATCCAAGTCGCGCGTAAATCCCTTGTCCGGCATTGAAAGCAATGGTAAAACGGGAACTCCAGCCTGTTCAGCGTACTTGATCCCGCTGGCAACAAGCGCCGTAGTGATTTCCTTTCCATTGTTCCCAGGGTGAACACCGAGATAGTCAAGCTCTAACTATTGATTAGTTATCTACCTTTGTTGCTAAAGGTCATCGATGCACACATATTGATGTATGGCTTCTCTGCTAAGATGCGGTCCATGAGAAATTGGTTCCTGCCACCGAGGCTATCCATATCCTCTCTCGGACTCCACCAAGCCTACTCCGCCAGCTGCTGACTTTTAAATCCCCAAACAAATACAGTTCATGGCACACAAGAGGAGTACCAAGTAAAAAGGATGAGTCTACAAAGGACCGAATCTATGGATAATCATTAAGGACATGTCGTTTTCACTACAGATACCATGCCTGGCTACATCTGAACAAAGATACTGACTTTCGCTAATGCGTCAAGCTAGTAAGACGAATCAAAACAGCTAAATTGTCAAAGAACTAAGGCCAAGTGAGTGACTACAATCAATAGCAAGCGCTTACTATTCCTGACCAAATAAAACACACACAAGTAGACGACAGAAAATGTGTACAGCCGCCGCATACAAGGAAAGAAGAGGGACTCAGCGGGCAGCACCCAGATCACATCAGTAATCCTCAGTGTTCACCCAATACGATCCTCAACCGCCAATCAACAGTTGTAGACCAACGTAAAGCCGATATCCGCGCCATTACCAACCGAGTTCTGGAAGTTGACGCTTCCAGCCGAGTTCTGCCATTCGCTCAACTGCACCAGCCAGCTCATGGTAGTTGAGCAAGTGTTGGAGGCCAATACAGTGTGGGCAGACTGTGTGGTGGGTCCCTTGGGGAAGATGTACGTCGCCACCATTTCTCTTTTATGTGGTGGATGGTTATACGTCGGGACTGAACTGCCGTCTACTGGGTCCGCAGACCAGACGTCGGCCTGGGTGTCGCTCGGAGCGATTTGGCCTTCGCTCAGTGCGGGAAGCTCGATTTCGAGGCGACAGCCGGTGGCGCCGGCGGGAATGTTGGAGAAGGTCACCACTGAGATCTTGTTATCCTTCAGGGGAGAGCCGCTGCGCTCGAGGGTAAATTGCTGGCCCGGATAGGCAGTGTTGGGGTTTGCGGCGTCGAGAATGTTGATAACGGAGGGGGCTCGAGTGGTGCAGGTCCGAGGCAAAAGCTCGGTTGGGGTTGGGACAGCGATTGCTGTGGAGAATAGAAGGGCAATGAAGGCAATGGAGTTGACCATTTTGAAGAATGTAGCTGGGGAAGGAAGCTTTTGGACTTCAGCTTTGAGGTACTCTTGTCAACTTGCGTTGGACTGATTTGACTAGATCTGAAGAAGGATGGCTGTTGCTTATTTATGTCCATTCCTTTCCATACAGACCCGTCTACAACAAGCAAGACCTCACAGCTCCAACCTATCTGGAAATTCCCTCATGTGGCTTCCCATATTACACGTATGTCTATCCAATCAATATGCTCTTTTACCCATGGTGGCTGAGACATGGATGTCCAGTAATACCAAACCGACATAAAACCAGTAACATTTGGCTAAAATGAGAGTCCGGCGTATACGAGTCACTCAAATTTACGAGCCAGACTAACCTAAGAAAGGACACTAAGCTCATACACGTCGACTAGAGAGTAGCTCGCATGAAGCTGCATGGAACGCTCGATCTAGCCATTGCTATGTCGCAGTTCAGGATGTGAATATCCAAGACATACCATCCATTGCAAGTTGTAGACGTATCACGTTACACACATGCACATCCAATACTTTGGCACTCTCTTCTTGAAGGGAACACGAGATACACCTTCTTGGCATTCCTGCGGCTCAGCAATCTATCGCCTCCCTTGCGTCGTGACGTCGTAGATCCGTCGAATAGGGCCTGGAGGCATGTCAATCAGCCACAAGTGGTGGTACAGGCTAAAATAAGCCAATGTATAATTAGGTTACATTCGTATAACGTGACCACTTTAGCTGTCATATCGCTGATCCCATAGAGACTACAGCGGGAACGACCCTTGCATTCATTAATTTGAGTCTTGTTGGTCAGCTACGCTAATTTTGACCGTGCGATCCGAAAGCTTATACAACACTTTGGAATATTCTTGGCTAGCGTAAGTGAAGCCTCTGTTCGTACAGGTTTATGGGGTATCAGGGATTATATTATCAGTTGCCGTAGAGAACTCTTCTGCCCGGCCCTACGCCGCTTTTATGGTCAACATAAGACAGGGTAATACTGAATTCCGACCAGTTGTCTCATCGTGCCATATTAAAGATGACATGGTGCTTTTCACAGTTATCACCATAGGGTTCGCTCATAACCGGGACAAGGAAGCCTAATCTCACTGGTGAGCAGAGTACACGATGCCATGTCGCCCATGGGGGCTGAAAATGAAACATCCGCAATCAACGTCCATGAACGTGTCGTATTGATTTTACTTTCACCCAGGGCAAAAGCCTGTAAAACTACAAGGCATATTATATTTTCTGGCTGTGGCTGAAAGACATGTCGCTCAATAATTGGGTACACCCGAGTAAGTCGCCCTATCCTAGTTCCAACAATCTCAATGGGCCTTAAGCCACAACATAGCGGTCTAGAATGAGGATGCACTGGGTTGAATGCGACAGGGTGCGTTCGAAACCTTGTCTATCAGTTGTTAGGTGTTCTGCTCAATTTATAACCAACCGCTCTGTGTACATAAATGCGCACCTCCAATGCTGGTAGGTTTCCTGATAGGACCCACTCTTGGCAGGGAGAGTTCTACACGAACGAAACATAAACAGCATACTATCTTTGAACAGGATGGGATAATGTATGTAGGCTTGAATTTCGGTGACACTCAAGATAGGCTGTGCAGACGTTGGATCGTAGATAGCGCCCAGGTCAAGGTTCTTTCATCCGTTCTAAATGTTGGTGACATATATGACTCGATACCACCTGTAAACTAAAACTCCTATAGCATACGTTCCCGGCCATCTCCATGAACCATATATGTTGTCCTGGTAAAATTGTGCCATCAAGTCTCAATTCCCGTATATTAGAAATATTAGAAGCATACAGTGCCATAAATACGCTCCAGGCTTATGCTCACATGTACATACCGACAAATGGCAGGTGCTACAAAACTTATGAACGGATCTAGATATTGCTGGTACAGCAAACAATAGACTTGAGCCACCAACATAGGCGCACGTTTGTTAAATCTATGACCTCAGCCGAGCCAACGCCCTTCAGCGTAACTGCATTCGTACGAATCTGACGAAACTGAAACACAACAGCGCTCATTTCTCAGGCTAGTTCAAAAGTAAGTCCTCCCACAAGGCCAATTGGCTTGTCATATTACAGGCGCAACCCGGGGAAGACCCCCGAATATCTCACAGGCGCCTCATGCGTAACATTAAGTACATATGGGCGTCCCAGAGAAGATGCGGCAGCTTGCATATCCCTACACCTTTATCCTACCATGTAATGGATAATTGGTCAACCTGTTAGCCCATCCATGGACTGAGAGTCCCGCCAAGGGAGGAAAAAGATCCAGACCCAATGTCGATTTTATGCCACCGGAGGATGCGACTACAACAGTGGATGGAACATGGTATATCGGAGAGCATCTCGGCACTTCGAATTATGACCACGGGTGTGCTACTATCCATGGACTCTACCAGTGGCAAAATAATATGTCATGGTGACTTTGGTGGCCTGTGGAGCATACCTGATCGCTCTTGACATATTCTGTTAGTGTATTGTTCTCCTTACGAGTTGGATTATTGGACTTACTCCCAGGTAACTTGGATAGGATACATCCCCAAGTGCAGCACTGGACTTCACTTAGGGTTTGACACTGATCAGGTGAGCACGATGATCGACCAAAGGTTGAAGCCCAAGTCAGCTGACGCTAATGTAGGGATAACCCCAGATTACACTTTACCATCTCCATATAATCCTCCAGGATTCGAAGGTCGATCATGCTTTTATGTCTCACTTGTGTGCAACATTTGCTGTGGTGGCATTGGGCCTTCTAAGTTTATCAATATGGCGACGACATACATATCGTTATAAGTTTTACTGACTCATAGCTGAATGCGAAGAGTGATACCATTCATGTTACATAGCAACTACCTAACAAATATTCCAGCAGTACACTGTGTGCACCCTCAAGTAGAGTCTTGACATCATCAAAGCCCATCTAGTGGCCGGAAAACCTTCATCCAGCGCTGAACTAAGATTAGCGAGGCTGCGTAAGCACGATCAAGGAAGAGCTCACCTTATCATATGGCTTCGTAGAGTCCACGAATCTCAAATCAGTCGCCAATCGAATCCGTCTCTGAGGGTCCTTATTCTTGCAACTAGCATGGACCATCCACGGATTATGAAAGATGACATCCCCAACCTCATATTCCCCAATCAGCCACTTCCGGTTAGCCTTCTGCCCGTACTCAACGGTATCTCGACTCAAGAATCCACCATCATTCATATTCTTATTGAAAGCAGACACACGTTCCTCATCGGTTAGATTGCCTGCGTTTCGACTAAACTCTTCCTCTGTCTTCTGCCCAATATCGGTTGACCCTTCCAGATACATCAATCCACCACCTTCAAGAGAGATATCTCCAATAGGCACCCACGCCGTGAGACTAGTAGGTGGCCCGGCACGGAGATACATCTGATCGAAGTGGACGGGTGTTAGTTCGCTATCGGGAACGAATGCTCTCAACAGCGTGCGTTGCAACATGGTAATGTGCTCCCATCCTGCGAACCGCCGGATGAATGCTCGGAGCTCTTCTATCTCACAGAGGTCGAGGTAGAATTGAGCCTCGTGTGCGCTGATCATAAGCTCCAGGTATTTCTCTGATTCTTTGTCATCCTTGAGTCCGAAAAGCCGGCGGAGGTTTCCAGGTGGCAGGTACTTGCGACTGTCCTTTTCGCTGAAGATTCCTTCAACCGCATCTGTGTTAGGCTTGAGGAGGCCAGATGGGGACATGTACTCAAAGTATCCGCGGCGGCATTTGAGGACGGGCTCTTTTGGGAGGAGGCCTTTTACCTAAGTTGAGCCATTAGTTTGTTAGAATAGTGAAGATGGACGATGGCTATGTTAGATTTACCAGAAGATATCCATCGCGGTTAAACCGCTCCCGCATGACTCCCAGTGGGGTATCCTTGGAAGTCGGCTGCAAGTAACCAATATTCTCCGGGTCCATAGGCCCAAAATTAGATTCTAGACTCAGTTTGCTTGGGTTGGTGGGATAATATTTGCCATAGATGTCGTCACTGGGGAGACATTGGTCTCTGCCGGATACAGAGGTCGGGACCTCAGATTCAACCATCGTAGCCATTGTAGGTGTCTGTGAAGTTATCTATGATAGCGACGACAACTAATAGCTGTCTGACTTTACGAAACAACTGAGCTACGTGTAGGGAATATGTTGTTCTTATAACTACAGCATGTCCACGACGACTCCATATTCAGCCAATCAGATGTTATGGCCGTCTATAGCCGAACTACAGCCGTGCGCCAGTTTCTATAGCCGATGGACAGAATCACTAATATTCCCCGCATTCATCATTTCGATATCTCACTATGCTCTATTGAGATCAAATCGCCAAATTAATTATGACGAAAAGTAAAGGAGAACGTCTCTACCGGGCTTGCATTCGCTGCAGACAACGGAAAACAAAATGTGATCTGTATGTGTCCCGTGCTGCGTGCGACGGATGATCGGCTAACGGAGCTAGACAATACACCAACGAATACAATTATCATCCTTGTTCGAAGTGCTTTTCAGAAGGACACAGATGTATCGTTGCCACTTCACGACGAGGTGGTGATTACTCCCGGTTTCGTGTCCGTAAATCCCAGAAACACCGAGATGAGGAGCCTCGAGAATGCAATCACCTGCAGCACAGCAATGGATCTAAGGGCATCGATTCAACGAATACAGAGGCCGCAGTAGCAGACCACAGTCTTGGGGGTATTCAAAACCCGTTGGAGGCTCTTCAGATCCTTGCACAGACGGCTTCGACCGAGTTGAACGCCGAAAGGAGAAACACAGCAATGTCTCAAGCCCATACTGATCAGATGCGCGCGAGAGAAGAGAGTGGTGCCCTCGCTCGCCCTATCACCCAATATCCGAGGAGCTCTTCGAGTCTTCTGACTAGTGAGCTCATTCAGAATGACATCGTGGATATTCAGTTGCTGGAGCCTTTGCTTCAATAGTATGCAATCCTTCCCGATGGGCCTGCTCCGGACTAATCTTAACCAGCTTTGTCCAAAATTTTCATCCCTATCTCCCAATTGTGCCCAGTCATCTTTCTTCTTTGGATAATATCACGCAATCGTGGGCGAAGGAGACATTTCTTTTAACAGCGGTGTTGACCGTCGCAACCAAGGACCGGGTGGGCCTGGAAAGCTTACATACAAGAATATCGCAGTATATGGAAAAGCTGTTGTTGCGAGTCGTGTTGGGTGCTGCCAGTGTTCGGCATGTTGGTTCAGTGGAAGGATTGCTGCTCCTGGCTGAGTGGGTTCCACATATCAGCGCCGAGGAATGCGAAAGGGATGCTGCAGCCAACGACGGTCCGTCGCACCAAGTTCAAGTGACGCCAGAAGATAGTGTTTCATGGAATCTCATCGGTCTGGCGGTCCGACAAGCCTATTTGTTACATCTGGAAAGGTACTCGTTTCGAGGCGAATCCAAGGATGAGGATAAGTTGGAGTATCATCGGAATAGACTGGCATGGATTTGTACGAACAATCTTCGCATTCCAGTATTCGAAGCTAACTTGCCTAGTTACGTACCTTGCCGACCGGCAGATTTCTATACAGATGGGACAGGCATTCTGGTGTCGCGGGCCTGGCTTATCCACTCGGTTCACGATCGACGACTACCCCTATTTACGACCCCAAAAGGGGAATGGGGTAGATTATGCGAGCTTTGTCCAGGCTCAAGTTGAGTTGACCACTATCTTTGGGAATATCCATGATATTCTGTACGCGTCCAAAACCCGCACGGTGCAGCTTATGCTCATGGGCGACTACACCAAGTATCTTGACGATAGCTCCAAGGCACTGGCCATGTGGAAGGAAGCCTGGGCCAATGTCAATCTACCTCATTATCTAAGTGGTCTCTTGTGTCTTCAATTCGAGTACCTACGTCTTTACATCAATGCGTTCGCTTTCCAGGCGGTTCTTTATCGAACACCCAAAGGTCCTGCTGGATGTGATAGTGGGAAGAGTTCGTACTTTCCATACAGCGTCATGGCTAGCGCCGATGGTAGACACATATATATTGCTATTGATGCAGCCAAAAGCGTGCTCAAGTATCTCATGGAGCGGTTGAACCCAACACAGCACTTCCGGTATATTCCTGTCCGGTTCTACCTGTACGTCTGATGCACCTACCACTCCTACACACGAATGACGCTCACCGTCTATAGATACGAAATACATGCATCGGTGTTCCTTTTCAAAGCGCTGACTGTTGGAGCTTTAAACTCTGAGGAACACCAGACCTGTACCACGCTAGTTCGCCAGTTCATCTCCATGCTTAAAAGTGCAGCTACAAGCCCATCACACATTGCCTCCAGATACGGCAAGCTGCTCACAAGCCTGTGGTTCCAAGGACAAACCACCCCCGACACAACAGATGCCTTTGTTGAATCGAGGCACTCGGCACAAAACCTACTCCCGAGGCCCATAGACCTTGACGATTTCACAAATCCATCCATGATAGGTAGTACTAAGCCTTTCCAGGATGACTTCCCTACCCATCAGGTATTACCGCTCCTGGAGCCAACTGAAGCTTTGGAGTGCCCGGACGTTTTCTTGTCTAACCTGCCGTTTCTTCGCGGCGGCTTTCCTGATTTAGATGCCCATGGTGTGGGGCAGCTTCTGACGGATTTGTAATTGATAACGCTAGGTGGGCAATTGGATGAGCACAGAGTAGTTAGCAATAGTGGCAATTCTGAAATGAATATCTATAGCCGGCGCTAATTCCCCGCAAAATGAAGCCCGTGACTGTGTCTACCCCGGATTCCAATTCAGGAATAGTGCTACCCCGCAATGTCATGATTGTTAATCCATGGCATTTGCGTCCTCTAATCATAACTGGGGCTGTGGGAAGTATGCTCTTCCCGAAGCTTTTCTAACCTTCATCCAGCGAGCTAGTCAGAGAACGAGGGGAATCTTCACGATGGCCGTCTACAGCCGTATTCTTGGCGTAGATAGACACATCGTGCCTCTGTTGATATTTAAAGGGGCCTTCAATACTAAACCATGTAGCATTGATGCTCGGTAGAGTAGAAGCGCACCATCCAAATGACACTCCTTCAGAGAATTATCCGAAATGATACCGTCAAGTCGGACCCCCCAGAGATATATAATTTCCGGGTAGTCCTTATCAGCCTGTCGGTCTGCTCGATCCCTTTCGTGTAGTCTATGTCTCATAGACACTGATGGCATCTAGGCATGCGGAGCTTCCATGCTTTTCGGCTTTGATATGGGCGTTATCGGCGGTGTCCTAACCATGAACTCGTTCAAAGAGTAAGTCTCTCTTCTTGAGGTAGCCTGTACAATGCTAACTGAACGAAGGCAATACGGGCTCATAGGAAGGGAAGACACTGTTCTCGCGAACCTAGAGTCGAACATCGTCTCGGTCATCCAAGCGGGGTCCTTTCTGGGAGCACTAGTCTCTACCTACGTTGCCAATGCCATCGGACGACGATTGTCACTGATACTCTCCGCATTGATACTGTTCGTTGGTGTTGCCATGCAAGCTGGTGCTAGTGGCATCATTGGAGTTTTGTATGCAGGACGGCAAGTGAACTTATCTACTTCAAGTGTCTTCATCAGCTAAGGTGTCATCTAGATTCATCGGGGGACTCTCCATTGGGATAGCATCTTCCGTGTGTCCAATATATATCGCTGAGAACGCACCCCGCGGTATCCGTGGATTACTGACGGGGTTCTATCAACTGACCCTAGTATTCGGTCTCACGGTGGGTCTGGACCTACCTATTTAATCGTGCTCCGTGTTTCCAAACCATTCGATATATCTAACAAGGGTACTGCAGTTAGCGTTCTGGATCAACTACGGCTGCGAACGTCATTTAACAGGAAAGGAGCAGTTCATCATTCCTCTTTCACTCCAAGCATTCCCCGCCATGATCCTTTTAGTCGGTATGTTCTTTGCAAACGAGTCACCACGGTACCTCGCAATGAAGTGGCCGGAGAGAGCATCACGCGTTCTTGCTACACTCCGGGGTTTACCCGAAGACCATCCGTATGTGATGGAGGAGTTGAACAACCTGCGGCTTCAACTAGAAGAGGAGTCCCAACATTCCGTATCATCGATGTGGTCTCTTCTGAGAGAATCCTTCTCACGAAAGTCCTACCGCCGGCGATCAATTCTCTGTATTACCCTCATGATGTGGAGCAATATGACGGGGACCAACGCCATGACATATTATTCTCCCACAATATTTGCCAGTGTCGGCCTCTCATCGTCGTCTGTGGGTCTGTTTGCGACGGGGATATACGGTATCGTCAAGTTTATCGCCTGTGGCATTTTTATTGTTTTCGTATCGGACACTCTTGGTCGCAGAAGATCGTTATTATGGACAGGAATTGTTCAGGTAAGTCCATACCTGCAATGAAGACGATGACTATTAATAACCAGGCATAGGGCATCATGCTATTTTACGTCGGGTTTTACGTCCGATTCGATACCATATCGGAAAACGCCCCAATAACACCGCAAGGATACATCGCCCTAATCGCCATATACCTCTTTGCCGCTGTATACCAATTTGGATGGGGACCAGTGGTATGGTCCTATTGCGCAGTAAGTCTTCCGCATCGCCTTCTAGTGCGCTTCTGCTAACGGCAGGACTAGGAGATTCCCCCAGCACGCCTTAGAGCCCTTAACATGGGCATGGCCACAGCGTCGCAGTGGTTCTTTAACTTCGTGGTTGCCAAATCCACGCCGACCATGTTCGCAACGTTGGGGAAAAACGGGTATGGGGCCTATTTTGTTTATGGAAGTTTCTGTTTCGTGATGGTCATATATACTTGGTTCTTTGTGCCGGAAACAAAGGGTAAGCTTGTGGTTATCTTGGCTGCTTTTGATACCCTGACTGGGCTAATCATGACCGATTGTATAATTAGGACTGTCGTTGGAATTTATGGACGAGCTTTTCGAACGGGATACGGTGCGTGGCCAGTTTATACCGACGCGCGATGTGCATTATTTGGCGGGTAAGAGTCAAGATGAGTGAATGCACTTTTTGATTGTAGGCAAGGGTAGTAGTAGTGTGTCGTATAGCTAGTCATGGCCACATATCAATATTATGCCAGCTACCTGTGAGTAACGTTTGAAATGTATAGGCTTGAAGATGATGTTGACCACGGCTTTCCAATTAGGCCTAGCGCTCACATACCACACATCTCTTGGTGAGATAGTCACGTAGCACACGACTCCTAGTACCATCAACGATTTTGACCTGCATGACCATTTAATATCCAACATACATTCGCACCTGTCTGCTAACATCGAATTCACTGCTATTCAGGACTACAGAACACGTGACTCAGGACGACATCCTTTCTCCTGAGCGTTCATACTTTAGAGCTCTGAAATGCTCAACTGACCCATACTCATCTTCTATCAATATGGATCGATTACCTACAGAGATTGTTCTACACATTCTAAAGATTCTGTGGCACGCAAATGAAAATATCGCTCCACTGCTTAGACTCAACTCGCGATGGTTCCACTTTGGCATTTCCCTGTTGTGGCAAGACACGGGCATAGATGCGCTTTGCAAATTGTACGATGATCGCCGACAGATCTACGCTTCTATGGTTAAAAAACTGCACTTGGTAGACCCAAAGAAATATCCGATGGACCAGATGAGGGAATATCTAGAGGGTTACCGCCACCTCACCTTCCCGAGATTGGTCCATCTGACAATCGCACTTGGCCAAGTTGGATATAAACAACTTCGATATCCATATTGGCCGGTCGTACAGTGTCTTCAATGACACCTGCACTCAGGTCTCAAAGTCATTCACCTGTTGGGATACTTTGACCCAGATGTATTTCCTTCTTTGAAAACCTATTGTCCCCAACTACAAAGACTATACATCGATGCAGACTGTCAGGCTAGACCAGAGGCCCTCCTGAAGTTTTTGCGAAATAATGCTACCATATCTACCATGCACCTTAACCTGGGCTATGAAGGCAGCTGGATGACTGTTGATATTTTCAATCTTTTGGCGGAGCAGCGTACCCTGCGCCAGTTTAGTGGGAACGCCTTGGTCAATAAACACATACTGGAATCCCTGGACAACCCATCACCTTTTATGACTTTACATTATCTCATTATATCAGTGACATATGATGCCATCCCGTTGCCATTACACATGGTATCGCCAGTACGGACCCTCGGTTTGAAGGTCAGGTTGAGTGAAAGTAGCGACTCTGATGTTCCCAGCAGCACCATATTTCGGGACATTTACAAGCTGACGGAGCTACGTCACCTTGAGCTCTTGGACTATGGCCCTATTGCCGTGACATCGAATGAAGATATTCGGTCCCCTCGGCCACTTAACGCAACTGAGACAATTGACCGTTTTAGACTTCCGGGTACCAGACTTTACGGATAGTGACTTCGAACAGGTGATTGCAAAGCTTCACAATCTACGAGTGATCGTTTTCTTGCTCAAGGAATCCAGGCTCACCACATCCTCCCTGGTTATACTAGCCAAGCACTGTCCATCACTCCTCTGGATCCAGCTTACGGGAGACTTTGACATGGTCATGCTCAAACATATGAAGGTCCCGTCACTTTCACGTCTTGAAGACTTGTACATTGGGAGATTTATCAATACTGAATCAGGGGTCAGGTTAGTCGGCTACCTTATTCAAGACCCTCTCCATGTTGATTTACTCTCTCTAACCTATCATACCCCAGTGAGCCCATTGAGCATGTCCTACAAATCGAGCGCCTGTTCCCAAACCTTTCTTCGTTAACATGGAGGGGATTTCATGCCCCTCCTGAGAGCTTCTCACACCAGATCGTCGATCTCTGGAGCCAGAGAAACTGTAGGATATAGCATGGCAGCCACAAATCGCGTCAAGAAGGCCGTTGATGTACTTCGAAGAGCTCCCAGATAGAAAGAAATACTGCATCTGCATACTTTGGTGGAGAAAGATTACCTTCTCGTCTCCTCTACAAGGTATTCTCAAAGTACTATGAACTCTAGCTGATACTTCCCTTCCCGTATTCACACAATCCCCAGGCCATGACAAGCGGCACAATTGCGCCAGAATTATCCCATACTATGATGCGCGAGCTTCGTACCACTTTTCCACTCCACGCCTGGTCCACTGCCATATAACAAACTTATCTCCTCATAGATTAGACATGTAGATCGGAGGTCACAGATACTACTGCGTGGCTACTTTACCAAAGGTCTGGATAAGAGGGCTCCACCCGAGCTGGAGTTATATACACTGGTAGCAGGACTTCCATATACAGTCCTCTAAAAGAAGGCGAGCTGACCTCCGCTGACCAGCGTATACCTACCTTCATAGCACCGGCTGATTCATTATTTTGTATTTGAGATGTTATTCATCTGGAGAGTACGATATGATTTCGCGCTTTTTGGATGCCGCTGGGGCCCATGTATTAAGTAGTATGTCGAGCGGCAGTTTGCCTATATATGCTAAAATTCAGAATTATTCTATAGTCTATCGTAGTCTATTCTAGCCAATAATAAAGTAAGCAGGGCCTGTCCATCACTCTATCGTATAAAATATTCACGCTGTGCTAGACAAGGATGCAAGGACCTGTAAATCGCCAGGGAAGATATTCACATGTCGAAAGAAAAGAAAAGAAAGGGAAAGAGCGAAAGGAAAGGGTAAAGTCGGTCTATATACAGTCTATGAAAATTGAATAAGAACAAGGGAAGGGTAAGTGAAGCAGCATTAAACTGCGTTTGGAATGTAGCCTCTGCGCATGACACAGAAAGCGCCTTACACCGTGTAGATAGACAGGTATTCTCGCGCACGGGGAGTTGTGCAGTATATAAGGTGGAGGAGCGAAGTAGCATATCATCTATTCAGCCTTCTTCGAAGCCTTGGTCCTCAGCTTCATCAAGGCAAAGACCAAAGCGTATCCGCTGATCGCGAAGATAACGGAAATACCGGCGTCTCTCCAGCCGTAGTAGTAGTGGTTGATGTTGAGGGTAGTCAGGAAGTCACTACCAGTGCGGTACTCGCAGACCCTGCAGCCCGATGTAGCGTCAGGGTTGGTCAGGTTGATCCTTGAGCCGCTGCCCGCCATGTAGTCGGCGAGATAATCACCGCAGGTGCCGTTGACCGGGTCGAAAATCGCAAATTCATCCTCGTTGCAGGTCACCTTGGCGCCCCAGATGCCGAACACTAGCATTCCAGAGGTAACGTAGTTGAACGGGTTCAGATAGTACATCCAGTATCTCCAGAACACGGTCAATTGGGAGTAAGGTACGAAAATACCGCACATCAAGGTTAGTGTGCTGATGATCAGAGGGTTGACAAGCGCGGCAAAGGTCGGATTTGGGGCGTAGGCTGCAACGAACTGGCCAATACCGGTATAGATAAACTCGTAGATGAGCATGATAAAGAACGTGGCACCGGACCGGTTAGAGGCCCAAGGCAGTCTCACACAGTAATACCAGCAGGCAAAATAGAGAACGGCACAGACGCAAAGATAGGGAAACTCGGAGACAATCAATCCGGTAACAAAGGCAACCCAAGAATACATCTTGGACTTCTTTTCACGAGCGTCGTAGATATCACGGCGCTGGATAAATAATGGCTGAAGTTGGTTAATGACACCAGGTGCAACGAATACAAAGTTGAAGATCGTGAACATCTTCAAGTTCAGAGCTGATACACTGGGGCCGGTGTGCCAGAAGGAAAATCCGTTGAGCAGCGCAGAAATAATATGCAATGAGAACTTGTTATTGACGTAGTTGGTATTCCGGAATAATGCGACATTCATGCGATGGGTGACAATCTTGACTTGGTCCCACAAGGGCATCGAGAACTCATAGCCATCATCGTGAGTTCCAGGGGGCTTCGCAGCGGCGTCAGAAATCAAATGATCGAGCTCGACCATCATGTGTTCATGTTCAGGAGATTCAAGCCAGATCTGGTGCCAGTCCTTATCTTTCACCTCTTCAATGCCCCCAGTCACCACATCAATCATGAACTCAGCAGGGTTCGCCTCAATCGGACATGAAGCACCATACTTGCCAAAGTATTGTTTGATGGCGGCGCCGTTGTCACCAATATCTCCGAAATACACTGTCTTTCCGCCCCTAGCAAGCAGAAGTAGAGTATCGAACTGCGCGAAGAGCTGGGCGGAGGGCTGATGAATTGTTACTAGCACGGCTTGACCGACGTCTGCAAGCTTTCGAAGGAATCTGACTGTGTTATAGGCTGATTGTCCATCCAAACCAGACGTGGGTTCGTCCAAGAAGATTAGGATACTGGGCTTCGATACCAGCTCCACTCCAATAGTGACACGCTTTCTCTGTTCAACACTAAGTCCATTGCCGACTGTGCCAATAAGGGTGTCTGCCAGGTCGTGAAGCTCAAGTAGATCAATAATAGTATCGACGTACTTGAGCTTTTCTTCTCTGGGGATATCTCTAGATTGCCTTAGCAGTGCGGAAAATTCCAATGCCTCTCGGACAGTTGCAAAGGGCTCATGAACATCCAACTGCTCGCAGTAGCCTGCCATTCGTTGGAATGATACGGGCAGCTCACGGCCATCAACCATAATTGAACCCTTGATTGTACCTTCGGTTTTGCGCTGAGCAAGAACGTCGAGTAATGTAGTTTTTCCTGCACCGGAAGATCCCATCAATGCACCTAACATACCAGGTTTAACCCATCCATGGATATTGTCCAATAGAACCCTCTCGCCAGTGGGGGTATCAACCGTGTATGTGAGGTTCTTCCAGGTGAATATAGATGTATTGTGGGTCAGATTCCCTTCATCAGCGGAGGTCAACGCATCACCAGAGCCTTTCTCGCGTGCGGGATCTTTCTCCTTCTGCGCCTCTGCATCCAGATGGGCACGATGGGCCTTGAGCTTCTCCCGAGGGATAAGGAGAGAGGCCCCGGCCCCGGCTCCACCCTTCCAGAAAGAGGTACAAATGATCGTGACGACAGCGAAGAATCCCCACCAGCCCCAGAGAACACCATAGTTTCTCCACAGTTGCGAATGTTTATAATGAAGGGAAAGGAGATATTGGTCGCCCGTAACGTAGTCGGCCCCAGGAAGAGCACCTCCGACACCTGTACAGGCCTTGTTCGCGGAGCTGACATTTTCATAGCCAGGTCCATTGGGCACAAGGTTATTTCCAACACAGGGAATAGTTTGCCCGTGGAATTCGTTTGATAAAGCCGCTTGGAACGCATAGGCAAACGGGTTCGTATAGTACAACTCAAGGAACCAGTTCTTGATGTGTCCTTTGGGAATCATATAACCGGCATACATGACAATGCCCTTGACAGCAGTTCCCGAGATCTTCGACGCAGCTTCAAATGTACTAAAAGCAGCGCCAATACATCTGAACAGGGCTGTGATACACAAGGTGGTGGTGAATAGAATAGCCCAGAAGGTGAAAAAAGCCGCCGCAGTATGTTTCAGGCCCGTCATCCAGTAAATCACAATGGCAAACAGAGTGCATTGGACCAGAAGAACAGGCAGATCGGCGGTAATCTGGGCGAGACAGAAGGCGGATGGGTGGTACATTGCAAAGGACTTGTGCTTAACTAGCACCGGACGACCTTTGAAAGATTCAGTGACCTCAGACATGGCAACGATACAGTTGTACAAGAGCGCAAAGAAGACAGCACCGCCCTTTGTGAATAATCCCGCGGTCGTATCAGGGGAGTTGTAGAAGCAGGATCCAGCGATGAGAGCCATCACCACCGACAGCACCTGTTTGATCAGGAAAGTAGACTTCTCACCCCACAAAATCTGATATTGGCGAATGGTACAAGCGATGAGCTGATCCCAGAAGCCAACGGTGAGTGTGCTACTATTCGGAAGGTGCTTTGCCTTTTCCCAGGCCACAGACTCCTTGAACTCTTCCGTCCGCTGACGGGCAGCATCAGATTGAGGATAATCATATTCCCTAACCATATTCTGGTATAACGTGGATCGCTGGTATTCTGCCAAAATTCCCTCGGCATTCTTTGGGAAACGGCTCTCATATCCAGGTCGGATTTTTCGCTCGGTCGGGACAGTCACGCCCGTCAAATAGTCACCTGGAATTTCGATCAGTACATGTCCAACGCATACAGGGTCTCTGACAGGTGAGCAGCATACCAATATTGGCACCATCGGAGTACACAAAGCCTAGATTCTCCATGAACGGCTTGGCAGCGGCAGCTGGGCCATAGTAAATCTGTTTTCCTTCGTCCAGCACCAAGACTTTATCAAAAAGGTTGTAGATACCGTTTCCAGCTTGGTAGAGGGTCACAATGGTCGAAAGTCCCATTACATTAGTCATTGCTCTGAGGGCTTTAGCCCACTCCAAGGCTGTGCTCGCATCAAGACCTCTGGTGCTGTTGTCCCAGGTGAAAATAGAGCCATTGGTGGCCATGCATTCGATAATGGAGACACGTTTTCTCTCACCACCCGAAACACCTCGAACAAATTCATTGCCAACCTTGGTATCTGCAGTGTGTGCAATCTTCATGGACTCTAATAGAAACTGTTTCGTCTCGGCAACATAATCGTTGACAGATTTGGCTTCAGCCGGAAGATGTGCCGGGACCTTGAGCTTAGTTGCAAAATCCATTGTTTGTCCAACTGTTAGACGGGGATAAAACAGCTCTTCCTCGGTATTCATAACAATCTGACCCCGATAGTGGGCTGCTTCCTCCGAACTCATATTTCCAAAAGATACATCACCGTGCACGGTGTGGTATCCCTCGCGCCGGTTGGCGAGCATCTTAAGAAGAGTAGTGCAGCCCGAGCCCGGACGACCCAAAACGAGCAGCATTTCACCTGGTTTGACACAGCCATGGCTGTCCTGCAGAATTGGTTTGAGTGGTGGCTTCCGGCGCCAGTCCTGAATGAGCTGAATGACATTATACTGAGTCAACTGGTTCTCCTTGACAGCAGCCTCGGCGGCCAGTACTTCGACGGTGAGGTTCTGCCATGTTACACCTAGCTCACGCTTTTTGTAGCCTGCCGCTTCTGAACGCTCCTTGTTCCGAATGACTTGGTCTGTCATACTCCACTCTGCATCTCTACCCGGGGGAGGGGTAATATGTGGGCTACCGTGGACGGCAAGGGTTTCGGCACTGGTGGCTTCACGCACGTTGTTCTCTGGGACACCGAGGGTTGGCTTTTCGCTGTATGCTTCGAATTCTTCGCCAGATTGGTCTCCGTACTCAGTTGGCGCTGTTGAGGCCGGAGGGGCCTCATCGTGAAGATGGAATTCCATCTTGCACGTGCGGTTGTTGAATATAGCAGCGGTAGTCTGAGAGAGTCTGGTTCATGCACGCAGATGAGGGTGACCGGATATCGACATTCAGTTGATATTAGTATAGTCTATGGTTTTGTCCCATCTCGAAACGGAGTAGTGAAAAGCGGGAAAGGCTACGTATATGTATCATTCCTGAAAGTATGGGATAGATCCTTCAAAGTGGGAATGCCTGGGGGCGTGTGTCCTTGTCAACAGTCCCACCAAGCATATTCCTGCGATAATCGTGTTCCCACATAATCCCAGTTAGGGAAAAGGGATGTTGAAGCCGACTATCCGGGCAGAGAGACAAGTGAAAGATAATCAAGACATAGTTGTTTGTGATAATTGCCTAAGATAACGTATATCTGCCAAAGCGGATCTAGGGGTACCTTTCCCACCAAAAGCTGCAGCCTGATTTGCGAATCTATGCTCCATACCGTTCATAGCCCCGAGATTTTGACATTCTAGAATCTAGTTACTCGTGGCCGAGTTCCCCACTGTGTTTGAGATAACTGCTACAAGTCCATATCTTGTCGGGTATAGATGTGGGAAACGTCCCGATCGAGCCGATCTGCCACATAGGGCTTTGAGAGCCACATTGATGGGTCCTGGAGCCACATGAGACTTATGCAATGCGGGGCTGCCCAGGTTGTGCTAATGTACTGTTTTTGTTTCACATCTTGGATGTGAAGATAAAACGTACCCCACCGAGTGGCGCCGGCGGCGGTTGATCGGCTTAGTCTTGGCTGCCGATATTTTTCGGCCTCCCGACTCGGCACTCGGCAATGCCCGCGTGGAGCTATTCACCTATTAAATTGTATTGTCCTCTACTTTGGTAGCGATAAGATAACTCACACGGTGCCTTGATCTGTAAGACGCAAAATACACACGGCGAAATGCACAATAAGAAAAAACATAAAATAGTCAAAATCTCGCACAGCATCCTCGCAGTCGAAGACTATTCACACGACGCCGGGATATGTAAGAGCACAAGTCAATTGATTTTAAATCCTGGTCGAGCCTAAAACCATACATGAACTATAGTATTTGAAGTGCAGTAATGGTTATCTACCGTTTGTTGCAGCCACGGCACTAATATTAAAATCTAATAATTGCGAACCGGATCACAGAACCACACGAGGGAAAAAGGAAATCTTCAGAAAGACTTATTTTATTATAAAGTATAAGTACATTGTCGTGATTCGTATCAAATATAGTAACTCTAGACCCTAAAAAAATACAAACATTGATCTGCCATCAATTTAAATGCAGTGGCTCAGCAGAAGTCTCTCAACTGTCCTCCGTAACAAGTCCTGGCTGTTCATAATCATAACGAGTATATATTGGGTACGTTTGGTGTAATCGCTTCGTCAAATGACGTAGTCATGTAATCAAAACCCGGTATGAAATCCACACTATTGAGATCGAAAGGATCATCTGGCCAATACTGTGAAGTCTGCCATGGTAGCATAGTTCCTGCATCTTCCAGAGATAGATGGGGCGCAAATAACCCGGCTGGTATTTGCGGCATTGATGATTCGGTCTTGAAGCTTGTGCTTTGCTGTGGCAAACCCGCAGTTTGTGGTGCAAGTAAATCCTGTCCAACGAAATCTTCCGATATGATAGATGGAAAACGCACTGTTTGCGTAGTCTCAGATGTAGTATGCGTAGTCTCAGATGTAGTATCGATTGACTCTGGGCTTGTTCTGTACTCTGTATTTTGCGTATTGTCCAGCTCACTTTCCGATAGACGGTTTTCTGTCTGCCCAAGGGCTCCCAAACGGCAGAGTATGTCGTGGGTAAGCGGATGGCCGTTATCTTCGCATGGTAAAGAGTCCCCAGGCCATCCTTCTCCTTGTGTCATATGTCGATATAGTTTCTGTACAGCGTAGACTAGCCATTTCTGCTGTTCCTCGAGCATCTCGGCGTATCTGTGTTGCAAAGGCCCGTTAGCTACCCAGACCACAGGAAATATAAGTGAATAAGTTGCAATAGGAGGACACACTCACCCACTGGGATACACCTTTTCACGGCCTGACTTTCTCTCTCCATAGTTACAGTTGCTCTTGTCCAGAGTACAACGGCTACAGGGGCTTTCCCCATCGCACTGTGAGGGTCAGCACACCGCAAAATGACGCACACGGGGCTTAAATCACGCTTACCTTGGCTTTCTTTGACCTACATCGGTCGCATGCCTTACATACTCTCTTGCGAGGACGATTGTCGAAAGTAGACTCTTGCGCAGAAGCTGTTGACGCTTGGCGTTTGTTCATTTTGATTATGGAGTAATAGTAACTCAGCTTTACATCTTCAGAATGATGCTTATCGAACAAACTAGTTTGATAATATGGATAGGGTGTCATTAGTCATATATGCAATATTTATGCACACACTTGGGTAAATCTCCTTCCGGGCCCACAAGAGAGCCACATTGTATGTGGGGAGTCGCAAGATCAGAATACTTAATTGGCCGAAATCCGCCACTTTACGAGTGAACACCTTCATGGTGGATCCTGAGGGCCTTGGCGTTCTGGCCAGATTAGTTGATCATCCTGTCAATCCTCCATACGTTGGGAGTGTTTTCCACCTCCAGCAAGTAGAACTGAGGCTGAGCCATTTTCGTTAGGAGAAAAGGGGATGACTTCTAGAGTTTGACGAGGATTTCTCGGAAAGCTCTCCGAATGTTGGCCGTAGAACCAGTTTTCGTCAGGGTCTTCATCGTCATTCTTCATGTGCCATCGTGGAGCTTTCCTTCGATTTTCACTTATTTTTTTTTTTTTTTCCCCTTCTCTTTGGGAAAGTCAAATTCTGCTTTGTACTGTGTAGAAGGCCAATTGTGGCATCTAATCCACATTCACGCAATAAACGAGCTGAACCTGTCGATCTTAAACCAGGCCCTATCATGTGGAAGTTCTATGTTTAATGTGCAGAATGTCTCCTTTGATCTACCTGAACGGATCTTACGCTAGACTCTTTCTCGTCTCCAGAAGTTTGAATGGGTTGTTAGTACTCGCCTTGGTGCGAGGTCTTCTTGCCGTTGAGCCAAATATATATATAGACAGTTATATGCTTATACGCCACTAAGGGCACATAAATTGGTAAGTTTCAATTACACCTGCAGGAACGAGAGCTAAATGAAACTATACGATAATTTGGCTCTTGCCATGCTACTTTAAGTTTAATTCATTCAACTAGGTTGACATACTATTGAGTGCTTTAACTAAGTGCCAATTGTCAATGTGTCAACTCCGCGGGAACTCGGCACCATTGTGTGGAAGATCAATCGTCCAGATAAATGTTATCGATAAGCGCACGGAGGTGGTTAACTACGGAAAGGGTTGATTCTACGCCGTAAATTCACGTAGATTATCTCAGTTCTAAATTACAGACAAAAACACAAAACTTTCCTCAAATGGAATCTCGCCGGTTGGTTGGTGACGTTGAGATCGGGCCGAGACCCGGCACAGACTCCCGATCATGCAACATCGGCATTCTAGAAGATCTATGGCGTAGTTATTTATTTATTAGTTTGTCAACCTTGCCGAGGTCCGCGGCGCGCACACTAAGATCAGTATTGATTTGTTATGAGTTTTGGGACATGTCGCTTTTATTATCCCAACTACTCCGTACCACTACCAACTTTTAGGCACCTTTAGTTGTAAACTGCTGGGCACTGCTTCAGCCCTAAGGAGCTATCGCAAGTCGATAGTGATAACATCATTGTACTTTAACTAACTAATCATGTCAAAAATGCTGACTAAAATAATCTTTACCCGGAAGCACTCCGTGTTATCCGAAGGTCGTCCTAACCTCCATGATATCTCCCTTGGTTTGCTTATCTGTTTCATTCTCCTAGCGGGCAGGTTGCTGGCTTCGCGCGAACAGGACTATGGCCCAGCGAGTATCCTGCCCCCAATGCAATAAAACCTTTTCCAAAAGAGAACATCTAAATCGACACCGGCTGTCCCGTAAGCTCTTGTTTGTCCCAGGTGGATTGCCAGTATTTAAACCGTCGAGGACAGTGGCTAAATGCGAGATGAATTGTTCCAAGTCTAGATACGGGAGAGCGGCCCTTCCAATGTCAGATCTGCTCGAAGCCGTTTTCTAGGAGGTGACGTCACCGCATTATGTGGGAACATGGTCGAATGGATGGCTAACGGTTGTGGGTAGAGATGTTCTCCTTCGTCATCAACGAGGCCACTTTGAATTGGCATCATCGCCGGCGAATGCAAATGTTGCTCGCGTAAATCGGAAGAGAGCAGTGCGCGACGAATTGGCTGAGGTGTCTGCGAGTGAGGAAGTCCCCAATTATGCCGCGGCTCAAGTATGGCAACCATGGTTATTTGTTTATTGCCAGTATAATGTGGATAGAACTGACATGATGGCGCAGCAGACGGAGGGAAACATTGTTCGTGCTGGGTCACGATCAAGTACATCGGCCTTGTCGCCATCAGATCATGCCTACGAGCCTGACGCAGGACTGGCGAATGATCTACCTGTGAGACCACAGACAATTGCCTGGAATGGAGGTCCCACAAAGATGGTCCCTTCGATAGCTGCAACTAGTCTGTCTCCATCGCATGTGCACGATGATGGAAGGGGCTATGGCTCGTACCCGACAGGCGACCAGGCTTTGCTCCCAGTCGCCGACCAGGTTCACTTGTCTAATGGAGCGGTAGCAGAATTCAACCGCAGCCCACTCATGTTTGGCGACATCGACTCTGGGACTGCCTTCCTTGACATGTTGTTGGGCCTCCCAGGCGGCCAAGCGACAGGAACAACAAGTGCAAACCCTGATCAACTAGATATACCCTGGACTGAGAGCGGAACTTCAGATCGGTTGACTATTAGTCCGCCAGTTGAGGCCGAGCCAAAGCACTATCCAGCCCATATCCGCCAGAATGTAAAAAAGGTCCAAAGCTTTTGGTCGACACCACAACGCCTTACCTCCGAGACACAGATATGGTACGAAATTATATCAGGATCATCAGAGAATATCTTTTCTGGGCAAGACCATGAGACATACACAGGGCCTTCACAACAGAACCAGCATGCCGGAGCTGCCGAGATCTGCTTGAACCATGAAATTAGGGCGCAGCTTCAAGATTTGAAACGAAGGCTGCTCAAGAGGCAATGCCACTGTTCTAGCAGTGATGGCCGAATGACTGATGCATGTGATGAACATTACTTTTGTGAAAACTTTAATGGCATCTTTGAACAAGGCCTTTATCTTTACTTAGATAAATATCAGCCGTCCTATCCTATATTGCATATACCTACGTTCAAGCCGCAGGCAGTCCACACGCTTCTGCTGTTTACGATGTGCATGATTGGCCTGTCGTTTGTCAAGACAGAGGAGGCGGTGCGGTTTATCTATCACATATACCCGGTATGTGTTGATGCCGGCTTTGCAGTCCCAACATTCGACTAAACTAAGCCACTGTGCGCCTAGGCTCTTCTGGATGAAGTTTATAGACGCATTATATCCATGACTCCCAGTACCTCCAACCCATCGGCGTTGCTCAGTCACCTTACATTAGCACATCACATGTTATTCCTGCTTGTTGTGACAGAGGTTTGATAGACGATCCCACAATGCCTGGTGTATTTCCGCGTCTACTAATGACTCCTCACAGGGGAACATCTGTCCAACGAAGTCGCAGATGTTATACGGGTATACTCTAACGGTTGGACTTTCCCTATCTTCAGTTCGTCTGAGTACTACAGCTGATAACATTACAGGCTGCACAAAATCTTGGCCTCTTTCATTTACCTGTTGGACAAATATCAGACAATCTTTTCTCGACCACCACCGACGAACATATACGGTGGAAACTGTGGAGTCGAATAGAATCAATAAAGAAGTACGGTCTTCTACATACCTATACGGAGCGTGTCTAAAGATAATTCTAGTCTAATCATCGGCTTGATCCTCTACGACTCTTCGCTCTCCGGAGTCTTCTCAATAAGCCCTGTCATTTCAACGAGCACACTCCACGTCGCCCTTCCATGTGGCTTCGACCTCTACCGTGCTCAATCACCTCAAGAGTGGATGCGCCTAATCCAAGAAGGCTCCAGACTCACTACCCCAACAGTCAAGCTATCACACAACGAATTCTACCTCCCAACCCTGCCCCACCAAGTCCACATGTCGTGCCTGTACGGAATCACGTCTGCCATTCTCGTCCGCCTGATCTCAAACTACCATCGACTCATTATCGGCTCCGACCTGGGCCAAGAGGACTGGCACCAGCATATCCCCTGGCGGGTCTACAACCTCGACAAACGCGCCACTTCGATCACCAACGTGGTCATACACTTCATCCAGCTATACGATACCATCCTCGCGAGCTCCAACCCAAACTGCATCGTCATCTGGCATAATCTATGTCTCCTCCTAACAGCCGACATCCGTCTCCACGAACGAGCAGCCGGCCGCGAGGGTCCCGAAGCCATGCAAACCGCCCGCCAAGCCATCGCCCTCTGGGCCAGCACCCCGGCTGCCCGACGAGCCTGTCTCCACGCCGCCCAGATCTTCCATGCCCTGTCCAACTGGAAACCCATGGACGGCATGGGATTCCAGCCTGCGCGCTGTCTCTTAAACTCCGCGCTCGTGCTTGCCCTATACACACTGGTCAGCCCGAACTCTCCAGATACACGACCCACCGATACGTTCGATCTCGCCACGGCAGACATTGACTGGAAGGTTGTAGGCGACGAGGGGATGAGCGATGGCGAAGGTGAACGGCCGAGGACGGATGATCCGGCGGTGAACTTTATTCGCTTCGGGGGGCCGGTGGTGCTCTTCGGGAAGACGTATTTCGGGGGCGCTCGGCATGCGCGTCGGCTTTTGTTGGATTTTGCCAGTCTTTTGGATGAAGTTGGCAGACATTGGATGGCGAAGTATCCGCGTCTTTTGTATATGATTCATGATACTATGGTAGATGTATATACGGGTGGGAATATGGGGGAGGTGGCTGCGTGATCGGGTCCTGGTTGGGGATTATAATGCAGTATATGATGTCTCAGTGGGTGAAATATATCAAAGCAAATTTAAATTAACAGAATTTACAAACTAAGACGCGGGTCGACTCTTGGTAGCTATTCCACCTGTAGGTCATGTAGGATTTGGATTCTTGTATGATTTAGTATCATAACACGCTCGGTAAAGTCCATTGAACCCTCGGATGGTAGAACCGTCCCGTGGAGTCCTCAGAGTTGACCGGATCTGTGTATGTTAGGTATGAGGAAGAGATGTAGCGCTGTAATCTGTGTGTGCTTCACTCAGGCTCTAATAAAGCTCTGGATGGGGCATAATAGTAGTCTCAAAGTATTCATTTTGAGTTACAGCGGCAGACCTCCTCTCCTCTATAAGTCGCAATCTGAACCCCTTCGCCTCCTCCATAGTCATGTATGCAAAATCCAAATTTGCGTAAACCATATCTTTAAGCTCCTGGGGTAGGGATCGGAGAGCCTGCTGAATGGTCATTTCCCTCTCTATGGCCCAATCCTCTCGTTGTGGTGGCACGTTCGAAGACGAGATAATCCGCAGGTGAGGATCAACCAAGAGTAACGCCAGGATTTTGCGATGACCAGGTCTGGAGCGGTCTTCCAATGAGAAAGGGGATTCGCGATGCTGCAGAATGTTCGCGAACGTAAGAAGACGCCCTTCCTTGGTGACCACGCTACCAAGCTCTTGAGTGACATCGATTGATTCGCTCTCGTAGATGCCTACCGGAAAGTCGTAAATATCTTGTAATAGCTGATAGATTTCTTTCATGTTGTCCCATATAGCTAAATCTGTAAATGCACGTTGACGGAAAGAGAGAGTCCCCTCGGTGATATTATCACTGTCATAATAGTAGATCGCCGATGCGCAGATGTGCTCATTCTGCATATACTCGGTTAGTTAAGTGATCTGAGAGCAACTCCATGGAAACAAAGAAGCATAGAAACTACAAGGAAAGGAAAAAATGAAAGCAAAGATGAAGACGAAGACGAAAGCCCGAGACTTACAAGTCGCCCTTGCACGTGCCATGACCCTCCGTGATATTCAGGTTTCTCAGGCGTCAACTCGATGTTGACGAGCTTCACTATTATCTGCAGGCCAGTCTCTTGAAACTTATGTAGGTTAACAATGTCAGAACTCCCAAATGTAGGTGGGAAAAAATTCCTTAGCGAGGGAATTCTAACAATTCCAACTGGTCGTAACCGACGGCCCTCTGACGAGTCGTAATCAGAGTCAGAGTCATCATATTCCACCAGCCTAGGACATTCCATCCGCCAATAGCCGCGTTTCGTGTAGGTTAATGTTGTATTCCAGAGCGGGATAGCCTGGGCAATGATTTTTTCAATGACACGATAAAGGCGCGCATTCTGCCGCGGGTGAAGATTGTTGATATAAGATACTATGGCGCATAAACCATTGTCGAGGAGATCCACGTCACAAGGCAGCCACTGAAACTCCCAGCTATACTGTTTGCGATTGCTAAACCAAGGATGTTCGCGAGTATCAGAAAGAAGAACCGTTCCGTGTCCGATAATGTCAAGGGACCTTTCAAGCTTAATCAAAGAATCAGAGATAGCTCTCGTTCGGTTAAAGACAACCGGGAAAAGAGATGGATCTACAAGGTCCGCAACCTTGTCATCGGAGCCTGGATGACAATCCTTTCCTGTAAGACTATCTTCGAGTATTCGCACACCTTCCTTCAATGCGTTCTGTAGTTCATCCGAGATTGCAGTGTCCGACTTGACGACCCCAGAATCGAACACGACAACATGGCCAGTGGCGGAATACTTTTGCGCTTTCCACTTCACCTCATCCATGATCCAACGCACCATATTAGGGGTAATTTCCTCATCACTGGCAGCGATCTCTCTGCGCCATTTGGCGGTAGTTGCCTCGTCGAATACCTGAAAGTCAATTGTCAGTCTTCCCATAGCTAAATTACGAGTAGCAGCCATGAATTTGTGTTCTCTCACCTCCAGGTACCACCCCGGCTTATCAGTAATGGAGTTTAGGACTCTCATGATAAGGAGTTCTCGATATGTACACAGTTTCCTGTCACAGTAGTTAGCAACATAAAGTGGTTTTTGAAAATATCCTTACCTAACATATTCATCACCCATGTCTGTGAGTCGCAGAACATGCGGGAAACGGTCTGTTGCTCTACAGGAGTAATCATAGAGATTTAACGGTAGCGGAAAGCCAGGGAGCTCTGCTTTCGCCATTTCTGTGTCTCAATGTAGCCGTATCAAAACTATATGAACGGTCACTGTGGTGAAATTGTCATTAAGGCTGGGTTAAAGATTTATTATATCTGTGAGACATGGCAAGGGCACGATAGGGTTGAGAACGGTTCTGCGAGAGACTAGAAAGCGTAGTGTATCGGAGTTTATGGAGGTTGTGTTCCAAAGCAGTCGAACGCGCACTAGCAAGTCTTTGTCCGGGGTGAAGTGAATTGAAGTAAAGCCTTCACTTTATCTCAGGCAGTGTGACTAGCGCGACCTTGATTACTTTTGCAACACAACCTCCTTAAGTACTCGGCATTCACCTGTTAAATTGGTCGGGCTAACCACGTCCTCGTGGCGGGGGAGTCTGGAAACCACGAGTGCTACATGCTCTTTAAGAAGTTCCTGCTCCTGCATGTCCTGCTGGTAAAATATTAGCCTAGAGATACAAATATTACCGAAGCTAACCTGAGCTAATACCATATACTCCCTACATATTCTCAAATTAATACTAAACATTAGCAGTTCACCGCCAGTACATGACTTATTAACATTTGGCAGGTTCTTACCTTGTTGCCAGGTCAACAACCCTTTTATAAATTATGCAATCTTGATGAATACTACTCGTTCTTCGAAATATTGATATAACAGAGAGTGACAACTGCATGAAATTCCCACCGAGTATTGACTGTCAGATCATCGTCTAAGAGTAGGCGGTAGGGATGCAACATATGTGTCTTCCCAATACGCAATATAGAACTGCACCTTCCCTGACCAGTTTAACTGCACCTAGCTATTTGTCCATATCGGGCGATAGGCTGTTTTCGGCGATCCTTGATACCAGTATATGACGGCTTTTGCTCATCGCAGTGTGAATCATCAGTTCATCGGCTCCAAGAGTAGGGTCAGAGCATCATACACCTTCACATGGCGTTCACAACATGGTTTGCATCCTGAGCGGGGACGAATGATGTTAGTCTTCTTTGGTCTTGGAGGTGCCGGTTTATACATAATTGTGGTTGTAGTTAACTTCAGATTTAGTATTAGAGTAAGATTAGCCAACGTTATGGAAAGCTCTTCACCTGACCCACAACCCTACCCCAACTCACATGAACTCCTGCCATAGGTGACAGAGTATGGAAGGTAAACGATTGCTGTTCACGTCTGCCACTGGATCATAGGCTCAGTTCGGTTAGCGTCTGGCCATTGCCGGTTTTCCAGTACTTGGTTAGTCGTCCTTAAAATCTCCATATAGATTCTGCACCGGTGGTAAAGAGCCACGAGAACGGCACTCTATACATACTCCACCTCGCATACGTGTCGATCATTGGTTCAAGTACTCGAAGTCTCCAGAGAAGAACAAGAATCACCAGCGCTCTCGCTTATCAGGACAGATAACCGTAATAGTGGAGTCGATCCACCTTCCTAATGAGGTGCGCGGGCGCGACGATATCGGGAATCCCAGTCTCGAGCAATTTAAACCAGGACAAGCCAGCGAAGATAAAAGGGACAATAAATTCCCTGTCTTTCCTTTCACCTCTCACAACAACCGGAAGAAATTGTAAAATGGTATCTCCATGCTACCGTCGACCTCTCACCCGTAGAACCTAGCAACTAACATGACTCACCAGGATAAAACAGAGCTCCTCTATTTAAACGACGCCTCCCTACAGAAATGGACAACTACAGTCCTCTCCTGTCAGCCGATATCGCAATTACCAGAAAATGAAAAGAGTCTCGCAAAGACACTTGCCCCGGAAAGCTTCGCTCTCACCACCCGTGAAACGGTCTTCTACCCACAAGGCGGAGGCCAACCCAGCGATACAGGCGTGATTGCTCTCGCAGACACAAGTAACGACTCCGCCTTCAAGGTTCTTCTTGTTCGGAAAACCATGGATGGGACTGTTCTCCACCTGGGGGAGTTCACCGATCAGCCCTGTTTTACGGACGGCCAGTTAGTTTCGCAGGTTATCGACTGGGCAAAACGCGACTATCACTCCCGCCTCCATACGGCGGGCCATATCATCGGTCTGGCCATGCGACTGCTGGCTCCTGTGCTTGGGCAAAGGAAGAAGGTTAAGGCGAACCATGCACCGGGGCAGGCCTGTATGGAGTTTGAGGGCTTACTTTATACTGAGCATAAGGCAGTCATTGAGGAGAAGGTGAACGAATTGGTAGGTATGAAACTTCCTGTTACTACTGAGTGGTGGGATGAAGACCGCATAAAAAATGCCGACCTGAATATGGTGGAGGGATTACAATTGGGAAATAATGGACAGGCGAGGATCGCCCTGATCGGAGATATTGACGCCAATCCATGTGGTGGAACGCATGTAGAGCATACTGGTTTGACCGGTTTTATCACTATTCGGAAGATTGCCAGGCAAAAGGGGGTCAGCAAGCTGTCTTATGAAGTGCCTGTTTCAGTGTGAGATATGGAATCTCCACTCTGGTAATACCAAGTTTACAGCGTGACTTTTATCCACTATATAAGTAACAGGGTAAAGAGTATTCTCACTTCCGCTGTTTTGTGGTGGGGGGGGGGGGGGAGTGTATAAGTTTGTAGAATGAGGGACAGAGGTCTGGATCCGAGGCGACGATAGCCTTTCTATATCTATCACCCTGAAAACTAACTATCCACGTAGATGGTTAGTTGACAAGTTAGTTGTGACTTGGAGTCCAGCCGGTGTACGGTAAACATACAATGGCTGGTAAACTAGTTATATGCACTGTAGTAATTACATTTCGGTCTCTGGTTTCATACTATGTCCTTGAAGCTCTAACCCAAAAGTGCTATTTTATTACTATAAACCTACCAGATATGGCTGAACTTGAGCAGAAGGCTCTTACCACTCCGGACTTTCTCGAACAAGAATGCAGTTTCTGCTGAAGAGAGAAAAGGATATTTAGGAAGAAAACACGCGTGAGAGTCACGGTATGGTGGCGTCCATTCGTCTTTACTTTCCCAGTAGGAGAAAAAGAAATTAATATATCTACCAATTGAAATAATTACACGCCAGCCACCACAAATCTCCATGTCATCACAAGTACCGTGGTACCCCGCGAGTTGAGGCGGGCCTCAGTGGCCACTGGCCAACTTGATTTCCTTTGTCAATTCTCATCAAACCCCGAAAACCTGAGCATCTCATATGGGTCTGGTAGTGTATACTGAGTACAGAGTATAAATATTTATATAATAGAATATTTAGACTAAAGCACATGACTACTAGGGATCTAAGAAGCTTCGTCCTTTTTAAAAATCCTAATTTCTATCTCCTAACCAAAGGTGGTGAGAGCTTTTACCATTGAACTAGAAGACAACGTCACTAGGTGAGAAACCTCACGAGTTGGAATGAGTCGCTTATGTCTCAGCTAGTCTTGTCTCACAGTACTGCCAAGAGCTCCCTTGCATATGAAAGCCTCAGGGTCTGGATGTCAGCTCTTACGCCCTCGAGTTCCACATCTAGAATCCTTTTCAAGGCAACAACTTTTACTGATCGTCAGCCGCTGAATAAGACCGCAGCCCCCGAGCCCCACGTACAGCCTTGTGTTCTTGAAGATCACCAGCTCCCACTAAATCAGAAATTAGCGCGTCTGTGTCAGATCAGACAAATCTCACCTAATTTCTTAAATCCTAGCTGAGAGCTAATATTTTGTGTTTTTGTATGGAGTTGGGTAGTAATATATTTGACAAGCGGCTGGGTTATGCCATTCTGTATTTCATGATATTAGCTCGATTTTCGACGAATTTTATTTCCATTAAGTTAAAGTTTATATATGGTTTAAAAGATGCTAGAAGAATAAACTCTCAAGTTGACAGGTACTAGTGACCTTTAATTACCAGTGTATGATAAATCACTACCTCCTTCATGCAGTTTACCCTAAATCAAAGGAAGCGCTAGCATTCTGGGCTGAGACAGTGTGACCCGGGCTGCATCCGGGATGTATCATGTAACATCCTAATTGGAACAGGGTGCTTGGCGATCTACACACCTGCATGCTCAGCTCGTCAGCTCAAGGGCTTCCCCGCGCACGTCGAGGTAACCTCGACAAACATAAGCCCTACCGGTCGGTAGATCATTCGCTGGTAGTTATAGGGCACCTGAGGATCGTTTCCTGGTGCAGTGGTATTGGGGCTGCTTACACGCGTTCACCTCTGTCGTTGCTTTTTCCAGGCCACCCTCCGTAGTCATTCAGTGGGGAATGCAACGCATCTCAATTGAGGCTGGCGTACCCCACAATCAGCAGATGCGCAACCTTCTGGCCCTGGTCGGCCCGGGTTGGTACTTTCTCTGTCATCCTGCAGATGGGGGCCGCAAGCCCAATGAGGATATTGGCCTCCTGACAACATGTCTGAGAGGCAGAGGGAGTTTTGCCTGCCTTGGCATTGAGGCAGTCTGTGATTATGGTCTGTAAGCCTTGGCTACGATGCATACTCCATGGGGATGTTCCAGGGCCAGGACCGTACCTATAAAGGAGGGATTGCGCTCCCTCAAACAGGAGACAACTCTGCCCAGAACAAGCACATTCTCTTCTTTATCCAGAGCCTACATCAGCATTACGCTTAAAGCCCATCTGAGTCATATCCTCAATTGTCGTGATACAATATGAAGATCTCCTCTGCTTTTCTCTATACCTTCCTCGCCATCACCACTCTGGGTGTTGCGAGCCCTACAGGCAACAACGCCGTTGCCGCCGAAGATGTCACGCCAGTGCAGGCTAGAACGGAGTCTCTTTTCGACAAGCGTAAGAGCTGCAGCGGTGAGAGGAAAGATTCAGACGTGTGTGGCGGAAAGAAGCTCGCAACGCAAAACTCCTTTCATAACTGGTACTTTACTCTGTTGTCTTAGCAGGAACTGGGACACTTTGCTAATATAACCTGATAGCAAAACGATAACCAAGGGCAAGTGCTGCGCTAAGAATTCCGACGGAACCGGAGGAATCGACGTGAACAAGGGAGGTGGTGAGAACTGTGGATATTGCTTCAGTGGCAAGTGCTCTGGCTGATAGGCCTCGGCATGATAATGTCTCGCATGGCATCAGAAGGAGGATATTCAGGGATTTGTTATACAGGATATCGGCGAAACTGTCTCTAGTTGGCGGTAAATAGCACAAATTCGATATCACCAAATGTAAGGCTTGATATGTATGCCCATAGTAGATTGTTCCATTTCAAACAGTGTAAATATGGTTATTCCTTTGACCCCCACGCCTTGTACGTACTATGAGTTGTATTTGTTCCCAGTCTGGGCTTTGAATGCTGTCACCACCTCGTTGGAAAACTCATCATGATCCTGTAGGTAAAATTCTTCCAGGTTCGGCGCATGCTCCGCGATTAGTTGTGCGACCACCTGGGCATGTGTGCTCATTGAGGATGACCTTAAATTCATAGAAGCTGTCAACATATGAACCACTCTATAGAAGCCAGAGGGATAGTTATACCGTGATACTCGCTCCTCAGGCACCGCTGCTCCGAGTTCAAGCTGCCTTAAGTGTGGAAAGAGCGGTCGTTCGATGGTTGACCAGCCATGCAAGTCATAGGAGCCAAATATCTCACAAGATTCAAGTTCACGACAATGCGTTCCCAGCGAAGTGATCGCTACTATTGACAATTTGCACTGAACCTGGAATACCAAGTCCTGAAGGTCACGCATATCCTCGAAAATCTGGATGAACTCTTGGTCTGTGAGTGCGGGGAACGCTGGGGGGTCCTCGAATGAAGATATACACAGTCTGCGTAAATTCTTCAATCCTTTAAGTGCAAGTAGGTCTGTGGCCGGCCAAAGTCCGTCCTGGCAAAATGCAATCTCAAGTTCAGTAAGCTTGGTGAGTGACCTAACCAGTGGAAAGGGGCTCAGTTCGTTATCGTCAACGGTAAGTACAAGATTAGTAGCAGATTTGATGGCTGCAGTGAGGGGTTCGACTGCTTTCGATCTCAATTGAACTGTGAGGCGCCGGATAGACTTAAAAGGAGCCTCTACCCCATCCATGGCCCTCTCAATCATCCCATAGGTGATGGTCTTTCCCAGTTCCAAGTCCTCCAGACCATTATGACGGGCAAGGTAGGCAAGCATCTGGTCGTCGACGAAGGCGTCCATAAAAGATGGAAGACGAATTGATCTCAGAGATCTGCAACCGTCAAAGAATTTTATTAGGCGGTCGGTGTTTATCCCCTCGAATGCATAATCGATCAAAACGCTCTGTAATCGTGGACAACGGGTTTCCAGAAGGTTGAGTAAGTCTTCAGCCGGCTCAGACCCGTAAAACCTGAATTCCTCCAAGCTCGGTTGTATGTATTGACCAAGCCATAATTTTTCTCCATTTTCTGGAACATACAAGTCGATTGTCAGGCGCTTTAGCCTTGGGAACTCTAGGGTACGGAAACATGTATGTTGTTTTCCATCCTCTTGACCCCCAAAATTCAGCTCACGAACCTGACGCGCGTAGAATTGGCGGTGGTGATCTAGGCTCGAGGCCAAAGCTGCCACCGGCGGCTTTTGCCAAAGGACACTGATGGCTTCCGCAGCCCAGGACTTGTTCACCAAGGCTGCCGATCGCAGAGAAGTGAGATCATCACAGAGATACTCCATAACTCGGCGTAGTAACTCCGGTAGAAGCGGCCCACTGAAAAATGCCGGACTGATTTCAACGTCTAACATTTTCACTGAATGCACTCCTTAGCAGCTTGAAAGAGAAAAGAGTATGACGAATAAGCCTACCGTTGGCTGTATTTCTCTCCATAACGACTGATGGCTTGAAGTATATTCAGTTGCCAGATAAATACGATTCGCCTGGTGTTCTGACTCCGTGCTTCCCTTGATGAACGATGGCCACGAGTCTACCAGGGGCGGGGATTTGGTGGATAATAAGAAAATAAAGAGATATACATACGGAGAGCTAGAGGAGAGTGAAAGTAAGAAAAACAATCTCGCAAGGCCAAGTGCGGGACAAATCATCAGCTGACATAAGTTGATACAACAGAATAATAATAGCGAATAATAATATCAATGCTAATACTAATACGAATCTGCAGCGGAGAAAGAATGGAAGCCGATCCTTTTCTAAACTTTTATTTTTTGCCCAAGTTACCAACGGTGGTGTATTCTACTGAAACAGTACTTCAACTAGTCAAAACAAATTGGGGTTCCCGGCGGAGAGAAACGGAGTTCAGCTGGCACAGACTCTTTTTTTTTTTTACTTTTTCCTGATGATCGCCATTGGGGCGAAAAGAAAAGAAAAAAATAGCTATACGAGGTTCAGTAGCGTTTCTGTTCAAACATATTTTTGGCGACATATTTTTATTTTATAGACACTGCTACTGCCCGTCGTACCTAATAGTTCTTTAGACCCAAAAAAACGGCAGTAACATCGTAGGCCTCAGGAGATAATTTTCTGGAGTATCCATCTTCTGGTTTAGTTTAAAACAACATCTCACATCTCCCAGTTTCAACAAATGTTCGACGACTGCAGCTCTCTACTAATTCCGCTGAATGGAATCTTCCAACATATCAACTCTTAGTTGACATATTGGGGCAACAGTCGTCTTAGTGACAGATAGCGTGCACATTGATATTCTCGCCCAGGTTATATCTGGTTCAAGCACGCCTTGAGTATACGGGAAGTCCTGTTCCCTATACGTTATAGTCGTAAGTATTGGGTTGGTATAGAATAGATGATCATTGACACTACTCTTCTCTCTGACTTGAAAAGACTGGGAGTATAGCGGCTATACCTAGTGGTTGTTGAATTAGTTCCCCATAGCCACCACTATTGCCGGCATCTCATTGTTCAGCGCCAGAAGCGACTAGCATTGGAAGCGCGAGCATCTTTCAAAGCCAGATTTTTATACACTTCAGTCGGCAACACATCAATACAGTTGCTTCACGGAGTGTATCTGTCCAGTGGACGCCAACCAATAGTATCTTGTTGCTCTGAGCTTAAATTGCCATAAGCCTCAAAGTATCCACGGTCATATAAGACGAAGACACTTATTGTCAATCTTCTCGGCTTGTCCGAATGTGGGAAGTCTCTCGGGCAGTGTCCCTGTCGACCTCCTCGGATATAGACTTGGCTTCGGGTCGGTCGGGTCGGGTTGAATTCCCAAGGGTTCAACGGTTCAACCCGAGCTGTACCGAACCGACCCTGTTCGTAAACCAGACAGCCTTCAGTGTCCTGGATTTCTACGTCCGGTTCGGATGATCCGTCATTTGTTTTCATTCTTAAGAGACATTGTATACGATACACCACCTAATATTCAAGTATGACAACAATCAAGTTCCGACTTGATATGGTCGGTGGTAAGTATTAGAATTAAGGGGATGGGAAGTCGACTACCAACACCGGTGTCTAGGCTGCAGAAGGTGTACCATATAATAGGAACACGGTTGATATGAATATGTGGCAGCTGTACGTATGTCTTCGTCTGGTTGTGTGGCAAATGGGCTTGGAGATAAACCATATATGGAATCAAGTGTTCTGAGAGGTGGACAAGGCATGTATTGTTCAGTCATGGTCCTGGAGTAGCAAAGAGGCCCACTTTCTCGGTGGACCTCGGATATCAGTATGGGATCTGTGGCTTTGAAAGGGTTATGGAGTTTTGTCGCTTTTTGGAGGATGAGAAGATATTGGGCGAGTATGGACGGACGACGGTGAGAGTACCTGAGCAACTTCGTATGGCCGAATCAACTATAAGAGGTGAAATAGGTTTCTGACAAGGTGCAATTTGTATATGACTGGTGTTTTCCAAACTCGACTAAAGGGGAGAAGATAAACAAAGAGATATGAGCGGACTGGGTTCACGCGAGCATAACTGGAATACATCATCAGCGTACAAGCACATATATGCAGAGGGGCATCTGATACTTACTTTCCCAGTTCCAGTCTTCCATAACCCTGAGCCAATGCAACTCACCTTTAATGGTGTAGTTGATAAACCCCGCCCTTGTGACAGGATCTGTACCTTTCTGAAATGCAGCTGAGTCCGGGAAATCCGACGACCTTGTACCTGACCACGTTTCCGCAGAAGGCGGCTTCAGTCCCTCTTGACACGTAGTGCTGTCGCTCTGGGGAACACGAAGAGAATCGTAAAGCGTCGTGGTATCCATCGCGCGACGGCTTAGTATGGGAAAAGGCCGGTGAGCTTTCATCAGGTCACGTAGGCCGTGGTGTGTCTCAAATTCGTCCCTTCTTCGCCATACCTCTATTGTCATATCTCTACATCGATCTGGTACTGCGGTCATCAAGCGTCGAGACATGAGCTCCCAGCGCTGGCGAACCCACTCTCGATCATCATCGTCAAACGTCTCACAGCCTGCTATCATCAACGGAAATATTTGCGCATGTATCGTCCGAGATGATGGGGGTGTAGTGGCGAGAAAGACGAGAATTTTCTGTGCTAATTTTGACATTGAACATGAGGCGGGAAGCTCCGGGACTGCTTGCCGAAGGAGCAGAAGCGCAGCGCCTCGGTATGCCTCTGCGGTCTGTATCAAGTCGGAAATATTTGAACTCGAGCTGTCCGAGTCTACAGGTGAGACCCAGCCCTCAAGAGCCATTTTTATTTCAATGGCTTTCGAGATTATCGCAGGAGAATTGCGATTCTCCGGTCGGCCGCGGACACGACGAACAAGCTCCGCCAGGCGGCCAATTGATGGAAAGAGTGCAGTACTACAACCCATGAGCGGGTCAATCTCCTTTTCCTCTATATAAGGTAGTATAGAAGTGTATGTAGCCACAGGCTCAGTGATCGTGGCATCTGTAGGTTCAGTGCATGTCAAGCGAGAAATGACGTTCCTGTATAACCAAGTGTTGACAAGGAATTTCAGACATTCCAGCTCACTATTTACTGGTCCCGAAATAAAGTTTTCCTTGACAGCACGCTGAATGAGAACTTGAGCGTCGTTGAGATGAGTGGCTCCCGTTGTTGGTGCGTGACAATCCCAGGACTCGGCGAAGGCAAGGGCGAGTCTGGTGGCAATGGCAGCCTCCAAGGGCATCGTGCTGTTGTCCATACCGATGATGAGAGCTTGACCGCTGAGATTTAAATGCTTCATGCTGAGTAGATTAAGTTGCTGTTGGGTATTGCTTATGTGTGCACAGGTCATTGCGGCTAGAGCGTGGTAAAGTGCAGGACAATCACGCGCCATAGGCCAGACAAGCCCTTGCCATGGGTCCATGCTTTCGTCTTCTCTGATAGATAGTATTTTGGACGTGTGCCCCATGAAGAAACGCCCAATCATCTCCTGGCTATTGTCTGGGAACTGTAGCTGACGGACCAGGGTATCCAATTCATTTGGATCAAAACTGTCGGATCCAAGTATATCAGCATAGAAGCCCCCGCCGGGCGGGATGTCAGGTTGCCAATGGACCTCCTCAACATCAACTCTTTGGAATCTCTCATCTTTCTGGATAATCTCTTCATGGCTTTGAATGGCCCTGCATAGGTCATCGTCGCTTGCCGAAGCGTCTTCAGTTGTCTCCAAGCCCAAGTCATGAAGCCCTGTCAATTCGTGGTTAGCCGGATTCACTGCAACCGCGGATGAGAAACAGTCAAGGTGGGGAGGCTCCGTAGATGTCCCGGTAGAGGAACTGTACATCCAATGCGCGATTGACTGCTCTTGTTCTAAGAGTCCAAAAGTTGAGTCACTAGCCATGTCCCCCGTACCGACCGCTGTGCTGTCTGCAGTGACCGTCTCATGCAGTGCCGTTGTAGACGGGTAAAATATATTAGTTAGGGGAGACCAGAAATCTTCAAAGGCAGCCTGTGCCATGGAAGAGCTAACAGGCGCGTCACTGTTTTCCCGGAGCGAACGATAGGATGATTTTGTCGGCCGACGCTCTCTCATCTTCCGAGAACCTGTTGGGGGATTAGTGATGCTTTTAGAAATAGGTAATTGACGCATTCTGTACAGTACCATCACCTGCAATGCGCTCATTGTTAATCTTTTCCACGGCTCTCCATCTGAGGAAGTTCGGATAGCCACCACAGGTAGTTCCTTGACGAGAGCATTGTTGACAGGACGGTCTTGTCTCGTCGCATTTTACCCGCCTCGCTTTACATGTTATACATCCTAAACTTACGCCATCAGTCTTGGTTTAAGCATATCACCATGGAGCGGAATAAAATACCATTGCGACTCTTTGTCTGCTTTTGCCTTGGCGTCGTCTTCATTCTTAAATGCCTGTGCGCTGAGAGTGACGGGTCTGCCTTTCTCAGTTGCGCCGTGGAATCAACATGGCGGAAAGGTTGCGGATGACCTGAACAAGGCAGAGGGAGGGGTCGATCATGTGCCATGATAAGACCTAATTCAAGACATCTTGTGGGCCTGGTCTAGCCTCAACCACCTTACGCATCTTCCTACATAAACAAACAATAATCCTCGAATAGCGAGGAGGTTCTCTATCTTTGATTGTCTTGACCTATAGTAGCCACGTCTAAAATGTCCAGGATTCCCGTGCAGTACACAGATGGCCTTATCAATTGCCTCGCCCAGACTGACAGCAACCCTACTCATGATAATGTTATCTCTCTAACTTGTCTACGCTGACGGCCGTGATAAGGCACACTCCTGTCTCCGCATGAATGCGGGTCGTTTCCCCGCATACTTCCTCTCTCCGCATCTGGCTCGGATTTCTTAAATGGCTGGCTCGCTTACGTGCGCATGATTTGATCAGGGGATGTTAGAGAAAAGCAAACAACTAGATTCGATATGCTAACTAGCAGGCTCAAAATAGAAGTCTCAATACTGTAACTATCTTCAAAGTGGCGTCTAAAGAACGAAGAGCGCTAATTCTCATAGTCGAACATCTCTGTCAACATGGACTCGATGTACTCCTGTTGCTCGCTGAGCCAAGCTCTGGCACCCTCAATATCAAAGCGTCCCCCCTGATGCCGACCCTTCTGAATCAGCTCAAGTTGTCGGTCGACGCGAGCTTTCAAGTTGCGCATTCTGTACTCGGCATAATCATGGTACAGCTCATCTTGGCGGCTGATACAACGAACAGTTGTAAGAACAGTGTCATCTCTCACGAATGGTGACTTGGGCCGAAAAGGTGTAATAATGGAAATGCGCTCCCCGCCGCCAAACGATTTCAGCGCCATGTGTTCGATGTAGCGGCCCTGCATCACCACAGCCGTTCCCTAGAACCTTTAGCGAACTGTTGATGAGGACAGGTGAATATTTGTATCTTACCATAGTGGGCCCGCGCGTTTTCATGGTGCTTCCATCGCCCGTACGAATAACCGTCTCCCCACCGATCATGTCTCTACAATCCGACAGCATAGTCACACAAACAAAGGGAAAACTGTCCCTGTGCCATGCGAAAGCTTCGCTATCTCCATCTTCACTCATCTTCTCAAGTTCAGCTTGTGTGGGCTTCTTCTCGTTGAAAGAGATGTTGCAATGGCCAATCTCGTAATCGAATGCGGGAACTAAGTCAATCCCAGCAATAGCTGAGACGGCTTCAAGAAGCTCCGGGCAATAATAGGCTTTGTGGATAAACGGAGCGAGTCTGCATGTAATGTTAAGCAGTGTCATATTAACAACTATGGATCGGTGATGACTTACGTTGCATTATAACCTCTAACCATGTTTGATGCGAAGCTGGAAGAAACCTGGCAATTCTCGAGCATCGCCTCGCTGAATATCTCTGCTCTCATCTGCTTGACGGCATCTTCAGTCCATAGGCTGAATGGCTCAGAGACTGCAGTATCAGAGATACCAACACCCTCGAGCCCAATGTCTGCCATCCTCAAAATCTTCTTCGGGGGGATGATGTTTAGGTGGCGAGCCGGGTCAAATTCCTGTTTCTCAACATTCCGGGCTGACAGCACGAGTGATTCTGGTAGCTTCTTAGTGGCCGGTGTGTACTTCTTGTTGGCTGGTCCCACGACTACATGTTTCTTGAAAGTTTGCGCGAGAGTCGTGTTGGCGACTGCAACTGCTGAGGGCATTGTGTCTCGTAGGTTCTTGAAATACTAGTGTTGAGTGAAGCTTGGAGGCTTGTGTGCTTGCAAATGAAACAATCTGATTGCTACCTGGAGTCCTCGTTATTCGACTCTGGCGACAGGTATTTATAACTGGATCAGGCAGCGGCACTGTGTACTAACAAGCAGCAACACACCATCGATAACATGCTGCAATGCCCATATTCGGCAATCATGGCATTTCTGAACAGCAATGTAAATTTCTCAAAGCAGTAAATTACAGTCTCATCTGGGGACAGTACTTCATTACTTCTCACGAGATCACCTCTTGCCTTGCCCAGCCCAGAGTATAAATTCCCTAAACAGGCATTAATGGAGCCAAGTGCCCTAACCAGAAGTGGTATCTATATTACCCAATCGGGAATAGCGCTTCTACGGTATACCGACCCATACATTCGAGAACCTCGTTGAATAACTGTATCAACAGTTTCTTATATCTACCGTGATTATACTGGAATTTGATACACTTTGCCTGCCTCAAAGGACCAAAGACAGGGTCTACCATGCAGTCTGATAGTTTTCCAATCAAATATAACATCTCATAGATGTAGTGAAGGTGTAGGATGCATTACCTTCAACAAGTAGCCCTTCTTGATCCGATATCTCTTATCCTAACCCATATCAAGAGTAAAAGTTTGAGTGGCATATCTTATGAGGAGAAACTGGTTGAACTGCTATTGAGATGCTTCATTATCACCATGATTGTGAGAGAGAAATGACTTCGGAATGACAGGGCAAGGCAGATTCAGCAGTACATAAAATGGCTAGGAGAAGTGAGAAACTCTACTATTAGAGCTATAACCAGGAAACAAAGTAATCCGTGTTGGTTCAGTGAGCAATCCAATCAAGTGTAGTACACAAGTGGTTGCCAACAGCAAGTAACACAATATCTATACTTGGGAGCAACACGGTGTTGGCTCTCTAAGCTTCTTGACTTCTGACACATCATTGCAATATCCCCCAAGACTTTATCTTCAGACTACTATCTCAGTTTACCTTTAGATATCATATCATCTTCTTATCCACCCGCCTATGAAGGATCAATTCCGGTAGACCATACGCAGCTAACTCTCTAAGCTTCGTTACTACTCATCCTTCTTTACCATCTTTCATAAGTAATTTTATTTTCTCCCTGCTGCATCAATCTACCCTCAGAAACCCCACATTCCTCTCGTCCACCCGCTCACAAGCCTTCGCTGAAATGCCTCCCCAAATTCGTCCCCTTAGTGACGGTAGCGTTAAGCCATTCTTCCATTGGTGCATGCATTGCCAAAGACTCTGCGCTGGAAGGTACAAGAGGGAAACCGATCGTCCATTCGAAATAGATTGTTACTTTAATAGCAAAGGATTCATCCATTGTCACCAATGCTCGCACGACAACACAGCATGCGATTCAGTATGTTTCCATAATCTTTACCTAATAATACCAAACTAACTCAAGTAGGTGGCACCTGGTATGCTAGGAAATGGATGGGATTACTCCCGAATTCTCCGATGGGCTACTCGTTATTGGGACACGCAGGAGGGGAACGAGGATGAGTACGAGTGGCCAGAGAACGTTCGCGCAAGTATCGTCAGTGCTCTGAGAGAACTCAACAGCGCGTTCAACAAGACTGAAGAAGCCCATCGGCGTGAACATGCCTTGACAGGCGACAATGATGTACGTTTGGGCTTACGCGTTGCCTTTATGATTACTCTAACGCGCCGGGCAGGATGTTATGGCGACTTACCGCACCTTTGTCGAAAACCGTCGCCGACTGCCCGTCCAGCGTTCCCTTCCCAACGAGTATGATTGGGAGGAGGATTGGGATTGTTATCAGTCTTCGAGGCTCTTGCGTCTCTTACCTGGGGACTCTGGGTATGTGCTATGGATGGTGGCACTTCGGGTTTTTAGGGAGGCAGTTGAAGATGCTATCACCAGTTGCGCTGTCCTCCATGGCTCAGGACGCAGGATAATAAATGAAGAATTGGAGTCGTTCCCGGTGGAGTGCGAGAAGATTTGAGGACAGTGTAGTCACCTCATAGCGAGGTTGGCAATACATGCCAGTGGCCGGCTTATTGGTTGTACTATTTGGTGGTTCCAAAGAGAATGGCCATATCATTGAAGACTGACGTTTATCCCTGCATATATTAGGGTGAGAAATTATAGCAGGAGAATGTTCATCAGAATTTGACAACCAAACTAAACCGTAATTTCCACAGTATCTGTGTATAACTAGGGTTATTTCTCTAATCAGGAGTGTACAAATGCCCCTTGTTAGTGATAAAATGAATCAATGGGGAAGTTCATGTGTACAAAAACCGTTGATCTTGCATGAGATAGTTTTTTTTTCATTAAGGTCCTCTATTTACTTTCCGTCTTTAGAAGCTGGGGATGGTATGGTTTATAGTACAATGTTGTATAATACATATAGCTAAATTTTGCGGATCTCACCGCCATTCTCCTACTCGCTCAAATCTCTTAACCATGCGTGTAGCTTCCATAATAACAAGCATGCGGGATAGGTCGACGGAAGTAATCTTAGCTTCCACAACGCTCAGGATATCCACATCAGACATTTCAGGAGGCGTGACAATTTGACACCGTACTCCTAGGGAGGTTATGACACCTGAATAACCTTGTGCGAACTGTGATCCGACCAGGGCAGTAGCGTTGTACGGTCTATGAACCAGGCAAGTGAAGGTTTCCGGTAGGCGGCATTCGCCGAAATAGAACGCACGGAACAGGAGCATACATGCCCAAAATTGTTTCGACGCCGAGTCGATATCCCTTATACGACTACGCTTCCAACGAGATTGCGAGATAAAGTTGTCTACATCCAGCCGGGAAAACGGGAGGACGGACTCATCGGTGGTAGCGTCAAACCGGCGACCATGCTCACGCTCGAAGCGCAGTGCAGCCTCGATCTGATAATGGGCCATGACATCGGTATATCGTCGCAAAGGACTCGTGGACTTCACATAGGCATCAAGTCCCAGGGGCGCGTGATGAGTGGGGCTGGATGAAGAGATGCCTTTTGGAGCCGCCAACTGCAGCCATGCCTTCCCCCCATAGTCCGTCATGTTGCTGTTGGTCAACTTCGGGTATTCGGGATGGTAGAACGTTCCATCAAATACGGCGGGGATGTTGCGTTCAGCCAACCATTTGCCGGAAACGTAACATGCTAAATTCATCAAGGTCGAAATAAGATTGCGTTTCGTTAAATCAGGCACCTCATGCGGATCAACGTTTCGTGGACGGAGTTGAATAATAGGGTCCCCGAGCATATACCGGCCCTCTGTCAATTGCATGTGGTATGGCTTCAATGGTGCGTTGCCAGCAGTGACTGAAACAGGGGTATCCAGGGACGATGGCCACTCCATTGCACCATTCCTTCGTCGGTGTTCCCGGAACGCGAGCATCAACTTTCTCAGAGTGTGGAAGGTCTCTTCATCCTCTGAAGATAACTTTTCTCGTAGATTGTTGCGAGTATGTTCGCTGGAGTACTCCCCTCCTACCGTCAACGGTTCCAGAACCTCCTGTGGTTCGGGCTCGAATAGGCTGCGTAGTTTATCATGCGTGACGTAGATAACATTTCTAGCTATGCCATTGGCAATTTCGGTATCCAATATGTCGCCCTGTAGGTTCATCTTGGCACTGAATGTCAATGTCGGGCGTCCAGGCGCCAAACTGAAGTGCTCTTGCGTTAACGTGTTAGGTAGCATAGGATATGTTCGCTCCGGAGTATAAACTGTCTGAACACGAGAGGCCGCATATTCCATGATCAATTCATGAGGGTTAACAAATGCAGTTGGATTAGCGACATGAACACGGATCCAGAAAGTGTCATCTGACCCCGGTATGCGCTCCAGAGAAACACCGTCATCAATCTCCTGTGCACCAGGGTCATCTACACAGTAAACCGGTAGGTCGCCGAAGTCTGTCCGCATACTCTCCATCTTGTCTGTGATACCCTCAGAGTTTAATTCCTCACAGGCCCGTTGTACATCCTCCCACATTTTGTCTGACTGGAGGGATACACCATGTCCCGGAAGTGCCAAATTTTGATCCAGTAATCGCAAATTCTCCCATGGGGCCACAACCCCCAACTCTTGCAAGAAAAGAGCAGCCGTACCTGCATTCGTGTCCAGAGCACTATACATTCCTGTGGCACGCATAATGTGCGACCCAGCCGAGCGAAGAATTCCAGATGTCATCCGTCGGGGAGGAATACACCAGAGCTGAAGATATTCGATGATCATACGATCAGTGTAACTAAATTTCTCCGTCAAGACCTCACGATAAACCAAAGGCTTCCCATCTTGTCCAGGCTGATATCGCTGCGCTGTTGGACCGACAGAAGCTAGTATTGTTGGAGACCTAACTTTTCGGCTGAGCCTTATAAGACGCTGGGCTTTCTGGATGAATTGCTGGATGGGATGGTCTTTCAGATTAGGCACCTCGTTTCCTGTGACGGCGCGGATAAGGTACTCTTGGTGTTCATGCACCCATGTGATGATTGTGTCGAGTATATGGGCGACTCGCCTCGGTTGAACGAAATAGTGGTCGGTGAAGATGGAGCTCCGATCATTCTCGATGAGAAAGGAATTTCGACGAATGGCCCGATGTACGGCAAACAAGATCTTATCGTCCACTTGGTCACTTGTGATATCGAGCGCTTTACAAGCCAGATTTTCCAGTGTAAACTCTAGTTTCTCTTCCTCGTCCGCCACGATTTCATGTATATTGTCCAGCCGATAAGCATTCGCTTGGTAGAATTGATGAACCTGTTCGTTGAAATCATTGATCATCCGCAAAATAGGCGCACCAGTCGGCCTCGGTACCCCTCCTTCTATAGCTGATTGCATTTCCAAGCTGAGCTGTGCGAGAGCGTCCGGGAAATGGGGTAGCAAAGGGGCCACCAGTTCTCGCGGGACGAACCCCTTTATCACGAAGTCTAGATCCTTTGCAAAAGCTATGCGCCATTTTCCTCGGTCAGTGTAGAATTGCTGCTGCTTACAGACCGACCGAACGTAAACGGCAAGATTCAGGATACCTTCGGCACTTTCAGGAACCAGTCAGTACGTTTGAGACAGCCGCTGACAATGAGGGGCAGCATACGAGGACAGTGCCACTAGATCTCCCGGCTCCAAAAAGTCATGCATTCCTTCCCCTTCTTCAGCAATGTTTTCAAAGTCCGAAACATCTTCGTCGGTCTCCCGCAGGGCATCGCTACCTGCATCATGCGCTTCTCGGTAGTCGTTTAGCATGTTTCCAACCCAAGGCGCCGAAGCATCTAATGTATTCGATGTCCCGGGCCCTCGGACAGGATCTAAAGGGTTCGGATGACTCTCCTGCCATTTTCGCAAATATTCCCGGATATCTTTATTCTCCTCGAACTCGGATTTAAGACGGATGTCTTCGATGGAAGTGGAAGATCTTAGGAGGTCTTGCGGGGGGCTCTAAAACTGGTCAGGGAAGTCACGACTGCAACCAATATTGAGTATTCCACACCTTTACTTCACTATAATATCTGCCCGACCCGTCGCGGCGTAATGGAAACCGATTGCGTTGAGTGAGCGAACGAAAGCGAGAAACAACTCCGGAGATCGAGGTCGCTGAACGGTTCCGGCTGATTATATTCACTTCAGCCACGCTCCGTGATACTCGACTCCTCAGTAGAGTTAAAGACATCATGGAGCATTATAATGCCCAAGTCCACAGTAGAACCCTTCAATCAAGACTGAAGAGACGTAGCAAACAACATTGTCGAAGCAGTTCCAGCGCCGCAAAGCCTGCTGGATAGCCCCGGCAGAATATCCTCCACCGCCAGGGCGGTGAGTCCCAAAACATATCCGTGGTTAGTTCCTAGTTCGGTTTAGCGTTTGGAACTTATGAATAGCCTATTTACTCGTCTTTCGGTACCGAGTACGCTCTACTGCGTACTCCAATACTGTGCATATCCTCTTTCATTGAACCGCCTGGTCTTCTACTTGCTTGAGCTCCATGGCTGGCCAGCACTTCTATCTCAGTACCTTTATCTGAAGGTGCAAAATTACGAGATACCAAGCAATTAGTCACTCATGTTTAATGAGAGTCGCGACCAGCAAACGGACTGTTTCTAAATCAGTCTCTGTTGCGGGTCCTGATTTGTCGGCAATTCTATCCACAACCCTTGTCGATGGAGCTTTATGCAGCTTGGCTTTACAGGGATAGGAATTGACAGATGCCTGGAGTCCTGGACTCAATCCCTTTCCGGCAAATCATCTGCTGACGGAGATTTCTTTGCCGATACCCGCTATGATATAGCCGTGGCGGTCTAATCGCACCGCAATGCCGTCAAAAAGGGCCATGAATTGCTGACACTTTCTTCTGTTCGCCTTGTTTACTGCTTTGGGATGATAAGCATAGCTCAAGTGCACCGCGGATTTGCCACACCCAAACTACGGATACTTGCTTGGCATTCTACCGGCTCCTCGGTCTCTGGATAGACCCTAAACTCGGTTCTCCGCTGTCTCCACGTCTACACACAAAAGAAATGTATGGTTGCAGTGCAAATCCTCGGCTGCCTTGCGTTTATAGAAGACCGTGTCTATCGTCTTTACATGTGAAAGGTGATAGTCGAGGTGTTGGCCATTCGGGTTCCTTTCGGCAATTGCCAAGCATTCGACTCTCCTCATCGAGTGTCGATCAGGCGAAACCATGCAATATATCCATGAATTAAATCCTTTAACCTTATACTCTAGTCTAAGTCTCCTAGGGCCTGTTCATCATTTCCTGAATTGTACAACCGAGTCAGGTCAAAGCCTCATCTGTCAACGTCCCAATAATCGCGCTGACACCAGTCGTGCATGGGGTATTTCCCCGCATAATGTTAAAAGAATAACTTCGCAAATGCCGTGCTATTCAGAATCGCTTAAGTGATCTGAGTTGTGCTATGCATTTAGCGTGATGACTTTCCAAAAAACATTCCTCAAGGGTTCATTCTTGTGGAGAACGATATGTGCTGAGAATGAAATACTCCGTGCCCCTGATCCATACGATGTTTTTTTGCTACTGCCAACGTCAGCATTAAGACCTCGGATATTAGGTACATCTTTCCCCTGGCTTAGTCCCTTAATAAGGATTTTATTGACTACCATTCCCTCCAGTTTCCATCAAACTCCTGAAACTCAACGAATAACCTGGTCTGAGGCACCCGGTGTGGATACGCGGATTTGGGGATGACTACCAAGTTATTACAAAGGCTTTTCTAGGAACTTTTCCATTAGCAATACACAGCGCCAGTTCCGGGCTGTGTACTAGTAAACTAAACGTTGATCTCCGGTTCGATCGGAGGTCCACTTCACTACCATGGAACCTATACTAACTTGGCACGGACAACCATCGAGGATTATATTCCTATTAGGAAACGCATAGACCCTCTTCTTCCGGCTACAAGTCTGCTCATATGCTAGGTTTTGGCAATTCAGACGCCCATAGCCGACATCGTTTTCGGATTTTGAGCCTATGCCATAGGCCGCACGGGGATCAGCAGAGGGACCTGGTCTCGGGGCAATGGAGCCATTCTCCAGAACCCAGGTCTTCCTTTACCTAAGTCCCAGAACCAGTTTTCGACACGGCTCCACTGCTGTTGGTAGTGTGATCGTGACGGTGGAGCCATTGAACCCTGAAGAAGGCTATCATTGCCAGGCGATACTATTCCCTCTGGTAGTTCGAAGACCCCTTTCCGGTCCCTGCCCAACTGCCATAGCACATACATATATAGCGCTTTTCCCGTACGCATTTTAGTGACTATAGTATCATAAATTAAATTTGTGACCTATATAATCCACTTATTCCATCTTCCCTGCTCCATTATCATCTACATTGACCACCATGAAAACCGGCCAAATATGGCGAACAGCCATAGTGGCTTCCCTGGCTGCTTTTGGTTCTTTCGCAACAGCAGCAGACATATGCTCCAAGCTCGATCAGCAAGGAATAGCAATCGAAAATCGTCTGACCATCTCGTTCCTCAAAGTTCTGAAGGACTACTGGTCCACCGCGTGCGGCGATCTTCGCCCAACATGTATCGCCTCCCCCAAGAGCGCTCTTGAGATGTCTCAGATCGTCAAGGAGCTCCATGATGTTGATACCTTGTTTGCGGTCAAGTCCGGTGGACATATGCCCAACAATGGCTTCGCCAGCATTCAGGACGGACTCCTCATCTCTACCCAAAACCTTAACAACGTCATATATAATGCCGAGGATCAGACCGCTATCATCGGACCAGGGCTTTCTTGGGAAGATGCACAGAAGGGCCTGGATGGAACTGGTCGGACCCTTGTTGGTGGTCGCCTTGGTGGTGTGGGTGTGGGTGGATATATGCTTGGAGGTACAGTACCCTCTCTTTCTTCCCCTAGTAACTCGAACAATTGGCTAACTTCTTCTGTGGTACATAGGTGGCCTGAGTTTCTTGAGCTCTCAGTATGGCTGGGCAGCGAATAACGTCATTAACTTCGAGGTCGTTCTTGCGAACGGCACCATTGTGAACGCAAACGAGAAGGAAAACACCGGTAGGCAAATATCCATAACGAGTTGGGACCAGAGGCAAAGAGTGACAGTGGAACAATAGACCTCTTCGCAGCCCTCAAGGGAGGTGGAAACAACTTCGGCATTGTCACGGCTTATACCCTCCAGACACATCCAATGGACCATAAGGTTCGTCAACACTCCAAGTCAAGAAGAAGTGTTTCATATTTATCTAACCATCACAGGTCTGGGGAGGCAATTACGTCTTCAGTTCGGACAAGACGCCCCAAGTTCTCGAAGCCATCCGTGACTTCACCGAAAACTACCCCGATGACAAGGCCGCCATCATCGTGACGGCCGAGCATGCCGCGCTTATCAACACATGGATCATGTTCCTCTTCTACGACGGACCGGAGCCTCCGCAGGGCGTCTTCGATCGATTCAAGGCCATTGGGCCATTGGACACGACCAAGACGTGGGATAGCTACTACGATTTGGTTCGCACCCTACTTCTAACCAGACTACCCAGCAAGCTAACGGGTGGCCACAGCTCAAACACAACGACTTCTTCATCTTGAAGTAAGGCAGCCTATCAACATATATTAGTAAGAATAGTGTACTAATTAAAGCAGGGGCCAACGATATACCATCGCAACAGAAACAACACCAGTTCCCAACAAAACTGTCGGCGCCGAGGTCATGCAAACGTACTACGACCATTGGTTTAACATCACAAATACGGTCCTGGGCGTCCCAAATATGATTGGCTCCATCGCATTCCAGCCGATGCCCAGAACGATCGCGCAAAAAGCTCAGGCCCGTGGCGGAGTAAGTTCTGTAACTTCCTAAGCCCTAGCCACAGCGGCTAATTTCACATATCATGCCATTAGGACCTGATCAACTTTCCCACTGATCAGGATTATATCGTTATCGAATTGGACTTCTCCTATGCCTTCTCGGCAAGTGACGAGAAGATCGACGCCGCGAACAAAAACCTATTCAACGGGTTCGGTAGGATTATTTCGAATTACGTTGACGAAGGCGTGCTACCAGACGTTTACAGGCCGTTGTTCATGAACGACGCGAACTACGCGCAAGACTACTGGGGCCGTCTAGGCTCGACTGAGCAGGCGCGCGAGACAAGAAAGAAGTATGATCCCGAGTTATTCTTCCAAAAGCGGACGAGTGGAGGGTTCAGACTTGGATGAGTATGACACGATGCTGCAGATATCCATACCTTTCAGACTATCTATATACACATTATGCATATACCACTCCTATCAATACCACCCTCAATAATATTTCCAATAGTGATTCCAATCTCCTCAGTCCACATCTAGCCCAACCATCAGCTACCCCTCCAATCAAACCCCAACCCCAAAATAACATCCACCAAGCCCAATCCACAACAAACCAAATAAAAACAACCCAATAAAACCATCCCAAACCAAACTCTCCTCCAAATCCTCCCCGTCTCAAGTCCAAATAAGCTCACGCCACCAATTGGTCCAGAGCTTTCCCCGGGAAGCCACCCTAAGCGCCGACGCGGATCTCTCACCCTCAAGCACCCACCACACCCAATCCTGCGTCCCATTTCTATTTCCGGTGCCGCCCTGCAGATATGAATATATGCGCTGGGTCGAGGCTCAACTTCCTTCCCTGTTTGAGCTCGGACGGGGGTCTAGACTTTCTTCCTGGGACTTTGATCATTGAGGATGTGATTTGTCGGTAGGCGCTGGCGATCGGCGGTTGGCGGGTGAGCTTTGATCGTGTGGGTTGAGTCTAGATCTTGGGTTTTGGGTGTGTGCTATATTTGTTTTCGTTGCGTTGGGATTTGGGGACTCGGTTTTGGTATATAAGGGTGCGGGTTGGTCTGGTGAGATGGGAAATACTCTCGGTCAGGTCATCGCATTTTCTACTTAATATTCAGCCACACGTTCCTTTGAGATTTCTTTATTGTCTCCTTGTTGTGAATCACGTTCTTTGTCTTGATATATACATAATAGCGCTCCTTGAACTGTTTCCTCTCTTGTTCTGTTGTGAAAATATCCCGTTATACAGTCATTACATCCTGTCTTGATCGGCAGATATACGCAACCATCCAACATGCCTCAATACGGAGCCCTTGGCGCGACTTTCATGATCGCCCGGATCATCCAGGTCTGCTGCCTTATTGCCATCATCGGATTGACGGCCAACTTCATCGCAGAGATTGTGAACAGTGACCTCACTCCTCCTAGTATCTTTATCGGCACGATCACAGTGGTATGGCCCCAGTCCTAATCCCAATCATACCCTCATTTGAAACAGAGCTCCCAGCCAACAGAGGTTAATTTAAGTTAGACCTGCATCGCAGTAATCTACTGCATAATCACAGCGATTCTTTTCTTCGATAATATTCTCCCCTTCTTGGCCTCCGCCATCGCAGACTTCCTCCTCCTCATCGCTGTCATCGTCGTGGCTGTCATAATCGGAAAGCCACTTTCGTATCTGCAATGTGATAAGATTGCCGAGGTTACCGACAAGATTTCCAGCGCATATGCCTTTGCCACGAAATTGAGCAGCTACCTATCCCACCTGAGCGGGAAGTTGCAGTACGTGACTTTGATTGGTGCGAGCAAGGGGGTTTGCTTGGAGGCGAAGAGTATCTGGGGATTGAGTATTGCTTTGTGGTATGTCCTTTTTCCTCCAGTGTCGTTTCTTTGAGGTTTTCTGTGGACTGGATCTAGTGCTAACGGCAGGCTAGCATCATGTTCTTTTTCTCCATGATCTGTTGCATCTGTCTCTGGAAGCAGAAGAAGGCGAGTGGGACGGAAAAGCTGGATGGCTGAAAGGTTTGCCATGAATAATGTGTATCGGTTATGGGGAATTGATGATAATGTGGTCGGTGGGTATTGTCGAAGCGTTGCCTTGTGACGTAATGCCTTTCTCCTTTGTGATTTCCGTTTTGTCTGTTGTATATTGATCCTGTTTGCCTTAATACTCTCCATTCCCTGAGATTCTCTGTCTGTCTGTCTGCATCCTCCATTCTTTTGTTATTCAGATTCTGCTCCATGTCTTTCATTCATTGTACGTAATCCCTAAATAATCCAATCAGCCAAATCCAACCCCAAGTCCAAACACCAACTCACTAATCTGAAACCATACACAACCTCCTACTCCAACACTTCCCTCCTCGTCCCTTTCTCCGTAGACAAAAAAGATGAATCAATCACCCCGAACTAACAGGCGGAATAACAGCAACCTCATTCCCCGCCTCAATCACCACTCCCTCACAATCCGTGACATCCACATACTCCTCTCCCAGACTCACTCCACAGCTACTCAGTACCTTCTCTTGTATGCCTGGGTACTTGGACTCTAGGACATCGAAGAGCTGGTTGAGGGGTAGTGGTGCGGGGAGAGATTCGGTCTGTTTGCCGGTGTAGGTGGTTGCGGAGGAGAAGTAGTGGATTTGGAAGGTTGGAGTTGTCATTTTTATTTCTGAATTTCTTTCCGTGATCTTTTTTTTCGTTTTGGTTGTGGGGATAAGTAGAATGTTACTTTGTAGATGAAGAAGTCGGAGCAGGAATGAGTGGAAGTTCACGAGGGGGGCCAAGGCTAAACCCGAACCATCCATGTATTTACTTTTATTTTATATATAAATGCGGGGTTGATGTTGATATCATCGCTTATCAGCTACGTGGTTATCTCCGATACACTATGTACTGCAGGAAATTAAACGGAATCAGATGTGTCGATCTGACCATGCCCATTGACGTAGCAAATTATATGTCCATATCATGTCGTAAATCAGATTTTACTCACTCAACGCCCGGAATGCGCCTACCAAATCCCTCCGGAGGTCTTCCCAATTCTCTAATCCTACACTGATCCGCAATAACCGGCGATCCACCGTCGCATCACTCATCGTTCGCCACTCAATTAAGGTCTCCACGCCTCCGAGGCTGGTGGCATGCTGGAAGAAAGCGAGCTTACTGGGGAGCTTACGCGCATAGTCCTCGGTTTTCATGCTGATCGAAAACACAGGTCCGAACCCGTTCGGCATCTGTTTGAGCAACCACGACTCATCCTCTTTCTGCAGGCTGGCGTGGAATACCTGCTGCAGAGCAGCCTGGGTCACAGCCTCGTCGCTGCCAGGGGCTGGGTTTTGCGCCTGCAGCGCGTTGTTCAACCATGTGACCAGGTTCGTGGCATTCTGGCTCTGTCGCTGCACGCGAACCTCCAGGGTCCGCAAACTGCGCGTACCCAGCCAGCTCTCCATATTGCCCATTACACTACCCAAAAACATCCGATCCTCGAACAGCCGCCGGGCCCAATCACTCCGCTGTGTGGCAAGAACACCACAAAGGAGGTCGCTGTGTCCACCGAAGTATTTGGTACCAGAATGCATGACCAAGTCTGCACCCCATTGGAACGGGTCCTGCAGACCCGGCGGAGCAAAGGTGCTATCCACAATAAGATACGCCCCGCGCGAGTGGGCCTTCTTGGCGTATTCTTCGATGTTGAAAGCGGTGCCTTCGGGGTTGACTGGGGTCTCCAGAAGGATAGCATCTCCCGACTCTAATTGCTCAGCGGGGCAATCGAGGTCCAGCTTTTGAAGACCGGTGAGACGGCCGAACAGCTTAATAACACCGTGGCATCCATGGTATCCGTTTCCAACTGCGATTCGGCGAGGATTCAGGAGGACGAGTGCTGCATGCAAGGCCGATAGACCGGACGAGTAACTGATCGCCTCACCATGGAGAAGTGAAGACAGGAGGGCTTCAAATCGGTTCAAATTAGGTGACGTCAGACGAGAATAAATATGCTTCGTCTTTTCCTGATCATACTAAAGCGAAGCTATCAGACCGGCTCAACAAATTGCATAGAATGGCTGAGAATCAAAGGAACATACACCACTGAGATCTGCGGCTGGCACGAGGTCCTCAGGATCATCAGGGTACCGGAACGTAGTGGAAAGGTGTAGCGGAGGGGCTACATCGGTGACCACGTTCAGCGCCTCATCTGCATGCAAGGCATGCGTAGCAGCGGCAATGTTGTCATTGGTTGAATTTGGAGCCATTGTACAGTATGGGACCTGAGAATGGCTTGGAAAGAGGGAAGAGCAAGGGTCGTGGGCTGGAACAGCGGATTCCACGCCAGGTTCTTGAAAGAAGTGGGGGAAAGACTGGAAGAGAGGGGTGACACGTGACACGTGGGTCCGCCGTTCAATTGCGTGATATTCATATCATATATACAAGTCATCAATGGTGGCCACATAGATACAGTGTCATTTGGTAGACGCGGGTTTACCGCCGAAGAGAACTCATTCGAGATGCTTCCCGAGACGATCCTGGAAGAGCAGCATGCAGATTGGCTCGGTCTAGATCGGAAAGTGTTAGCGCAGCCTACCATTCCGTCGGGGGGGGGGACAAATCATACCAGCTTCAGAATCGAAGCCAATCGAAATATCATCATTCTCGCTAGGGAAATCGGGCATGTCCAAGCAGATGAAACTAGACATGGGATCATCGCCGGTTTTTGGTAGCGCAAACTTGGCATCACACAGCTTAATGCAAAACTTGCCCGAGCGGGTGAAGTTTTCGTATACATCGGTGCCTTTGAGTACAAAGTTCATGCACTTTCCATGGTGGAAGTCATTCAAGAACGCTATCAATTGTATAACCTTGTCATGTTGAACCACTTGAATCCGGGCTCTAGTTGATTCCCACTTCTTCGTGATTGGGACCACCATGCGGCGTCGTGATATCGTGAACGAAGTAGCAATACTGTCTCCGTTAGTCTTTGGTGAGACCTGCGCAACAAAGAAAATTTATCATACCCGTCGTATAGCACGTTGAATCCCGTGACAGCGGCTTCAAACTTGTGGAGGTCTGCTAAAGTCAGTAACTAGGTAGGATAAGCGCTGCTTGGCAAGAATAAGTACCTTTGACAGTCGCAAAGTCAAACCGGCGGACCATTGGCTTCACCATCGCGACCTGCATGAAATCCGCAAAACGGTCTGGCATTTCAGGAGTGGTGAGATTCTCGGCGATTGAAACGGTCAGATCATGTTGTCCGGGCCGGTACAGACTAAGGCCCGTACGGTTGTTGATTTCCAGACCCAATTTCAACTCGCCAGGCCCTAACGCAGTATTAGCAGTAGCTCAGCGAGACCGGACTATGCGGCATACCAAGGTTGATACGGTCCGTTACAGATCCCCATTCTGTCGCCACGAAAGCCCGTAGATGTTCGGAGAGAATAGTTGGGCCATATTGATGGTCGACAAAAGCGTGCTCCTGGTCAATAACCGACACACTACCAGCAGGAAATTGTAAGTGGGCTGTTTCCGGCTGACCGTTGAATCGATCAGCTGGCTGTTCGATCGAGTAGGCGCGGATAGGAATGTCAGGTGTCTTAATCTCCCCTTCTTTGGTTGTCATCCCAAGTAGGAGAGAATGCAGGACACTACGCTCCTCGACGTCGTGAAATGTCATTAGCATGGAACGACTCCTGCCATCCTGTTTGACTTTGAGCATGAGAGCCGGTGCTCCATCTTCGCCTCTGAGAAGACCAAACACGATTGGTGCATTATGACCAATGATGTGGCTTACGTTACTGAGCGTCTTGACCTTGGGGCTTGTGAGAACTGCGATACGGTAGCCTTGGTGTAATTCGCGGCTACCAGTGCCCTCGGTCACGGTCATGGAGCGCTCAAACAGCCGAACGCGGCAGCGCTCAATAGGTTCGGCAGGGAACGCCTTGCTCTTGCTAGGATCCATGTATTGGAAAACCTTCAGGGTTGTTTCATAGATCGTAGTCTCATCGGATTTCGGCTGCAAACTAGCTTCGGTTTGCTGTGTATATTGCACAATGTTCCACAGATTTTTGAAATCATCCTCTTGGAACATAACATCCAACTGGAACCCACGGGGAAGTTTTACCTGCATAAAGCTTGATCGCACGCGCCAGTGCACATCTTTCCATGTAGGGCCCTTTTTCTTATCTGACTGTATCATGACATTGACCAATTCATTCTGACTGGTAATTGAGGCGAACACGTACCAGTCGGCCCGGTCACGGATAATTGACAATACGCACGGCAGAGGTTCGTTATGGTGAGTACCATCCTCACTTGAGCTCACCATAACCTTCACAAACATGCTTCCATAGCTGAAATATCGGCTTGTATCACCTAGTGGCATAGTCTGTACCAGATTCGGCCCTTCTCCAGATTTGTCGACCAACATAGACCTCGTGGCAGTGCCAGAAAGGATGGCTGAGACATCTGGAGCAAAGGCAGGATACTTTAACCACATACTCGTGTCAGCCTGGATTCCTGCACCGCCTGTGGCATCAATTGAGGTAATAATATTGTTCCTTTTGATAGACATCGCCAAAGAGCGCAAGTGATTTAAGATCGTTTGGTGCAAGCCCAGGAGGTCAGCTAAGCGTTTGTCGTTGGTTGTGTTTGCTACTGCTAGCAAGGCGTCGACGCTCATCGCGCCGTAACGGGCTAACTCGTTGTGTTTAGGAATAACGTTTTCACATATCCACAATGCTTTACCAAGATCAACCACGGCCTGTTTCGCGGTTTCCGTAGAGCTTGACTGCTGCGGGCTGGAACCGGAGCTCGAGGGGCGAGATCGTGCGTACACCTCAAGTGTTTTCTTCCCGCGCATAAACCACCATACTGCAGCCCTCACCCACTCTGTGAGCGAATACTCCATCAAGGACTTCTTCCTCTCTGCATCATGTCTAATGAGGCTTTCGTGCTGCGCTACAAAAGTCTTAAGGTCCGTGAAAGCAGCGTCACCAAACTGGTTAGCGATAGATCGTAAGGACATCTTGGGAACTTGAGGGTTTCGTGGAGCGTCACGACTGTCTCGACTGCTTGGGCGACCTGGGCTATCCATGGCAGAGTCCCTCGAAGGAGGCAGCGGTTTTGGAGGCGAGGTGCTCATCGTCACACTAGCGGGGGTGAGGCCAGAAGGTAATGTAGGCTCAATCGGCGGAGAAACTGGTCCTCGCGATGGGGGGCTGGCAGGGCTTCGGAAAGGGTTGGCTTCTGGTTCGGCCTCGTCTTCTGAAATCGGAGGCGTTTCATACTCGGAGCTTGGACTATCGGGCACTGCTGGGGCCACTGGGGCCAATGGGATCGGCCCTTGCCCTTCCTTATTGTCATTACTCGGTGACGGGGGATCTTGATAACGATGTTGCAGAGCACGACCTTCCTCAGCTTGCATCCTATCCCGGACTCGCTGTGCAAACGTACTGGATTCTGGCGACGCTCGGAATGACAAGCGAGACCCGGGCTGGCCCATGTTTAGTGTCATGAGAAAATCCGAATCCTGAGGACTCTGTAAAAACAACGGCTTGGTCGCTGCGGGGTTGATCTTGTCTTGCGTGTTCGTACGCTGATGCCGTGATGCAAACCCGCCTCCCAAAGAGGTATCGAGGTGAAGCTGAGGGAGTGTTGGTTGACGAGAATCCAGTCTGTCTCCTTGTTGACTTGACCCGTGACTGTTTTGACGATTGCGATTCTTGGATATCACCACCGTGGGCGTTTCCGATTCGTCACCACCCTCGCCGATCAGCTCGGGCGCCCTCTCAGTGAACTTGACTCGCAGGCCTTTCCGAGCGGGGTTTTTCGGGGGAGCCCTTGGAAAGCTCATCGATGGGTAGCTATCGGTAGCCGAAGCGGGTTTCGCGATGGGAGAGGCTTCTGAAACATCTTGGGATGACGACGACTGCCACCGTTGTGAGACATCTAAACGTGGCGTTGGAAGTCCCCGCGAAGCCCCAGCAGTCGAGTGAGCTCCATGAGATCCATACGATACAGTATTCGAACGAACGGGGGCTAGAAACGACTCAATCTGCTGGTCAGTCGCACCCCCACCCCTGCCACCGCCGTCAACCGCGCCCTTACTTTGTTTATCCTTCGAAAATAGTTTTTCTCGCCATCGAGGTTTCGTAGTCGGTTTCCGCTGGGGAGTGGCTTTGGTGTCACCCAAGAAGGCGAAAGGGTCATCTGTAGACATATTCACTATGTTTGTCACTGATAGTTGGTATCGTGTTCTATAGAAGCATGGCAAGTTTGGTAAGATCAGACGATAAGGGTCTTTAGGCCTTGTCTGTACTTTCCCCCGCCAAATCTGACGTTATAGTGCTTGTGCGCCGACAGGGGATCGACAGGGGGACTAAGCTAGTCCTAGCGTTGCGATTTGGTGTGGTCACGCAAATGCCTTTCAGGTCCAGGGAGATTTAAGGAATTGCGACTCGGAGAACAGCCAAGGATGACAAGGAGCGGCGGGGTAGAAGAACGGCTGTTACCCTGGGAGAACGTTATCCTGTCCCAGGAAAATGTTGTTTGAGAGCGATCGGGGAGTCCAGGCGGAACGGGGAGGCGAGAGGTGATAATAAAACGCTCAGGGTCGGACAGCTTCCAGCGCAGAAATTCGTCACCAGGTGAACTGGTACTATCGGGGGCTAGGAGACAGGCGTGATTGCCTTCGTTGTTTAGTGGAGTAGGGGACCGGCGATCTGCCAAAACCAATCAATTAGAACGACCATTCACAGACGGAGTTGGCGACCAAGCGGCATTAGAGCAGTGCTCAGGGGGAGCATGGAAATTAGGCCATGGAGCTAGACAAACCTAAGGTCCAAGGCGTTTAGATAAATCTGCTGAAGTCCCGCGCCCCAATTGCGCACGAGGGGGGAGTATCTGGAGTGGAAGTGGAGGAGGAAGTGGGCTATTGAGTAAGTGACAGACGATAAAGTATCAAGCTGAGCCAGCAGCTCTCTTTGTTCCTCGGACGGCTGTAGACGGCGAAGAAGGAGAAACTCGCTCTTCAGAACAAATGGATACTACGAATAGTAAGTTAGAGAAGACAAAGAAAGAAAGAAAGAAATCGAGAAGAGAGCCAGAGGAAAAGGCCGCGCGAGGGAGTATGAAAGTGGACATGGTACGACCTCCGTGCTATTAAACATGTCGCCGACCGAAAGGCGGGTAAACTTGCTGTAATACTGACTGGGTGGACAGTAAACTTGGCCTAAGGCCGCTTCTCCGCAATACTAAGTCAGGGAACTCCCCAATCTCAAGACTATCCAGCCATTCACATTCGACCGACTATCCTACACTAGATTACATTCCGGACGGTAATGGTTTAGCCTTATCATTCTCTACGCACAATGGTTCGTTCCTAATGCACATCGGTTTTCATAAAATGAGAATGTCTTACACTTTTTCATTTTTTTTTAATAATAATCCTACTATTTAGGACTAGTCAGAGCAGTAGGAAATACCAGAAAACGAGACGAAGGATGATTGTTTAATTGTTGAATGATGATCACGTGGGCTCTGTCCGGGAGAAGACACTGTCATTTAATTACATACATACATACTCCATACATACCATACCGCAATGTCAGAGTTCAAGCAAATAGATTGGACTTACTGTAGGTTCGCAATAGTACGTACTCCTACAGGGGACCCTAACCTTAGGTTAGGTAGGTATCCTTTACTTGCAACCAGGTCCCATGATTCGCGTAATCTTAAGCACTCAGGATTCCTGCACCGCCTCTTTCTAAAACCGCCAGCTATTCATGTCTCAGGAGAAGATCCTCCCAACCTCCTCGACCACTATGTACCCTTGGGATAAAATAATAATATGGTCAAGCCAACTGAAGGCCACTGGTCATCACACGAGCGGCAAGTGAAACCCCTACCTATGGGGTCGTGCGACTAGATTAAAATGGATCACGGGAACTGACATGGTCCCTACACAATGCAAGAATGGTAGTTGATATTTACTCCATACTAGAAGTACTTAGTAGGACCATCCATCATTAGTAGCTGTAAGTTTACCGGAATCCCTGCCGCTTTATCAAGGGAACTTGAACACATTCACCATTTTCCCGTCTCTGAACCAATCATGAAACAGTCCCACTCCCCTCCTGGACTTTCACAAGCCCTCATCTTGAAACAACACTAGACCTATCTGGCATGGGCCCCGCATTGCTCTAACCCCCTTTGGGACAAAGTTGCTGATTATCGAGTGGACCGCTGACGACCCCAAAAAGCCGCCCTAACCTTGGAGGAAGCGCCCATGCTAGGGGGTGAAAGAGATGGAAACTCCCATTGTCCGATTCATCATTTGATATCCAGGGTTCATGACATAACATATGTCCATACATACAGACCAGATGACAAGATATATACACCTAGAAGAACACCCTCATTTGAAACAATCCAACCTTGAAACCCTACAGAGCTAGCTACCCTCTTACTAGGACAATTCCAAGTTAACCATGGATGCCTAGGGCCGAGGAAAAGATCGATGGGGGTCTCAGTGGGCACCGCGGACGATGTTGCAATTCAATGACGGTCCCGCCACGTTGATGTTCGCTTATTTTATTATTTTATTTTATTTTATTTTTATTATTATTATTTATTATGGAGTTGTTTATTTTTTGATTTTTTGATTTTTTTTTTTTTTTTTTTCAGATCCTTCATTTTCTTCCATTAGAGGACAATCGTAAGTAAACAAAAAATTCCCTCCAGGTCCGAATGATTGACATGCTATGAGCTGGCTTATTCCCGCGGTTAGTACGCGAATGAGCCAAATAACGTCACATTAAATTTGATCAATTAACACTGGGCACGTCCCTCTATTTCGTATCACTTAATACCCGAGCTATAATTCCATAGTGATAATGTCTTACCATCTGGATATTTCCAGAGCGACAGCGCAAGCCACAAAAAATTTCACACCAAAGTTCAAACAGCTAGAAGTCATACTAGCCCTGTTCTATGCTACTACATCTGAAACTCCTTTGACAGACTACTGATCTGGCATGGGGTGAGCCCTGAAACACCAGACATGTCTTTGATGGATGACAGCAAAAGCTTGGCAGGGACAATTTTTATTCACTTATGAGGGAAAAGCCAACAGGGAAACGGTCCTCTCACATTCACACTTCTTGTAATCTAGCCGTATACCATGAGCTTTGATTGTCTTCTTGGAGCGCCCTTCTACCTACGGAGCTCCTCGGTCACGTAAACCCATCAAGAAAAAAGAAAAAGTACCAAAAGAACACAAGTAGGGTATGATCGATCCCTTGCTGACGGCAACGCCCCTATGGAGACCCGCCAACGATGCGCCCTAAAAGGCATCATGTCCAGTGCCTGGTTTCCAAAGGAGCCGAGTATCAAATGAGCCAAGATCGGTAGGTGTCTGTCCATAACCTCGGCTTTCCTCTTCCATCCTTCCCGGCGCATTCTGCGGCCGATAACTAGCCACATAACTTTGAATGGCAAACCACAATCCGCTAGTCATGTCATGGCATATCTTGGACCTCTTCAGGAGGCGAGGTAGGGTCAGAGTTCATACTTAATGGTAAGGAATAGTTTCGTAAAGGTTTAACGTCCTCTTGACAGTTGTCATCTTGGATGGGTCGTGTCGTTACAGTTAATGTTGACACCTTAAAACGATCTTATTGCACACAGTACATGAGCTTTGGATTGAGGAAGAAGTATTGTGGGTTTTATTATGTTTTATTCTTTTGAGAAAAAGTATTCTTATAATTAAAATTATATATGGACTATATGCGATATATGGTAATTCGCCTTAGGCTCGACCTAAAGAAATAAAAACGAAAAGAAAAGAATAAAGAACAAACACGAGTAGTTTGGTTCGATTCCATGTTCTGGGAAGTGTACGTATGTACATACGTACATATGTAGTCACTTTGCCATACTAAGTTTTAAGAGCCAACACATCTCCCGATTGCGGTTTGCCCGTCTTGTCGCTTCCCCAGGTGTGGTCCACGGCGCTAACATGTTGGGAGCGTCCAATACATATGCAGTAGGCAGCGACATTTTGAACCCCTTAATTAAGAAGAGGGACAGAAATTCCCATTCAACAAACATGGGAGCGCTGTGGAAAGATCTTTGGCTGTAGAAGCAGCGTTTTGCAGTGGTTGGTGCTCTGTATGCAGAGCGGCATCATTCAATTGAAGTTTATATACAACCCGATGCAAGGAGACAAAGTGTTAGTACCAAGCCGATTTGATACCGTTGAATAGTTATGTAGTTGGTCATTAACGGTTACTATGTTTACACGGCTGATTGTCAATGCTTAGATGATTAAACACCAATCAATCACTGGGAAGTAGTAATTAGAACGCCGAGAACAAGAATCCACCAACTCTTTGGCTCTCTCTGTTTTCAGTGGTTTTAGCAGGGCTATAGTAGCAACGGTTGAAATTTCTAAGCATGACACATTTAATACAGCTCCGGATCTAGCACGTGCAATAAATCGAGAAATTCAGACTACCAGAGATACAAACGCATTTACAGCACAGACAGAAAATCTTTAACATGCGCCTCGGGAGCTTGTCGAATAAACTGAGGGCATACAGTCAATGTCCCATTCCCGATGTCGGGGAAAGCAATATATATCTGAGCTTCAATCCACTCTCTGACATGGTAGCACAACGATGTTTTGTTTTTGAAGAATACGATCGCCGGGAAAACTGATCTTACGCATGTTCAGTTGCTTTCGAGCCCACTCACATGCATGCAAACTTGTAGGTAGCCCATCACAGGAAAAAACACGAGGGGCAGCGACCAATGGATTTCGGCATCATCAGCAAGGAGGATTTGCGGTCGATAGAATAATTTGACGCATAAATTCCTCTGACAGCGACCATAACCTCTCTTCTTGGAGTTTCCACCGTGAGCACTAAGCTAAGTCGACTAGTAAGTGGGTTCCGTAAGAGGTATCCATACGAGGGTCCAGAGCCGGTTAATTCTGGTTGGTCACCATAGACAGTGGGAGTTCGATCGACTCTATCGACTATCGACCGATCCTCAGACTCTGTGAAACCGGAGTTAGAATAGATATCAAACTACACAGTACATCCCTCATCTTCTTCAAAGGGAAAATCATTCCACAGTGGCCATATAACGTAATGGTCATAATACCAATAGTAACAACAATAGGACTAAGCGAAATCGAAATTCCGTGGTGGTAGGTAATAATAGTGACATGGCTGAGACACGAGTGGGCTGAGAAAGAGGCTGATACGACCGTTGGGTGGTGAGGATGAGTTGTTGTGGTGGTTTGGGATGTGGATGTGGGCTTTTCCTTCGAACTGGTTTTAGTGTTTCCAAGTTTAGCATCAAAAGCCACAGCACCCAATCCATTGATTGGGCTTGAAGCAAAGGGAACAAACATGGCGCAGTCCCCGTCAGCAGTTGGTTTCGGGTCTATTCGACGGAAGCTTTTTGGCCTTCACATTCCAATCAATTTCCAACCTTGTTTTTCTTTTTTCCTTTCTGTCTTGTGGCTCGTACCGGTAAATGCGCTCATTTGTGTAACGAAAAGAAAAAAAAAAAAAAAGGCCAAAAAAAAGATCCCTATCGGCCCGCCATACAGTGAGTGCCAGGCTCCCCTTCACTGTTTACCTCCGCCTGCGCTTTTTGGACCTGGAAATCCCTTCCCCGCCGCCAACTCTCGGAGTTATGGTCCCTATCCCCTACATTTCCATTTTGGGGCAGTTAGAGGAGTAGTTTACTCCTATTCTTATTTGGCCCTTTGATAGCGATTCCTTATTTCGCCACCCTCCCTGCAAATCGATCCTCCCCCCCCGGATTGTTCCCGTTCGCTCTGTTCATCTGGAAGGTTGCGGCTTTACCGAGCCGATTAGGCAGACGCTGATAGCTTCAGAAATCCTCGGATCTTGGTTGGACAACGTGGATTAAATCGTCTACGAGGGGGCTGACCTCCCCAAGGAGGTCATCCTACATATACCTGACGATCGTGATGTGTGTAGACCAACTGGCGAGATGGCATGACCGACGCGCACCTGGGGTTTCCAAACACGAACAGCTATCGTTTCTGTTACGGGGTGAGTGGGATAGCTTGCGATCGTCGCGACGACGTTGGATTCGGTCCGATGGCGGGGGGATAGCGTGGATATTGATGCTACTGTTGGTGATGCTGGTGTCTCCAACCTATGCTGCTCTGGTGAACTTCGACAATTGCTTACCTGCGCCCACTATCGCATCGAACCCACAGAAACTCCAATTTGTCCCGCTCGACGTGTCCGTGAAGTTCGACTTAACGAATTCTCTGCACAACTTAAACATCACGGTATACGGTAATGTTTCTGGGACCGCCGACCAGTCTTCATCGTATCCATCCCCCGATGATCCGCAGTGGGCAAACCAGAACGCAACAGTGGGAAAGATAGTGGACCTGAATACGGCCAACAACAAATACAGTACTCTGATAACGACTATTGACGTGGTTAGCTTCTCCCCATACTCTGGTCCAACTAGGTTCTGCGATGCTACCATCCAAGGAGAGTGCCCGCTGGGACCTGTTTTCTACGCCAATGCGTGAGTATTCAGCCCTACTGTCCAAAACATTGTTGACTAACTAGATGTTGTAAATACTCTTAGGAGCGACTTGAGTTCCTTACGCTCTTTCTCTGTCCAACATGACATGCTTTCGTCATACCGCTTTGCAACCCTGTCGTCAACTCTCTTAATCAAGTCTGGCGATGCAGCGGCCACTGAGCTGGGATGTATATCGGTTGATGTCACTCCAGACCTTGGATCGGCCCTGAAAAGCGCGCTAGCTTATGTGCCCCTTGTCATCCTGATTCTCGTGGGAGTCGCGACCGTAACCGCTGCAATATATAGTCCATGGGGCACTACGGACCCCTTTCATTGGACAAGCAATTATGGCCGCGATGAAGATGTCCTTCGCCTGGTAACACCAGGGTTTGGGGACTGCCTACAGTATATGCAATTCGCGGTGTTGACAGGAGCATTGTCGCTTAACTATCCCGGTTATTATCAACCGGTGGTGAGTCAGGTTGCGTGGTCAACCCTCATGTTTAACCAGAGCTTTCTAAGTCCCGGGAATGAGCGGAATCCTGTAAAGGATGGTGTATACACTGTGAATGGCACTTATGGGCTGGACGCTCTACAACAATATGTTGGAATGGAGTCGGCGCGGGACATCTGGCCGGGGATGATAATATGGTTACTCGCGGTTGTTGTCGCGATCACGCTTATCATCCAGCTCGCCTTTGCATTTCGGTGGCTTCATCGTGAACTTGCCAATATTCCCGAGGAAGACCTACGTTCTAAGAATATGCCGTTCACTGTTGGCAACGTCATTCGAATCGTCTGTAATTATCTATTCTTACCGCTCATTTCACTCTCCTTTTTCCAACTGGTTATCGCTAGACAATCCCCAGCATACTCTGTGGCTCTAGCCGTCGTGGTCATTCTCATCATGATAGCTTTTGCAATCTGGGTCATTCGGTTGATTGCGAGCACGCGTCCCAAATCGTACCTCTTCGATGATCTGCCGACGGTGTTGTTGTATGGTCCACTGTACAACACTTTCTGCGATGATGCGGCCGCTTTTACTGTGGTATCTCTCTTCCTGTCGTTTGCCCGCGGCGTCGCCATTGGTGCACTTCAACCTTCAGGGATTGCTCAAATAGTGCTCCTGGCGATTTGTGAAGTTGTTGCCATTTTGACGCTTGTTGCTTTCCGCCCATTTCCTTCGCCGACGTCTATGAACCTTTACCACGCCTGTTTCTCGATTGTGCGGTTTCTCACCATCCTCTTAAGCGTCGTTTTTGTCCCTTCTTTAGGCGTGTCTCAGGCTGCTCGCGGTTGGATAGGCTACGTTATCCTCTTCCTACACGCAGTCGTTCTAGTTTTTGGGTTCTTTTTGAACGCCCTGCAAACTTTGGTTGAAGTTATAGCTCGACTCGCCGGTGCTGGAGGCTATGAAGGTGGTGTTACCCGTGGTGGCCTCGTCAAGGTATGTACAGTATTATGGACTCCTTCTTTTCCAAGCGTAGCTCTTCTCGTCTGAGTGCTAGACTGACAATGATCTAGGTATTCGGTATGCGGCAACTCTCACGGCGTACGCCAAGACGGAGTGTTGGAACTCGCCAAAGCATGGGCTCCGAGGCTGCGATGCTAGCACACACCGACGAGCGACTGTCTTCTCAGTTTGACGGGTCACGGCCCAGAAGCCTTTCGGGAAGTTCAGCAATGCTTCTCAATCGGGCAGCCGCGAGTGAGGGCAGAACCAGCGCCTTCTACGAGTCGGGCAGTGCCCATGGAGGTACCCATAGTCGAGCCAATAGCAGTGGTCTATTTACACCCACCACGCCTGGTGGCAACCCTACTTTCCAGGGTGCAGGCTACCAGACAACAGGAAGTAATTCTCCGAAAAGCGGTCCTCTTTTCGCCATGCAAGCGCACGACCCGTATTACCGACCTCCAAGGCCTCGCAATAAGAGAGTGGATATGAGTGGAGGAGAGAAAGGTAGAACGGGCGGTCGGCAACGAGCAGGCAGTGACGCCGAAGATGATATAATGGAGGGTCCCATGTCTGAGCGTGGCACACCCGTGCCAGCCTACATTCCTGCGCCGAAAGACGATCTCGATCTGGACGATCCTCGACAGTCCCGCAAAGATTACGCTGTGCGCGAGGTCGACTTCTATTACCGTGTCCGGGGTCCGCCACTGTCGCAAAGTGGTACGCGTAAGCTGAAGACTGGCCCTGCAGATCCCACTGGACCTGTATCGTCTGCCACCGGCTTCTTCCGCAATCTGTTCCGAGGGAAGACTAAAGAAAGCGGCAAAGGATTCGAAGTTGTTCGCAGCGCAAGGGCACCCCCGCCTGGTCTGCTTCCGGAAGGGGATGATGTCCACGAGCCATACCGAGATGAGCCTGACGAACAGGCCACCGCAGGGCACAGTCGTCGAGTATCAGGAAGCGACCGATCATATCCAGATACAGATAGCGATGACAACAACCGAACCGGTGAGGTGCTGATAAGCCTGCCTCAAGTGGAGTCCGGCGGCGCTATTGAGCTGCCCAGTCGCATAGGCTCCCAACATAGCTCACCTTCAGGAGCCCCACAGCCTTCGCGACCTTCTCGGCGTGATTCTCGGTCGTTAGCTATAGAAGATGACACTGCATCTCATAGATCTCTTCCCGTTGTTACTAAAGCTGTTTCGGAGGAGGCCCATTACCCGGCCCCCCAGTTGCATCCTTCCTCATCAGGTACCGGCCGATTGCCGTTCAGTGCTGCCAGTTCCCCTTCACGGGATCGCAACTTCTCTATAGCCTCAACAACTGCGTCCACGTCCTCAAGCCGGCAGCACGGGAACGGTACCGAGCGGCCCTCAAGCATGGGATACGTTGCCCAGCATCGCACCCGGGACTATATTCATGAAGCGAGTCCGGATGAACCATCCTTCACTGGTAGTGCCGCCGAGCTCGTTGATGAGCCGCACCATCCCGACGGAAGTCATTAAGCCCTGTGCTCCAAGTGAAGCACTGTCTTTAGTGCACCAAGTTGCACTTCTATCCTAACGATATATCCGTCGATCCGACAGCGTGTATATCTTGCGCTGTTCTATTTGTACTTGATATCAAGGTGACGAATTTCCTTTACTATTATTCGTTCTGTGTCATCGGAAAAGAGCTGTACCTGGCGTTCTGAAATACGTTTGGATCCCCGTTACATATACATCACGACTTGCAAAATACCTGCTCGTCCTACCATTTTTATTTTTCTCTCTTTATTTTTTTCCCCTGCCCTACTTCCTCTATCTTTAATTCGATGGCATTCCATTGTGCCTGTAAAAACAGCTAATCGTGATCGGGAAAAGCCTTCTAATTCAGAAGCTCTTCGTCTTGTATATTGTGGAGCGTTCAATTCATGTATGAAGTATTCGGGAATAGTTCTTTTTAACTGCCGTGAGATTAGGGTTGGTCAGCTCGACTGGCATGATGGATAGTCCTTTCTAGTTATATAGCCCCAAAATTTACAAGGTTGAATCGAATTCGTTATCATGGGTTATCCATCCAGAAGCCAAAGTGGATCAGTATCGGTTATGATAAGCCGAAGTGGCAAACACTATCGGTATCAAAGTTTCGCAGAGAACCCATAGAGCTGCCTTGAGAAGTGGAAGGTTCTTCTTTACCTCAGCAAGGGGCATCTGACCCTAGAGGTTGAAAAATTGCAGCATATTTATAAACAGCTTTCACCCGGGATTTAAAATTTTTTCGGAGGTCACACGGCGTCGTGGGTGTTTGGTGCCTTAGAAAGTTGGACCGCCACTTTTTTCAGTTGCCCCGCGGCGCAGAATAATAGGAGAGGCGGTTTAATCGTAAGGCACACTTGCCAACTAACCTTGACTCTCACACCCTCTTTTCTTTCTGCGCCTTTTCTCTTTTGCCTTCACTTCGTATTCCTTTTCAGCGTAAATTCATCGTGCAATTCTCGTTCCTTCTTCTTTATTTCTCCCTCTAGCGTCTGTATTTGTGGTGTCACGAGACACCCACGCCTCGAGTCACTTTTACTTTTGACTGTTATT